TATTTGCCTGAATGGATTTGATCATTCTGTAGCTCCTGTTGCATCATTGAGCAGGAGGAGCGCGGTATATGGCAGCAACTGTACGAGGGAAGAACATTTGCCTAACTCCTTCTGCTTTAATGATTGGGAAGATGTTGCCTGAAGCCCTCTGTGCAAGCAAGAAAGATCACAAAAATTTGTGATCATGTGTATATATCAGAATCGATTCTTATGTTTCAGAGGATGGGAAGGGAACCACTTTACCGAGATGATCCTAGCTCCAAGCAAAAAGCTTTTAATCGAAGGAAATGGTAGCATTAAACGACCAACAGCGTAGATCGCAACAGAAACGAAGTGGAGAAACAAACTCAGAGGACTAGGGTTTAAACCAGAGAGCAATGCAATCGCACCAGATGACCAAACACCTCCAAGACTAAGATAGTCGAAGCATGCTTCACGCATTTCAGCTTTCGCTTCATCTGAAGATGCTAAAAAGACTTTGTACAACACATCCGCCAATGTATTAATGGTGGATGCTACAGGCTGCACAAAAGAAAGCCACATTGTTAAAAAAATCCAAACACATAGAAGCTTTTCACTTTATCTTTAACGCTGCTTACTTTCCGAAGTGTGTAAAAGGCTTCCAAATATTTAGACAATGCTTCTTTGTCATTAAGGTTGCGAATCGGCCTTAGAAGATCACGGAGTACGACTATATCTGACATTGCCACGGTCATGCCACCACCGGTTAAAGGATGTCTCATGTTGAATGCATCACCGAGAAGAAGAGCTCCAGGAGTGAGAACCGGATCAGCTGGCATGCTCCCGTTAGGCATTGTTCTGATATTACCCTTATCAACCGCGGAGATAAACGCTTCACGCACCTCGTTTGGTACTTGAGGTGCAACACGTGTTTTCAGATACTTTGCCATTCACCGTTTGCAATGGGAGGAAGTTTTTGACCAGGTATGTCGACTAAGCAACGGACTTCTGAGCTGCTTATGGGATATAACAAGATCGGTGATGGGTCACCGAGCACAACATGGCCATGATTCGCAAATGGGAGCTCGCAATTCTCCAAGACAAGACCCACAAAAGATGAAGGCACATCCACCTGAGTAGGTACATGTCAAACTAAGTAAGTTCCACGAAACAAAACAAAATTGGAGGGTTTACTGCAAAGTAATTAACTTTAGGGACCACCTTAGGTTTGCAAAGAGAGCGACGCAAGTTGGAGAAGCAACCATCACATACAATTGTGAGAGGAGCGTATAATCTAACAAGCTCATTACCCTCTTTTGTTCTGTATTGAACACCTTTAACTGTTCCGTGTTCTTCAAGCAATGACGTGACTGTTCCTTGCTCTAACCTTACCCTTAATTATATCACAAACAAAGCACTAGACTAAGCAAAATCTTGTATCCAGCAGCTATATACAAAGAAAGAATGATTACTTTGAATGAGAAGTAGCCTTTTCTCGCAGTTTATGCACAAATCTCCCATTGTGGAAGCTTCTCCCGGCAACATCCGAATCAAGTGTTTCCAAAGGGTATGAAACTTTAGCTTGTTTCCCATCTTTAAAGAGAGCATATCCAAGAACACGTTGAGCATCTATCTCCTTCACACAATCTACAGTCAAAAGATATATCACACAGCTTAACTATTAACATAACTACTATAAAATTCGATCAAAGTTTATATAATAGTTAAGCTCATTGGTCTACCTTCAAGGCCAAGTTCGATTAACTTCAGGTAACCTCCAGGTTGAAGCAATTCACCAGCGATTCTATCTTGCTCGGACAAGTCTCTTTCTACAACATGAACTCTTCGTCCTTCCTGCAATCACACAAAGGCCAAACACCGTATAAGTAGAAATTTATTAAATCAGTATATCTATTGAATCATTTTTAAATTTGTATTCCATAAATACTCATAATGTATTTTTCTTTCAAAAACGAGCATGAATTCAACATAAAAATGATTCAAACCTTTTTAATGGAAGAAATCTAAACCTTAATTTGAAAAAAAAAAATGAAACTCACATAAAGTTTTAAATTTATATGCAATTGTTTTAGGTAAAAAGGTGTTTTCACAAAAATATGTGCTACTTTTGAAATTTTAAAATTTAATTTGCTAGGTTTATAATATAAGCTTTTTGGGTCCATTTCAGAGTATTTCTGTAAACGGAATCATATTTTTTTTTTTTTTTTTTTTTTTAAACAAAAAATTTCAAACAATCCAGAAATAGAAGGAAACTTGGAGAAAGCAAAATAAAAAACCGACAAAAATCTGAGATTGATTTAGAGACTTGCCTTGCCGAGTGTATAAGCAAGTGCGGCACCTGCAACACCAGCTCCAACGATGATAACATCAATGCCGGAATCATCCTCCGTCGCAAGATTCCTTGATAGGTCGTCGTTCTGAGCAACGACGAGGCCACGGTTCTTCTTACTCCGGTTTGATTTCTCAACGTTACTACTGCGACGCAAAACGTAGAGAAGCACAAACGCGAAGAGAGAAGCTAAAAATGTCCCGAGAATACATTGACCCAATACAATCGTTTGCGCCATCACCGTTCTTGCAGAGGTCAAAGCGCCGCCGCTCGTTTGTGGACACTCTCCCGCAGTGATTGAAGAGAGGTTTCTGAATCGATGCTTGGAGATTGAGAAACGAAGTGGATCTAAGAGATGTAGCCGTTAATGTTTGTTTAATAAGAGACAGGAAGATTTAAATAAGCCAATCTAGTGAGGCTACACAAATCTTTATGCTAAAATTAAGTATTATGTAATAAAAATGGTTTGTCTTTGTCTTTCACAAACGAGTTTGACCATATCTTGTAACTCGTTGCTACAATTTTAACATGGTAACCACAGTCTAGGCCCATGAACCAATTTTTTTTCTTTCATGAAGCCCATTAGATGGCTTTATTTACCAACTTGGATCCATTTGCATTAGTATTTAAAATAATTTAACTAAATAAAGTCCAACGTTTAGACGACCAAGTGCCTAGAGAAACAAAACGACTACAACAACAAAAAGTGCCTGGAAAAGTAACTTTGTATTTTAGGCAAAGTCTACGTTTAGAATAAATATGGACAGTTATTTGACTAAAAAAAAAAATCTTCAAAGTGCACCAAAATAAAAGTCCTGAGTGACTGATAAGATCCTAGAAAGATTCGGGTGGTTACTTTGGTGTGTTTCCGTTAATGCAATGACAAGGCTCTTTGCTCGCAATGATAATCATTTACCAAACAACGTTATTAGATTTAAAAGTTTTCCTTTCGCTAAAAGTACAAGAAGATGATATGATATACAAATCTTTTCCGTTAATGCACTTACAAGACTCTTTGATCTCGATGATATATACCAAAAGGAGCTATGTTTACACTTGTTCCAGAGCTATCTAACCTAATCACCCACATGATAACCATTAAGCAACAACCATAATTAGATTTCAAAGTTATAGCATTCATGTCTATAACCTCCTGATGCATCATTGAGCAGGAGGAGGAGCACGGTATATAGCAGCAACAGTACGAGGGAAGAACATTTGCCTAACTCCCTCTGCTTTAATGATTGGGAAGATGATCCCTGAAGCACTCTGAGCAAGAAGACATACATCAAAGATCAAAATATTTGTGCAATTTCAGAAGATGGGAGGAAAACCACTTACTGAGATGAAATAGAAGCAATTCTGTTTCAGAAGATAAGAAGGAAACCACATTACCGAGATGATCCTAGCTCCAAGCTCCAAGCTTTTAATCGAAGGAAACGGTAGCATCAAACGACCAACGGCGTATATCGCAACAGCGAAGAAGTGTAGAAACAAACTCAGAGGACTAGGGTTTAAACCAGAGAGCAAAGCAATAGGACCAGACGAGCAAACACCTCCAAGACTAAGATAATCAAAGCAAGCTTCACGCATTTCAGTTCTCGCTTCATCTGAAGATGCTAAAAAGACTTTGTACAACGCACCCGCCAATGTATTAATAGTGGATGCAACAGGCTGCAGAAAAGCCGAAAACTTGAATCAACCAACCAACACATAGAGAAGCTTTCACTATATCCTAAAGCTGCTTACTTTCCTCAGTGTGTAAAACGCTTCGATATACTTAGACAATGCTTCTTTGTCGTTGAAGTTGCGAACTGGCCTTAGAAGGTCACGGAGTACGACTATATCCGACAATGCAACTGTCATGCCACCGCCGGTTAAAGGATGTCTCATGTTGAATGCATCACCGAGAAGAAGAGCTCCAGGAGTAGGAACCGGATCAGCTGGCATGTTCCGGTTTGGCATTGTTCTGATGTTACCCTTATCAACCACGGAGATAAACGCTTCACGCACCTCGGTTGGTACCTGAGGAGCAACCTCTGTTTTCAGATACTTTGCCATTTCACCGTTTGCAATGGGAGGAAGTTTCTGACCAGGTATATCGACCAAGCAACGGACTTCTGAGCTGCTTATGGGATATAACAAGATCGGTGATGGTTCACCGAGAACAACATGGCCGTGATTCGTAAACGGGAGCTCGCAATTCTCCAAGACAAGACCCACAAAAGATGAAGGCACATCCACCTGAGTAAAGATGTCAAACAGAGTAAGTTCCACAAAAAATGGAGACTTTACTGCAAAGTTGTTAACTTTAGTGACCACCTTAGGTTTGCAGAGAGAGCGACGCAAGTTTGAGAAGCAACCATCACATACAACTGTGAGAGGAGCATGTAATCTAACAAGCTCATTGCCCTGTTTTGTTCTGTATTGAACACCTTTTATCATCCCGTTTTCTTCAAGCAAAGACGTGACTGTTCCTTGCTCTAACCTTACACTGAAACCACAAACAAAGCATTAGAGTAAGCAATAGATTCGAGTATAAGAGAATAAACAAAAAGATGATTACTTTGAAAGAGAAGCGGCTTTTTCTCGCATTCTCTGCACAAATCTGCCATTGTGGAAGCTTCTTCCGGCTACATCCGAATCAAATGTTTCCAAAGGGTAAGAAAGTTTAGTATGTTTCCCATCTTTGAAGAGAGCATAACCAAGAACTCGCTGAGCATCTATCTCCTTCACACAATCTACACTCAAACACAGCTAAAGCATTAACATAAAGTACCTAAGAGTTATAATAGTGAAGCTCAATGGTCTACCTTGAAGGCCAAGTTCGATTAGCTTCAAGTAACCACCAGGTTGAAGCAATTCACCAACGATTCTGTCTTGCTCAAACAAGTCTCTCTCTATAACATGAACTCTTCGTCCTTGCTGGAATCACAATCACACAAAGAGAAAACAAAATCTGAGCTTTCTTCAACCGTAGAAGAACACACATTTGGAGCCAGTGACCAAGAAACAAGCATATCACACCTTTTTAATGATATGAATTAAAAAAAAATTATTAAACCAATATTTTCTTAAAAATTTCTCATGAATAACATAAGCTAAACAATCAGATATTTAACAAATCGTGAATTGTATATTTTGGAAAAGCAAAGGCGTTGTAGAAAATTTCCAGAAATGGAAGTAAAAACTCAGAAGAACACGAATTTGGAGGAAGCCAAAATCAAAAATCGACAAAAAAGTTGAAATTGATTTGGAGACTAACCTTGGCGAGAGTATGAGCAAGTGCGGCACCGGCAACACCAGCTCCGACAATGATAACATCGACACCGGAATCATCATCATCCTCCGTCGCAAGATTTGTCGATACGGTGCCGTTCTGAGCAACGACGAGGCCACGATTCTTCTTACTCTTGTTCAAGTTTCTGAATCGACGCGTGGAGGAGAGAGAGAAACGGAGATGGTTTCTGTAGAGAAGCGAAGAAGATCTAAGAGATGTGACTGTTAATCGAAATCGTGGAGAATTCTCGAATACAATCGATTCTCACATCATTCGGGAATTAGTTTTTTATGGGCCTCTACTACTTCTGATGCGACTATTCGGGCCCATTATTAGAAAGATTTACCCCATTTGCATTATTATTACTAAATAAACTAGTTGTTGGATTCAATTAAATATATGACATGTATCTGAACGATTCAAATTAAATTTTATAAAGAATAAACAAGATAACAGCGATGAGATATGAAATGTTTTTTTTTTTTAAACTGACATATGAAATGTTGTACAAATTAATACCATGCGTTTATCTCTAGTCTCTACCATGTCTTGTTCATTGTTCAATTTATCCAATACTTCGTTTTGTCTTTTGTTTTATGCCGTATTACCGACACTTCGTTTTCAGTATAAAGATTACTATGTTTATTTCTCCTTTATTATTTTGGTTTTGTGAAAAAAAAAAGCTAAATTATGTGGACCAATGAATACTTATGCTTCCCACCTACAAACACAATTAAATTGCTTCCCCTTTACCATATCTAGAATTAAAGTATTTTTTTTAAGTATTATGAGAAAGAACACTTGTTTCCTTCATCCGTTTCACAAAAAAATGGTCGTTCAAGTTCAATTAATTTGTACACATGCTAAAAAGCAGTATATAAGCTATGCGCTGTTATCATTTACCAAACACGTTTCTTCTCAACACTAGACCTGTAAAATTTAATGTTTCATGAGATGTAGTAGTATTAGTACTATTACCGTAAAAGAACTTAACAATCTTCGAGCTATCGAATCTAAGCCTTTGACCAAAACCCCAACCAAAGTCCTAAAACATAACCTATAGACGTACTCCATAACCATTCAAGAGCCCCCGTAGGTCTTTAATCTAAAGTCTAACCCTAAGCCCCTATCAAATCTCACGTGTCATGTGGACACTGTCTGTGGGTCCCACGTAACCACGACAACCAATGAACTTGAACGTGATCTACTTTACTTGCTTATTATACACCACAACCTAGCCGCTTAAATTACCTTTTTACCTATCATGTTAATTTTTTCTTCTCATTTCCAATGTCATTTTGTATGATATTGATTACGTAGTTCCAAGGTCTTTTGCGATTTATGAAATTTGTGTTAAGATAAATTTCCAACTGAGCAAGTGATATGGCTTTTGATTGGTAATTAACCAGCCTAATGATATGTTTTTTTTTTTGTAAATTGCCTTCCATTACTCATTTTTTTATTATTCATTTCTGCATGTAACTACACGTTCGTGTATAATTTTTTTCCTAGTTTAAGGGATTCAATATATACCTAACGGCTAAAGCGATAGCTCTCTCAAGAAGCTGACTACTCAGCCATTGTCATTACTTAGCAAGTTAGCATATACATTAGTGACAAGATAATATATTTAAAGGTTAGCATCCCTATATTTAAATGAAGTTTTCTTCAGTCTGCAAATCTTTAAAGATAAATTACATTGGTGCATTTCGTTGACATACTTTACCAAATTCAGATGTGTAGATTTCGTTAATCATATGTCATAGCTAACATAAAAAAATATGAAAAATATCAAAGTTATACTTTTTTTCGGGTTTTAATGTTAATCAAAGTTATACTTGCAGAAGTAATAGTTAATGGAGTATTTTTTAAACGATCATGTTTGTTGGTGTCTACTGAAAAGCATCAGTACCAATACACTTTATTATAGTTAATTACTGTATATATAACCCACGGAATATTCCAATAATTTATATTTTCAAGCTTGACATTTTTAAAACCAATAAAATGCGCTGGTCAATATGCATGTTCTCCAGATTATTAGTTTTAGAAGAAAAGCCTAATTTAACTATGTCTTGATTGAAGATTATCATGTTACATAAAAAAGAGAATAATGGTTTGTTTTTGCTTGATATTTTTTCTTATAAAAACCATTATCATTTCGGGTTTGTTTATTTAGTTTAGAATGATCATGATTTAAAAGAAAAAAACGACTGATGTTTTTTTTTTGCCGAACGAGAATGTTTAATTCAGAAATAGACTGTAGTCTTCCAAAAAAAAAATCTAGCTAATTTTTCGTTTTTTTTTTTGGGTGTGAAGTTAATTTGTTCATTACTTATAGGTAACTAAGTTTGGGCTAGTAAATGTATTTTAATATGTCTGTGTCGCATGCTCACCACTTGTAAACTTGTCTCCCTTTTGAACATTGAAGTCTCTTAGCGAACATTGAAGTATAATTAAGCTGGAAATGGACGATTTTAATCTTATAGGAAACATTAAAGAGTACTCAACATTAAATCAGTCTAATGATTTAAAAAACCGTCAAATAATTTTATCTAAAGATAAGCTTTGTGATCGGTTAGAAATGTGTGGAAAATGTTACACGAAACCTGATCCTGATCGGTTGGAAACTTCTTTTAATGTCCGAATTTGAATCCCGTTGGAAGAAACACAATACACTTTTCATTTTCAGTATCAAAATCATACGGACAAATATTGTGGCATACAACTATACAAGAAACTATATACATCTTAAACATATACCAACCTAGAGAATATTATACAAATCAGATGCTCATTAGTCATTACTTCGATGTACTAATGTTACAGATCTCCATGTAACTAAAATCTTGGGGTACACCGGAGAAGAAACCAAGAGACGCTCCAAATATAATTGGGAACCACGTGAGTCTGATAGATATTTGATACTCCACTCAATACTATATTTATTTCGATAGGACAAATCTCTAACCTTTTTCATACTAAAATCTCACTTCAAGTATACCCTTTCCTTCTTTTGCAACGTTTGGTAAAAAATGCTTAAAGCTACTATCATAACAAATTTTAGAGACACATCATGCACCGCCTTGAAAATAAAATGGGTTAAACTTAGTAATCATGAATCCAAATAGTTATTCAATTATAGTTGAGGTTACTAAGCCAAGACTTTGTAGCTTTTAAACAAAACTGTTAAGTCATTTCGTTGATTAAACAACGTGATGTATTTACAAAAAGCAAAAAGCAAAAATAAAATTCCTTTCTTAGGGTTTGAAGTTTGAAATAGAGTCGTAGAGACATGTCTCACGTGGTGTCCACATGTCTTTTATCTTTAAAAAGTTCATATTGCTTCCACTATAATTAATTTTCTAATATCATCAAGTTATACCAAATGTATTGAAATTATATAATTTCCCAAATATGTATTATAAAATATAAAATCAAATCAATAACTCGAAAAAATAAAATAAAATCATATCCATAAAAACTGACCATATATGAAAGAAAATTCATATAGCCATGTAAGTTATTTAATTTTTCTTAAGAATTTTATAACAAACATGAAGAAATATGTTGTAACATGTCCGAGATCTTGATTGTGTATGTGTTTTTTGGGTACCATTCTTTGTCTCCACCCAAAGTTTGATCATATCTCTCACTCCCCAATTATTACTATTAGTATTAGTATTATTTTGTTTTATTAAAAAATACTCCGTATACTACAAAAAAATCAAAATGAAAATAAATAATAATATCCACAGTATAAAGAAAATAAAAACATCGCCTCGTTCTTCTCCCTCCGTCTCTCTCTCTCTTCTTCACTCTGAGCTCAAGCGATTACCTCCCATGGGAAAAATCTCTGAAGTGATTATTTAGCTCTTTTTGTCGCTTCTGCATCCATTTTTTTATGGATCTTGGAGTTCGGGTTCAAGGTTCGGTTTCAGGTCATGAAAACGGGTCACCGGGACACTCAGAGCTCGGATCTGGTTTCAGCAGCAAGCAAGAAAGATCCGGTTTCGACGGTGAAGATTGCTGGAGGAGCTCAAAGCTCGCAAGAACATCAACAGATGGATTCTTTTCCTCCTCCTCCTCCTCCTCCTCTTCCGCAGCAGCTAATAAAACGCTGTCGTTTCATCAAGGCATACCTCTCCTGAGATCTACCTCTATCGATCCTCGTAGACAAGAACATATGCTTAGCTTCTCCTCTGCTTCAGACAAATCAGATGTCTCCTCTGTCTCACCTTATCTTCAGTACTGTAGAAACTCAGGTCTGAATATAAATAAATAAAAGTACACTCTGTTTCTCTTTTTAGCTATAGATAATTAGTACTTTTTAATATGAGTTTTGCTTAGAGATCGATTTCATGAAAACACTCTGTTTTTTTACAAAAAGATATTTTACTTTCCTTAAAATCAGCATATGGGTTTTGCTTAAAGCTTGATTAAGTGAAATGGGGTTTATGTCAAATTTTAAAATTTGGGATATGGTTTGTGTGATGTCATCAGGATATGGTATAGGAGGAATGATGAACACAAGCAGCATGCATGGAAACTTGTTGACAGGAGTTAAAGGACCTTTTTCATTGACTCAATGGGCTGAGCTAGAGCAACAGGCTTTGATCTACAAATACATCACAGCCAATGTCCCTGTGCCATCTGCGTTACTCCTCTCTCTCAAGAAATCTTTCTTCCCTTATGGATCTTTGCCTCCTAATTCCTGTAAGCCCTCTCTCTCTAATCTTTTTGTTTCTACGTGCATTAGCCAAGAATCAACTTTATGACATCTTTATACCATTAATCTTGTTTTGATTGGTTGTGGGTTTAAAAAAGATTCCTGCTTTTTGGGGGAGAATGTTATGTTCTTGACCAATGGTTGTGCTAAGAGACTTTTTTTGTGTGTGTTTGATGTAGTTGGATGGGGCTCTTTTCATCTGGGCTTTTCCGGCGGCAACATGGATCCCGAGCCAGGGAGATGCCGCCGGACAGATGGAAAGAAATGGCGGTGCTCGAGGGACGCTGTCCCCGACCAAAAGTACTGTGAACGACACATCAACCGAGGCCGCCATCGTTCAAGAAAGCCTGTGGAAGGCCAAAATGGCCACAATACTAATGCCGCTCCGTCCAAGGCAGCAGCAGCAGCTGCGACGACTACGGTTGTTGCAATGCGTGGATCAGATAATAACAATAGCCTCAATGCCAATCCTCCTCCTTCAACGGATACTTTGGCTAACAGGTGAATAAGTTTACTTACATTTTTTATGTTTATTGTCCTTTTTTGAAATAACAGATTTGCATATTCCTAAGGTTTAATGTTTCATAACTTTTTTTTTCTTTTACTTTTTATCTTTCCTTCTTTGCCCTATGACTCTATGAGTAAGTAGTAGACCCACCCAAACCATTATTACTTCCATCTTTTGTGATTGTGACCATTCCTTAGTAATTTAGCCTTAGGATTCCATCTTCTTGGATTTGCTTTTTTTAAACTATTCACTCTTTTCTTTTTCTTGATACAATGATGCACAAAAGTACATCAAATCTTGATTTGTTTTGTTTTTTTTTGCTAATGACAGAGTTCAAAACTCTCGAGGAGGTTCAGTTTTTACCGTACAACCGAAGGAAACTCATCATCCAAAACAGAGCAATAACCCTTTCGAATTCGGACTCATCTCCTCTGATTCCTTACTTAACCCCTCGCACAAGCAACCGTCTTCTTCTTTCGCAAACTCTTCAAAAGCCTTTGGATCGTATCTTGACTTCAGCAACCAGGAAAAGCACTCGGATTCTTGGCCGCCTGAAGAGCTGAAATCGGATTGGACTCAGCTCTCAATGTCAATCCCCATGGCTCCATCTTCGCCTGTTCAAGACAAGCTAGCTCTCTCGCCTCTAAGGCTGTCTCGCGAGTTCGACCCGGCGATTAACATGGGATTAGGCGTCAACACCGAGTTTCTCGAGCCTGCGAAGAAGGCGAATAACTGGATACCGATCTCTTGGGGTAACAATAACTCCATGGGAGGTCCTCTTGGTGAGGTACTTAACAGCACTACGAATAGTCCCAAGTTTGGTTCTTCTCCAACAGGCGTCTTGCAAAAGTCGACGTTTGGTTCTGTCTCTAACACTAGCTCCGGGAGCAGCACTGTAATTGGAGATAGCAGTAACAAGAACGGCGATGGAAAGGATCCTCTTGGACCAACCACACTGATGAACACTTCTGCTTCTGCTCCTTCTCAGTGAAAATACGACAACGGCGAAAAAGAACACAAAACACTCTGTTTTCTCTGTTTTCTTCTTACTTGGTGCATTGTTGTTGTTTTGTTTCTATATAAAGCCAGAAGTAACTAAAGGAGAGATGAGAACAGAGATTGTTTCTTTTTTTTTATTAGTCTTCTTCATCTTTCTGATTTCTGAAATCCATGGATTTATTGGTTCTCAATCATCAAGTTCTTGATTTTATTGTACACTCAAACTCTTTTGAAAAAATGCTCTGTTTATTTATATTAGTTAAAAACAGAGAATACTAATACCAAAACAGATTTTGATTAGCGAGTAACTAAGTTTTGAATATTTTGTGGTAATAAGAGTGAAAGAAACCTAAGAAGTTAAAATTTGTGTTAACAATGTTGAAAGTTGTGATCTTTACTTGAAATTTTGAAGAGGTTTCCTAGTTGCAGACAAGAGGCAACATTGTATTGTGGATTTGGAGATTTGAACATTTCTTTTAAAACAACTGTCTCCCACCTTTGGTTTTCTTTTTTTTTGTAGCTCTGTTCTTCCACTTTTGGGTCCCTTAATTACTTTTTGCCTTCTCTCTCTCTAACCCTACTCTTACTTATTCTGCAAAATTATTTCTGAAAACTTATAAAGAGTGGAGGACCAAACCAATGGTCCATACGTTTTTAATTTGGATTCTTTGTATATTTCGGGAGATCTTGTTCTCACACGTGGCATGTGTGGGACGATCCAGACACTTACCACTTGCACGAGACAAGACAATTCTTATCGAATAAAATATCTCACTTGATGCTTTTGGAAATTAAATATTTCAGTTTCAGTAGTTTTCTAAATTCAAAATGTATACATTCTTGGAAGGTAGGTTACGAATTTACGATGATGATAAGTTAGAGAGCAGTTAGTTAATTATTAATTAGGCACTAATCTCTTAGCCCAAATTCTAATTATCCTAATGGGCCTCATGAGGCCCAAATAAGCAGGAGCAGCGAAAGTAAGTCCATTAATCTGAGTAACACTCTTTTTCAAATTTACACATAACTACATAAGAGAGATCGAAAGAGAGAGAGAAATAAATTCTTCGCTTTGATCATTTTTTTGTTTCTTTCTATTTTTTCATATCATTTGATGATCGCGTGCCCACTGTTGCTGACGCTGAAGCTCTCTGAGCATTAAGATTTGCCTCATCTCCGAGAATCTTCGTCTCAGAATCTCTTGTTCCGACAAAAGCCGACTGTTGTCCGTACTAATTTGTTCAATGTGGTACAAGAGGGTACGGAGACGGTTTCCGAGTTCCCGGTTTTCTAAACCGAGCCGGTTTACCTCGTTTCGTAAATTCTCAATGTGTCTCTGTTTACGCATCCTTGACCGCTTCGCTGATTCTCGGTTTGATTCCATCCGCTTCCTCTTACGGTCGTCGGTTATCTCCGGAAGGTTCAATTTCTTCCGGTTATGGTCTGTAGCGTTTATCCGGATTCTCGTGTTTTCCGAGTCCAATTCCTCGGATTGAGGACTTGGTACGCCGTGGAAACAGTCAGAATCATCTGAACCAGAGTTCGTTTTGATGGAACCGATACAAGATTCGTCAGAGCCGGATTTTAGATCGTTAAAACCGGTATTAGTTCTGACGAGACCGGTTTCGGATTCATCGGAACAAGGACTCGGTATGGCCGGTTCGAGAGACGACTGAATCACAGAGAAGAGATCGGAGCAGTCAAATTCCCAAGGAGTGAATCCGGTTTGGAAATCCGATAATTGGTTAACAAAACCCGGTTCAGCAAAGGGAAAGGCCGGTACAGTAGACATCATAATGACCGGTTCTTTTTGCAAATTGAGATTAGAGAGAAGAGAAGGAGAAAAGGGAAGAATTGCATTGTAGGAGCTTGGAATTTAAAGGAAAATGATAAGGGTGTTTTGGTCATTATAAAAATACGATGTAAGACCGTATGTACACTGTATAAACAACTTTTGAGTCATATGGCACTATGTGGGGTTAGTATTTTTTCAAGTCCCAACTTTATAAAAGTAGAAAATATTTTGTGGGTCACCAATAGGGCTCGTTTACGGTCACTATATAAAAAAGTTTAATTAAACTTTCTTAACCAAATGTTTGTTATAGCTTAGTGATGAAGAAACAGTCCATATTTAACACATGTGTCGTCCATTCATCTAATTTGTCGCCATGCATTCAAATCTAGATTTAGAAAATTAAGCAAAGGGTTAAATAATTAACCTAATATAAGGCTCAAAGATATAAATGGTGTCGTTGGTATGATTAATCATTTTATGTGTAGTTGGTTTGATTAGTGTGGTCGATGGGATTGATGAAATTACTAATTTCAATCAATTAGTTAGTTAGCCAAAATTCATATTTTTATTCTTTACTTCATAAAAATATTTTTTTCCCCGCAAAATGTTTGGTAAATATACGTAGATGATTCAAAAAATAAATATTAATTTTTTTTCCAATTTTTAAGTCAATCATTTAGTAAGTAATTTTCAAATTTTCCGAGTGATGTTTTCGAACTGACAATGATTCTAAATCGAATTCCAAAAATAACAATAAGCCATTGGTCAAAAAAAAATTCCAAGAATAATAATGTCACGAGAAATAAAGTTTCTTGGAATCTAATCAAACAGCCTTTAAGAATAAAACATTCAAATCAAATAGCTATAACTTTCAACAACATATTCATGTTTAAATAAGATTTTGTACTCTAAAATTGTATTACTCGGTAAGTTAGTTTATCATACATTAACAAAAGAAAAAGAAAAAAAGAGAAAAAACTATAGCAACGGCCACATGCAAAATCCTCAAAAGTAAAGTAGGCATATATATTTTAGAAAACTTTTATCATATGGTTTGGTAGCATGTTAAATCAAACTTTAATGTCCACAATTCGCACATTAACTTTTAATTTTCAATAATCCGGACTTCTTTTAATACAAAATAAAAATATAGCCTGCAATATATGTATAACTGGGTTTGGTTAGCGATTAAGTTGATTAATTGAAAATTGCTTGTAAAACTTCATGTTTACCTACTTCCTGGAAACAGTTTAGGTAACTTATGTTCTTAGATTGGAATTTCTTAGATCAAAATTAACTTGACTCAAGGCTAATGTCAAATCTTTAAAGTGTTGTTCCTAAATTTTAGTGGGCTCAAACTCTGATGTAGGGAATTTAAAAAGAAGAAGAAAAGTTTAGAATAAAGTCTGTTGATTTGATTTTTGTGCTCCAATGAAACAATTTTTTTTTTAGATATGGATGGAACATATATATCACTTCACAAATCACAATAACTCACGCAAACGACCAGGAGAAACAATGCATACAGTCTACAGATCACGTTTACGAGTTCCTTAACATTTCTTTTGATGATCATGAGTACGTCTCTATTAGAGATCTAACAATTTACTAGGTTTTCTTTTACGAAAAAATAAGGTTTTTCTAGAAATTTACGAGTGATACATACAAGAGATACCAATAGTCGAAGACTAAAGATAGAGAGAGAAAATTATACAAAGAATGAGTAACGTGTGTCATCTGATCACTTTCCAGTTCTCTTTTCAACGGTTTAGACTGGTTTATTTGGCTAACTCTCAAACAAGTTTCTAACTGAAAACCGAAACTAAACCAACCTCATGAACCTTGCCATCGTCAACACCAAATATTGGATATTTATCTAAAGTTTGTAGCTTCTGATATATTGTTCTCAACCCAAATACGTATTTCACATGCCATTCGCCGTCGTATCGATGATATTATATTCAGTACTTTAAACTTATCTTATGGTCACAAGACTTTAAAACAAACATATGCAAGGTATGTTTTGCCAAATTATTTGCCAACAGATTGTTCCTTCAAGGGATAAAACTTAAAGGAGGTGAAACTAAAGAAAAGAAAATACTAAATATTATAAGTTCGATCTGCGAGATCATTATTTCTTCTGTAATATTTATTTTCATAGTTGACAATACTTTATCAATAACAAATTAAAAAGAAAAGAAAATTCAAGCAGGGCATGGATAATAGCAAAGGCATCTCAAAGTGTGGTCGTTTCCTTTGACGCAAACGCCACTTCCCTTCCATTTTTGTAGGCACATAGCCGAACAATTGCCAATTCCACATTTTACTTCATCTAAAAACTGCTGACAACGAGCTGCTCCTTGAACATTGCTCACCATCATCCCTATATACATATTTTACAAACATCAGTATCATTTTAACATATATATTTTTAAGACAAAAAACAATAATACGTTTTATGATAAATCTAGAGAAATATAAAACAAACCTAGAATAAGGATGATGCAAGCAGCCAAAAAGATGGATCTAGACATTTTTTGGTGATATCTGGAGTTTTTTCAATTACGAAAATAACAGTAGTTGTAGTGTATGCTGAATAATCACACGCACAGTCACACACATATATACAGATATATAGAGAGTAGATGCTAATCTAGCCAACTATAGTAAATAAAACAGAATGTTTTTAAAAAGATATGTATTTTTTTAATTTGGTAACAGATCTCAAAGATCTTTAACAAAAAAACAGATCTCAAAGATTTAATTTTTAAATTTGGTAACAGTCGAATATTCAAAGATTTAGAGGGGGAATTGGACTGATGATTTGGGAGAATTTCATTTTTTTTTTCCAAATCACCTCTTAATTGAATCTAGTATTCATAAAAATACTCAAAATCCAAGGTTATTAAACTAATCATTTATACAAATTCTTTAAAATTCCATTTTATTGGAAAATTAGGATTTCACCAATAAAGTATATCAAAATCTATTTAGGAAGATTTGTGAGATATTTTCTATTTAAAAATAAAAGATCCAAATACCACCTTATGAGATGAGATTTGAAGAAATAAACAATTTGAATTAATATTTTTGTTGTTGTTGTTGTTGTAATGTGTAATGTATTCTAAGTTCTAACACAAATGTCTGAGAAAACTATATCTGTTTTCACAAAATAAATTTATAACACTTTAACGGTCAAAATACTAAATATTATAAGTTCGATCTGCGAGATTTTTATTTCATTTGTAATATTTCTTTTCATAGTTGACAATACTTTATCAATAACAAATTAAAAAGAAAGGGAAATTCAAGCAAGGCAAGGATAATAGCAAATGCATCTCAAGGCATCAGTGTTTGTTTTGACGCAAACGCCACTTCCCTTCCATTTTTGTAGGCACAGAGCCGAACAATTGCCAAGACCACAACTTACTTCGTCTAAAAACTGCTGACAACGAGCTGCTCCTTGAACATTGCTCACCATCATCCCTATAAAATATATACATGTTTTAAAAACATTAATATCATTTTAAAATATGTTTTCTTTAACATATAAAAAAGTGTATCATGACAAAACTAAATAAATATAAAATAAACCTAGAATGAGGATGATGCAAGCAGCCAAAAAGATGGATTTAGACATTTTTTGGTGTTTTTATTAATTACGAAAATAACAGTAGTTGTAGTGTATACTGAATAATCACACGCACAATTACACACATATATACAGATAGAGAGAGAGTTGGATGCAAATCTACCAACGTTAGTTTACACACTAGTCAAGTCAAATAAAATAAAAATAGAACATTTTTTATATATTTAATGATGAAGTTTGGTAAGTTGATTATCCAAAAATTAGTAAAAAATAGTTTATACTTTCTCAAAATGGTTTCGCATAAAACTGCCGCGCTATTACAGAATAAGTAGGTGAATCAATATAATGTATAATGTATTCTAAGTTCTAACACAAATTTTTGAGTCAATCAAGAATTTACTGTTGTCTACACCAACTTGTTTTAAAATATCATGTTGGTTGTTCTTTTTCTTTTGTCATCCCATTAAGCCGAAGAACATAAAATTTCTTAGGAAACAGTCGAGGTGTTTCTTAAATAGAATTTTATTTTGCTGATCAAAACTAACTTGGCCTAAAGGTTAATGTCGGATCTCAGAGTGTTGTTCCTAAATTTGCTTGAGCTCGAACCCTGATGTAGGGAGTTTTTTAAAAAGTGTGTTGATTTGATTTTTGTGGTCCAATGAAACATTTCTTTGAGAATTGCCATTGTCAACACCAAATGTTGGCAATTTTGGATAGAAATTTACAATTGTTTCTATCATATATACTAACAAAGCTACGTATATATGTACAATATTGACGTTGTCACATATTTCACATGTAATCCGTCATTGTATGCATAATATTATATTTAGTCTCTTCGTTTGATCTTATAATCGTGACATGTTTTTAGCTGTCCGAAATTTTTAGAGATATCTAGAAGACTAGAAGTTAGACTTCCATTTTGGTTTTGGAGCAAATCCCAATACTTTAAATTAATCAAACAAACGCATGCAGGGCTGTTAAACTAAATCATTTGCCAAAATATTGTTCTCTCGAAGGATAAGTTCAGAAACAACTCACAACATGAAATCCAGTTGTTTAACCACTACAGATGTATAATTAAGTTCATCTTGTGAAAACAAATAGTTTTCTTTTAAAGTTTCATTAATACAAAAACAAATATAATTTTTCAGTTTTTTTAAATTAATAAGAAGCATAAGTTACATTTGCAAATAAAAAAAATATTCATAGTTGACAATAATGTGTAGTATAGAGATAAATAATTAAAAAGAAAAGACAATTCAAGAATTGCAAGGATAAATGCAAAGGCATCTCAAGGTAATTTTGTCGGTTCCTGTGATGCATATGCCACTTCCCTTCAATTTTTGTAGGCACAGAGCGGTACAATTACCAAGACCACAATTTACTTCATCTAAAAACTCTTGACAACGAGTTTCTCCTTGAATCTTGCTCACCATCATCCCTAAACAACATTATTTTACAAACACAAACTATCAATATTTATTTAAAATATGTCTCAAGATGGAAGTAGAGAAACATAAAACAAACCTAGCATAAGGATGATGAAAGCAGCAAAAAAGGTAGATTTAGACATCTTTTGTGATAAATGGAGTTTTTCAAGTTGCGAAATAATGGCAGTGGCAGTGTGTGGTAGTGTATTGTGAATAATCACACGCACAGTCATACACGTATATACAGATGGAGAGTTAGATGCAAATCCAGTCAACTATAGATACACACAAATCAAGTCAAATAACATTAAACATACTTTTTGTGAGAGACTTAATGATGAATTTTGGTAAGTTTTTTATTCAAAAGTTTAGTCAAAAATAGTTTATGCTTTCCAGAAATGTTTTTTTGACTTTATGCACTAATTCTCTAAGTCTAAGGGATTCGGTTGACTGCGGTCTGATCACCTCCGTTTGGCGTGGCATGCGCAAGATATTCATAGTATATGATGAGCGATGAGTTCTTTGCTTGGTTTTGCCTTTCCTATAGAAAGTTCTTCATTTCGGTCTCTCTCCATATTTTCTCCTTCTTTTCTCATCCTCTCTCCCATGAATTTGGGAGTATTTATGAACCAGATGTTTGGTGACAATGACATAGTAGGCGGACTATGTTCTGATGCTGAGCTCGAGTGTCATCAGTGCTACAAGCTTACGAAGACTAGGATTAGTTGAAGTTGTTCGTGGGATGACTTTGGTCAGCCTCTAGCACCGGCGGACGGATTTTATAATGTCATGTAAACTATAACTTAAGTGAATCAACAAGTATCATTTAATTAGGATAACGTCCAATATGACATATTCTTAAGCAAATACCAATACAGTAGAACCTCTATTAAGTAATACTCGATAAAGTAATAATCACTATAAGATAATAAATTTCTCTGGTCCCAACTCAGGCCAATGTAAAAATAAGCCAAATGCGATAAAATAATAAGATAATAATATTTTTGAAACTCCTATGTAAAAATATGGTCCCAATTATAAGTTAAAGTAATAATTATATAAAACTATGAATTTAAATATATCTTTAACTTTTTGTTATATAAAAAACTCATAATGCAATTTTTCTATGCATATAATTTTTTTAATATATTCGAAACACATTATTTTCAACTTCAACTATAATTTTTTATAAATCTTTAATTTTATCATGTATAAAATTTTATAGAAATATTTAGATAAGTTAATAATATATGTTTTATTATGATATTCAAAAGACTTGACCATAATTTTAAGTTTATGTATGTCATCTGAACAAATAAATTCTTTTAAGTTCTTGATACATTATCGAGAATAATTTTCGAAGATTATAAATTAAAAAAATATTTTTATAAATCAATAAGTATTGAATTTATTCATAAAGTAATACCTCTATAAAATAATAAATTTTCAAAGTCCCAACATTATTACTTTATAGAGGTTTTACTGTACTTAGTCAAACAAACGCAAGGCATGTATAATCAAATCATTTCCAAAATATTGTTCCCTCCGAGGGATAAACTTAAAACAGATGCCTTGCGTTTGTTTGACTATAGAAACTCGAGTTTGCTAAGATTGCTCAATCAGAACTTTTAAGCTGTAAGTCAGATTCAATGTACATATCCGTGAAACTTAGACCAATTCGCTTGTCCCATTTTCTTATCGTATAACTTCATTTTGTTGAAACAAATAGTTTTCTTTAATAGTTTTATATTTCATTATTATGACAATAAATATAGTAGTTCAGAATTTAAAATTTAGGAGGACCATAAGTTCCATTTGCAAGAAATTTTTCTTTTATTATATATTTTTTTGTAGTTGACAATAATGTGTATAAATAAATAAAAAGAAAAGACTAGAAGATTCAAATTATGCAAGGATAAAGGCAAAGGCATTGCACGGTTTTGCCTGTGTTGACGCATAGGCCACTAGTTGCCTTGAATTTTTGTAGGCACAGAGCCGAACAACTGCTGGTAGTACAAGCTCCAATATCTAAATACGCATGACACTGATTTGCTCCTTCAATCTTGCTCACCATCACCCCTACAAAAATTATAAATTTTCAAAAACATAAAACATCAATATTCATTTAAAATATAGTTCTTGATAGAACTAGAGAATTATAAAACAAACCTAGCATAAGGATAATGAAAGCAGCAAAAATGATGGATTTAGACATTTTTTGTGGTCAATGGAGTCTTTAAGTTAAGAAAAAATAACAGTAGTGATAGTGTATGCTGAATAATCACATGCATAGTAGCACACATATATATACATATGAGTTGGAAACAAATCTAGTCAACCATAGTTACACATAAATCGAGTCAAAGAAAATGAAGCAGATTTTCTAAAGAGATATTTTGGTAAGTTCTTTATTCAAAAATTTAGTCGTCTATACCTCAAATGAAAAAAGTATATCCAATTTCTCCTAAAAGTTATAAACATCAATAATTTCAATAAAATGTACCAATCATTAATATTTTTTCATAGATTTTAAAATATGAAATGGAACAAAACATATGATATAAAGTAAATTCAACATAAATTGAACAGAATTAGTCACATATGCCGAGAATATCCAATATCATAGTACACAATTTGTGATAACTAAGGGCATCTCCAACAAACCCTCAAAATTTGAGGGGAGCAAAACCTCATTTTAAGGATTTGAGGGTAGTTTGCTCCAACAATGAATCCTCAAAAAAATCTTTAAAAGTTGTTTAATTTGCAATATAGTCCTTAATATTAACAAACATTACTAATGATAATAAAAATTCATAAATAAATTTAAAACACATTTGATATATAATTATTTATTATACTATTAGACAACACACCATATTTCACAATAATAGTGATATAATAATGTAAAATATGAAATATTTTGGTACTATTTGTAAAATATGTAATATTTATGTGTTATGTAATTTGCTTTAATTTGTGTTAAGTTTCTTTAATCTATTTTTTATTTTTGTGTAAACTTTTTAAATGTATTTTCTTTTGAGTGAACTTTGGTTTTTAGGTAACATTTATTCTATTTTATTTTTATATGTTTAATTTTGTTCAAACTAAAGTTTAGTATAACTAATTGTGAAAAACCATAAATATAAGGACCAAATAGAAAGAGAAAATAAGTTTTGAGGTTTTGAATAGTGAAACCTCAAATTTAAGGTTTCACTATTCAAAACCTCAAAATTTGAGGATTTGAGGGTTTGTTGGAATGTCAAAACCTCAAAATTTGAGGATTTGAGGGCTTGTTGGAGATGCCCTAATAATGAATTTTGGTTAGTTGTTTATTCAAAAAAGTAGTCAAAAATAGTTTATACTCACGCCATATCTCTCAAGCAACGTAAGAACCCTAAAGTGTCCTTCCACCAGAAAGAGTGAAGATCTCTTCAGGCTAACGCTCGAGCTTACTCAAGAGAACGTGAAGAAACTCAGAGAGCAAGCCAAAAGCGAGTCAACTCTCTCTATCTTCACCTGTCAACTTTCGTACTCGCTTACGCCTATGTATTTACCTGTGTGGTGAAGGCACGTGGAGACGACGCAGAGCGAACAGTTCCTTTCACGTTCGCTTCTGATTTCAGAAACCGGTTAGACCCGCCGGTTCCTTTAAACTACTTCGGGAACTGTGTTTTACTTATCAATTTCTCTGGAGACAAAGCCAAAACGTTTTTGGGAGAAGACGGATACGTCAATGCTGTCAAGATTCTAAGTGATTCGGTGGAAGGTTTAAATTCACGAGGAGCTGAGTCAATATGGGAGTTGTATGAGGAAGGACTAAAAAAGATGTAACTAGGTAGTGCACAGAAGCTTTCTGTCTCTGGATGTAACAAGTTAGGGATATATGAATCTGATTTTGGTTGGGGAAAACCGGTTAGCGCTGAGAATATATTCTTCAACAAAAACCTTCTCTTCTCATGAGACCGGTGGCGTTGGAGATTGTGTTTGGAGAAATGTGTGATGGATTATTTTCTTTCTTTATTTCAAAATGGATTGTAAAACCCGAAAAAGCAAAAAGAAAAGAAAAGAAATTATGACTTTTAATTTGATAGTATTTTTTATGTGTAGAGGTGAACCAACTTCAACACTACACTCGTTTATTATTATAGATGATTTTTAAGCAAAAATAATATTGTTTAACTAATCTATGTGGTTCTCTCTGTTCACACAACCTTGTATTGACTACGTTTATATACAAAGAAAGAAGAACAATGTTATTACTAGTACGAACAGCAAACTGTCTTATATCGCAAAATTGAAGTCCATAATAAAACCTAAGTTGAAAATGAGGTTCACATATAGATCCTCGTGCATGCTACCGGAGACGTTGAGAATTAACGCATATAAGAAAATAAACAATTATATGACTTATGTAGGTAGGTGACGCGGTATGTTGACAAACCAAAAGAAAGGTGTCGTACGGGGTAATAAACATTTGAATAAATTAATTTGGACTCAGTGCTTTCAAGAAGTGGAGGATTATCACTCTATCTTCACACGTTTCATACACGTTGCGACTATATTTTTCTTTTGTTCTCTAATGGCCTAATGGGGCTGGTCCAGTTCCACCGCACTAAACACTATGCACAAGTGTGAAAATATAGTATTTAATTTTCTTCCACTCCCCGATTTCATCGGTCAAATGAGTCCACCAAACTCCATAATTAGACTACTTTTTTGTTCCATAAACAAGATCTGAGGTTATCACTTATCAACGTGCGATAATATCCCATTTTCCGTTCTATAAAGAACAATTAAATGACAAAAAAAACAAAAATAGAGTTGACCAAATTCGGCTATATAAATCGAGTTTCAAAGAAGCCAAACCCATCATCCAACTCCTCTTGTTTTACGCATCTCTCTCCTCTGAAAAACAAAAACACATCGCACAAATGGCAAAATTCTCCACCTTGCTTATGATAGCTCTTCTCCTTTGCTCCACGCTAATGTGCACCGCTCGTCCTGACCAGACCTTTTCTGCATCTATCACGATTGTTCCGGCCGACCCATGTAACCTGGTTAGTCTAAACTTGCATGCAAGAGTCCATCACGAGACATACCATATTACCAACAAATAGTTAATCATGGACATATACATGCACATAATCACAACCAGTTTTTAATATATATGTATAAACTGGTGAATTCGTATAGGACCCCTATTATTTTAAAAGGTTCACTAAAGAAATTTGTTGAATACGTATAATATCATCAAATCCCCTAATTTGAGATGTACTCCATGCAATGCAATGATTGATTTGGCAGGAGAAGAAGATAGATGGAAAAGTGGATGATGTGTCGGAAGAGAATTGTGGTGCCGACGATGAAGACTGCTTAATGAGGAGGTCTTTGGTTGCTCATGTTGATTACATCTATACACAGAAGCAGAAAAAGAATCTTTGATTTTTCTCAAATTTGTATTATTCGTAACAAAATTATTGATAAAGATTAGTATTAGATCATCAAGATTGTTAAGGTTGCGATTATTACACAATTAGTTACGGCACGTAGCCAATAGATATAATTCGAATGTGATATGCAATAGTATTGAAAATTGATAATGTAGTGGTGGAAATCTAATGATTTGTTAATGTGGTTTTATGATAATTATGTTTGTAAAGTGTGTCTATATTATTGTCAATCTTTTTTTTTAATCGTATGACAATTGTAATAGAATAAGGCATTTGGTTTTTTCTTATATAAAAAAATACTGACTATAAACATTGTATAATTAGAGAATAATAGTTATATGAATTAATGTAGATACTAGTGACAATATAACTGAAATGCTTGATAAATATAATTGAAACAATTAGTTTAGTAAATAGAATCAAATAAATTATTGTTATTTAGAAATAAACTATTAATTTATACATAATAAGAATAGAGTTACCAAAATTTTGCTTTCCAAAAAAATAAGCATAACATAAGCAAATTATATGCAAATCATAAGTAAAGCATAATAAGTACGATACTTTTATCATGTTTTGCTAATATATATTTAAAAAAATCAAATATTTAAGAATGATAGCACAACAGTTATCATTAAAAAAAATGATGAAAGAAAAAAGCTATTAGCATTATCTATTTATCTAATTTTTTAAAGTTTATTAGAGAGTATGAAAATAGATAACCTTAAAATACTACAATAGTCTAACCCACTATTTCTTTCCTGCATGATGTTTTTGTTCAGTACCAACGGCAGCGATCTCATCATCTATGGGAGCGATTTCACCATTGATCTTTGGATTAATGTTGTTTTCTTTTAATTATCTATCTATCTTTCTTTTCCTTATATATGTAGTAATAACTGACGTAAAAAAAAAATGTAGTAATAACTTCTTTTAATTTTCCTCATGTAATGGCTTATTTTAATGAATGAAAGTTTTCTTTATCTCTAATTCCAGTTATCTATCTTTATGTCATTCTCTCTTTCTGCATACCCACTAATTTATTTTCTATGTTCAGGTTTGTTTTTGTACAGTTTTTACCCAAAACATTTGGATGAAAAATGGCAAAATACATAAACAAGATTCCATCATTTTGATGGGGGAGCTTTGTCACGGAAGATGAACTCGAGGGAACCTACACCGTATCCCTCACCGAGAAGGACTTCAAAACCACCGAGGTGGAGGAGGTCGACGGCAACGAGGTCGAAGTGGACGAGGCTTTGGAGAACCTAAACGTTGTCATGGCAACAATGATGAAGGATTACGGGCCGCCAGTGGTAGCTGCGCCGACGCCGACGTCTGTCGAAGTTTCAGTCCCAGCTGGACAAGCTCAACAGAGAGGCTGGAACCTCCGGCTGGCGACGGCATAATTTCCTTTCAGCTTGTTTTAATTTCATGTAATGGCTCTGTTTTATGTTTAATGAATGAACTTTTAAGACTTAAGACTCTTGCTCTTTCTAGGATTGGAAGACATTCATATTATAAGGTGGTCAATTTGAGCATTCAGGTATTCTTGGTTTTTCTGATATTTGAGTTACAAGATATGATCTGAGAGTCGGAATTTATTGATGATTTAAAATTTCTTGGACATTCTTTTGACTAGATCGAATTCTACTCAACACTAGCTGAATTGTTTAGTGTAGATTCTTGTGGTTTCTTCTGGATTTGGAAATGAAGAGAGCAACGAGTTTTCTTCTATCCTATGTTTGGTCTACGTTACTGATTCTCTTATGTTACAGATTGATACTGAAGTCAGTAACGTGAATTCTAAGTCACAGTGCTTTTTTTTTTTATGTGCTAATGAATTTTGGATTGATTCTACAGTTTGTGCATTGTATCGTGTGGACAAAACACCTGCTCTTTGCAAAGTTGTTTTGGCGACAAGAATCAGAAAAATGATCTTAATGTGCGATCCAACAAGCTCATCGAAAGAAAAAGAAGATGAAGACATTAAGCACTATGGTAGAAATATATATATATATATATATATATAATCATGTGTTTGGTTCTAACATTGAACCAAGGCCTATATACAGTAAGGAAGTCTTGCCGTCTCAACAAAATGATCTCTGTCATGCCGTCGCTGGGCCTGTAACATAGAAGCATTGAAGTTATTCAACAAGGTCTATTTCCAAGTGTCGTTTTGCTGATTAATTCACGGTTTTGTCCTTTTGACAAAGAGGATCAGTTAGCTGAATTAGTATAAGATCATCAAGATTGTTACATAATTACAATTAGTATAAGATCATCTAAATTCTATGAACTTAAATTGAAAACAATAAGCACAACTTTATTAGAAAACAACAAACAAAACCCAATCTTTTTAGAACCGAAAGCCTCTGGCTGAGACAGAAGTAACTTCTCTCTTTTAAAACTCAAAACCCTTATCTTCTTAATTTCTAAAAACCAAAAACAAAAAAACGGACCTGTCGCCGGAAAAAATGGTTCTCCTCCGATGTCGATTCTTAACGATAAATCTCACTCCTTTGCTACCCTCACACTTTCAATCTCACAACTTCCACACGACCCGTCTCTTCCGTAAATCCAATTTCATCTCTATCCCACAAATCTCAGCTTCCTCTCTCCCCACAAACAACACAACAAAACGCTCGATTTCCGATTCGGCTCGATTCGCAAGCTCCGTCTTGTTCATACCTCCTGGTGTTGAAGTCGAGGAGCTAACAGAGGAAATGGTGCTTCCGGGCTCCAACATCGTAATCGGACCTTTCGCGGGCCATTCCCAAATCAAAGAAGTCGAATTCGTCAAGAGCAGTGCTCGTGCTAGAGACTGTCCTAAAGACGATCGTCCCGAGATTGCCATCTTAGGTCGCTCCAATGTCGGAAAATCCTCGCTCATCAATTGCTTGGTTCGTAAGAAAGAAGTCGCTCTCACCTCCAAGAAACCAGGTCTGATTCTCTTCAAATTAAAAATCCAAACTTTAATTTCAAAAAAAAAAAACTCAACTTTGATTTTGAAAAAAGTTTCGATTTTTATTGTTTTTGTGGAACAGGGAAGACTCAGCTTATAAATCACTTCTTGGTGAATAAGAGTTGGTTCATTGTTGATTTGCCTGGTTATGGGTAATGTGAATTTTGATCTCTCTTTCTTCTTGCTTTCGTAACACAAAAGAAAGCAATGTTCTTTGTGTGATATTTGATTTGGAATCATTGCAGATTTGCTAAAGTTTCAGATGCTGCGAAGACGGATTGGTCTGCGTTTACTAAAGGTTACTTCTTGAACAGAGACACACTTGTTTGTGTGCTTCTTCTGATTGATGCAAGTGTTCCTCCTCAGAAGATTGATCTTGATTGTGCCAATTGGCTCGGTCGCAACAATGTATGTCTTGATTTAGCTACAGAATTCTCAGTATCTTTGTTTTTGAGAGGAGTTTCTGAAATTTGTTTGGTTTTTGGTTGAATGTTTCAGGTACCGATGACATTTGTGTTTACGAAATGTGACAAAATGAAAGCAGCGAAAGGGAAGAGACCTGATGAGAACATCAAAGCTTTTCAACAGATTATTAGAGACAATTTCAAAATACATCCTCCTTGGATTATGACGAGTAGTGTCTCCGGTTTAGGCAGAGACGAGCTTCTTCTTCACATGTCGCAGCTGAGAAACTATTGGGATCAATAAGGGAACACTGTTATAGAATAGGTCCATTTTGTAATGTAACAGTAACAAGTTTGTTTCTTCTCTCTTTTTGTATACATAAAACATAAAACAAATCTTTTCTAGTTATATCGAAAGAGAAGAAGCTACAAAGTTCTCTAATTTCAAGAATTGCAAGAAAAATGTCAAAGCTACCATCTTGAAAGATTTGCTGGACTAAGAAGAGGGAATGCTTCCCAGAATCTTGATGACGATGGCGAAAGATCGAACGCGAACGGGTTGTCTTTAGTAGATGTTGTTGTTTCGTCAGAGATCTTGAGTGGTTTAGCCTCTGGTAAAACTTGATGCACCTCTTCTTGCTCATGATGGTCTTGTGAACCGGTTAGCCTCTGAACCAGCTCCTTGAAGTTGACCGGCTCGACTCGGTAAACTTGAGGACGCATTCGTTGAAGCGAAGCTGTTACAGGTCTTTTCCATGGCTTTGCAGGCTGTTTTTGGATCGAATGGAGAGAAGTGTTGTAGTTTTGTGATGATCTTGTGACTGTTTCTTGTGTTCTAAGGTAAGTCTGAGAGAAACATGGACGTGAAGTAGCTTCCATGGCGAACAAAGATTTCTTAAGGATTTTGAAGATAAGTGTGTGATTTTGATGGCTTTGTGTGTGTACATGTATGTGTGTATTTATATGTATGTGTGTGTGCGCGTTGTGATATTTGTCAACGTTTTTAAGCGTTTAGTCAAAGCGTTTTGTTTATGTTTACTTGAATCTTCTTTTGCGGCTTTTATTCGGTTTTGACTTTTAGTGTGAATTATCTTGAAATAAATGTGTGTTTTTGTGGTAAGGGATGACGATTCATGGAATTGAAATTTCAACGTGGGTGTGCTTAAATATTGTATTTTCTTTTCTTTTAAAAATGTTAGGTGGAAAAGCAATGTGAACAATCTTTTGTTATTGACATGTTTGTATTTGGGATAATCTATTCAAAATAAAATATCTATCTACTACTTTCAAATACGGATAATGGTCACAAACTACACCAATCATCATTGACATAAGCAAAAACTATACTGAGTTTTCATCACTTTTCATTTTTATACGGATTATTTTTTATCTACCATTATTTTTAAATATAAAATCACTATTTAAACAAAGAAATTCTGAAAATTGAGTGACTGGCCGAAGAAGACATGTAATAATGTTTGGAGGAAAAATATTTGAATGGCCTGGAGGACACAGTATTGGGCCAAGATTTCTAAGGCACAGCATTATTTGCAACGTGCATCAGATGAAAATTATACTATTAGCTTGTTTATGTTCATGTACTAGTGATTGAGAAATCAAGTGCAATCTTTTTTTTTTTTTTTACGTCAAAGTATCATTTCATTCATTATGTAAAAGATACAAAGTCATTATACAAACAATGAGAAAGCCACAATGGTGGATTCAAACGAGAAGAATAAAAGGTTCCATTATCACGTAATTGAGAAGCTAAGATATGAGTAACAGAATTATTTTCTCTCCTAGTGAATTTGAAATTGCATTCCTTGAAGTTCTCTTTCCATTTCAAAATATCCCAGGAGAGATTTTCAATTTTGTAGTCTTTCTGTTTACCACATATTACATCTAACAAAACTTTACAATCTCCTTCAAAAATGACGTGATCTAAACCCATACTCCAAGTTTGTTGCATTGCAATGAGAAGAGCTTTTGCTTCAGCATCAAGTGACGATAATGACATCCCCAAGTTAATTGTTCCCCATGAAAACGCTACGCCTGTATGATCCCGAATGATCCATCCCGCCAAAGATTGATTTGAATGAAGATCAAAACTTGCGTCAAAGTTACATTTATGAAAACCTAACGGTGGCCGTTGCCAAGATACCTCCCGTGAAACAGAATGATTTCCATTGGCCGTAGTAGCGCTATCCGATGCATTTGATGAATGATCGTGAATTCAACCATTCTAACACATCTGTTTGAGCTTGCTGAATAATAAGCTGCGGTGGAGTCATTTCTTTCTTAAAAATTAGACGACATCGGGATTTCCAAATTCGCCACACTAACCAAAAGGGATAGAGTTTCTGGTAATCATTTAGACCCCTATGATTTTGTAACTCAAGTAGTTTTGAAATCTGGTCATCACAATTATCATCATGTTGATTCAAAGGTTGCCAAGGTAGATTACACATTCTCCAGACCATTAGGGAAATCGGACAAGAGAACAGTGTATGATTAATAGATTCTTGTGACGCACAACAACGTTGGCATGTTTCATCAATTTTCATACCTCGTGTAACCAATCTAGTATCTGTAGGTAGTGCTCGTGACAAGATTCTCCAAAAGAAATGTTTTATCTTTGGCATAATCTGTAATCTCCAAATCTGTTCCTTTAGTACCGGGTCACCATGAGGAATGATTATATCTGGATGATCTTGAATGTGGTCTCTAAAAGCTAACCAATAACCACTTTTAACCGTATATTCCCCTGATTTGTCATAACTCCACACTGGTCGATCTTCCTTCTTACATTGTGGCAAGTACATACATTGAAGCAAAGTCCTATCTTCTGGAGTAAGTAATTCTTCTGCTTTCGTCATATTCCACGCCTTTGTATTTCCAAACTCCCTGATTAAATCTTTAACTCGAACATCTTCCTGCCCTGCCAATCGGGTTGCTTTCCTTGGTGGATGACACGGAAGCCAATTATATCTTCGAAAACTCTTGTTGTTTCACCATCTCCTATGACATGTTTAATCCCCTTTTTCAACAAAGTCAAACCTGTAACTATAGAGCTCCATCCATAGGATTCATTGGTTCGATGTTTTGCCTCCAAAACTGTCGTATCTTTGTAGTACTGTATCTTGCTTTCATCAATCTAGCAAAAAGTGTATTTGGATGTTTGAGCAGTCTCCAAGCTTGTTTAGCTAGAAGAGCATCATTAAATCTTGGTAAATCTCTAAATCCCAAACCACCATCTCTTTTAGAGAATTGTAGTCTTTTCCAAGCTATCCACGGAATTCCTCTGTTTTTATCTCCCTTATCCCACCAGAAACGCATTAAGAGAGTACTAATTTCATCCGTGATGTTCGCCGGTAACTTGAAACATGACATCGAGAAAACCGGCATTGCGACGCCAACCGATTTTATCATCACCTCTTTCCCAGCATATGATAAGAACTTTGCGCTCCAATGTGACGTTCTTTGGTTAACTTTATTGATGATGGACTCGAACATGTCCTTCTTCCTGCCAAATTGTTCCGGGAGACCTAAATACTTTCCTCCACCTCCTTGCTTGTTGATACCCAGAATGCTTTTCAAACGATTTTGGAGATCTCCTGGAATTCTTGAGCCAAAAGTAATTGTTGATTTGTTGTCCCGACCACTCTTCATAAGTTTTGAAAATATGTTTGAGTGCGTTACAATTTTTGTTGTTTGCTTGACAAAAGAAGAGTGAATCATCTGCAAAAAGCAAATGAGAAACAGCTGGAACACCATTTCCAATTCTGATTCCACGAATTTTACCCTCTCTTGTTTGTTTTTCAATCATATGACTTAAAACATCTGCACATAAAATATAGAGATAAGGCGATAAAGGATCTCCTTGGCGTAGACCTCGTTCAGGTTTGATGCGACCTTGGGGATTTCCGTTCACGAGAACTGAGTATTCCACCGTAGTAACTGTTGCCATAATCCAACTAGTCCATTTTTCATTGAAACCAAAAGCTCTAAGAATTCTTTCCAAAAACTTCCATTCAATGCGATCATATGCCTTTGAGATATCAGTTTTAATTGCCATGTAAGTTTTTGAAACTTGTTTTCTAGACTTTAAAGAATGCATGAGTTCATGTGCAATGAGTATGTTATATGTGATCATACGCCCAGGAATAAAAGCAGATTGTGAATCAGAAACAATTCGATCCAAAAAAACTTTTAGCCGGCGAACTAAATTTTTTGATATGATCTTATATAAAACATTGCATAAGCCTATAGGTCGAAAATCAGAGAGCGTATCTGGCTTATCAATTTTTGGAATCATACAAATGTTGGTATGATTGATACTTCTCTTCATATAGGAAGTTGCAAAGAAATCCTTGACCTCTTTCGTCACATCCGCTCCCACTGTGTCCCAACAGCTTTGATAAAATCTTGCAGTCAGACCATCCGGTCCAGGGGCTCTATCTGCTCCAATGGATGATAGTGCTTCATTAATTTCTGTTTCTGAGATATCACCTACTAGTCTTTCATTCATCTCCTCATTCACAGTTGGTGTGAAAGTTGCAAAAATGTTCTCATAACTCATCTGTTGTTTGAGAAATCAAGTGCAATCTAAAATACATAATTTAAGTGAACATAAAGAGACCAAATATCTGAGAATCCCACTCATGATGACTTACTCTATGGAAAAGAAAATAAAGTACCTGACTACCTGCAAGCTGCAACTAAACTACTGTTTTCTTTATCTCATTTTCCCTACAATAATCATTAAATTACCCAAAAAGATTCCACAAATCGTCGGCAAAGATTCGGCAATGTAAACCTCTCAAATCATGGATTATATAAAATTATAAAAGCACATCTAAAAAGTTTTAAAAGGCAAAAGACAATCAAACATTTTAACAACACACACACAAAGAGAGCCACATAGGAGAAATTTTAAATTCTTTGAAAAATCACCAGGGCTCATCAGGATAATCGAACGGTACAGGTTGAAGAGGGGAAGTCTTGCCTAGATCCGAGTGTACGAAACCATACCTACGCATCACTTGATTATCAGCAAAATTGATGGCCTTGATCATCCCATTCCAACACGTGTCACCATCGTACATCTTGTTGTGGTCCCCACTACAAGGCTGGCATCCCGTGAAATGCGTCACAAACGGCCTCCGTAGACTCCCTTTCCCGCCTCTTTCTCCTCGCAGAAACCTCTCCTCTCTAAACGCAGCGTATCGCTCGCTCACTTTCTCCGCGTGTCTCCTCCGCAACGTGGCGTCCTCTCGCTCCATCTCCAGATACCGGTCCGTGAAATTACCCAAACCCGGTACGATCTCTAACCAATACCCTTCGAAGTAATAGTCTCCTTCGAGGTATATCTTAGGATAATACACCTCTCTGTGTTTAAACAGCAAATAGAGCAGAGCCGTCTGATCATCTGACTCTGGAAACAGCTTATCTTTAAATATCGACCGTTGGATCTGTCCCCACTTAGCATACTCTGGACTCTTTGGGCCCATGCTCGTCCACGTGTCAATCAGCTCCATAGACCACTGACAGTTCCTGATGAGGAAGACGCCGGCGTTTAACGCCGTCCAGCTCCGTTCATCGTAAACAACTCCAGGCCAGCCGTGAACGACGAGGTTGTGATTCCGGTAACGATGAAACGGCGGAGTAAAATCCATGTCGGTGAAGAGAGCATCGGAATCAACCCACCAGATCCATTCCGCCTCCGGATGAGCAATCATCGCCGATTTAACCGCCGGGAGTTTCGCCCAATACGAATTCATCTTCGGGTGAAGAAGCGCGTTGCTGTAGAAGATGTCGTGGCCATGGATTCGACAGTAGTCGACTTTGTTTTTGAAGAATCGGAGCAACAGGTGATCTCCGATCGGGTTTTTACAAGGTCCGGATTGTGACCCGGTTACCATAACCGTTCGATTCTCGGCTCCGTGGATAAACGACGGGTGTAACTCTAACCACCGTCTTCGTTTCTCGTCCCAGCCCTTAACCGGTTTCTCGATTATATAAGATAGATCCGGGTCGTCGTAGAAAACCGGGTCGGGTGGATCGTACCGCATATCGGTTCCTCGATAACATTTGGTGGATTCATCGGTGTTAACGCCGAGATTTGGGGAAAGAGAGGAGAAGGAGAAGAAAGACCAAACGAGAAGAAGAGACATGAAAGCTCCGCCGAGAAAGAGAACGACATCGGAGACGCAGATGACCGGTCTGGTTCTTGCTCCGGCGTATTTTGCCATCGGAGATGATTGGTAATGAGACGCCTCAGACGAGACCATTCAGAACATTTTCCTGCAAAAGTCTGCAATTTTTAGAGATACAATTTCGAAATTTGGAGACTTTGTTGTATAAAGGGAATGACTTTTTTTTTTTTGTCTTTTTTCTTTTCTTTTTCAATGTAACATAAATGTACCATTATTCACTCGTTTGATATACTTACTTAAATTGTTTCAGAGTTTCCAAAAGGGAAGTGAAATTAAATTACTCACACCCTTAGACCGATTTGTTTTCGTTCTTTGATTGGTAGGTTTAAAATGCGAAAATGAAAGATGATTTTGGTAGGTTTATGTTATAAGTTTATGACTGCAAGTGATAAGGCTTTAGTCAAAATTCATGTGATGATGATGTACTTTTGTTTTGGTGGTAACTTGAAACAACGTGACTACGTGAGTGTGCTATAAGCCTATAACCGAATCGGACCGGTGCACCGACACTGCTCCTAAAATACGATTTGGGGTTGATGCCGACATGTCGGTGTCCGGTTAAGCAACGGCACGTGAGTTTTCTGACGATAGTTTTTGTATGCTTTTTTATTGTTTGTCAATTTTTGATGATACATACAAGTACAGAAGATTACTATTTCACCCGTAATTTCGGCTTTAATGTGTTGAAATTTGCACTACTTAATTCGGTTTGAGCTTTTAATATTAAAAACTAAAAAGTATAGGGTTTATGATAATATATTGGACCTAGATAGATAGTATCACTAAAACAGTAAAACCTCTGGAAATCAAAGATTAGTTCTTTTTATATTGTGAATTCCGAATCCCTAGTCACCGAAGACAGTCACGTAGAGTGTGCATCTCTCTGCCCATCACAGTTAATGAGGACATTGAGGAGGCACAAGATACGGAGCAATTATACAAAACTATTTCAGTTTTTTCTTTATAATAAAACAGCTCATATGATATGAATGTAGTAACGCTCAACAAGAGCATAAACTAATCTTTATACAGTCAAAAACAGGAATTGGGTATTGTTGTCAAAGTTGTTTTCATGCTTCTCTATTACCATTAATAGAGCTTAAAATTCTGCTTCAATGTTGTCGAGAAAGGACACTCCTATCGTAGTTGCACTTCAGCCATCCAGCTTTAGGCTTTTCCGATTTTGTCTAATTGTTACAATTTACAAACTTGTTTTGTTTCTCACTGATTGTCCCTTACCTCTCACAGTGAGTATTAAGAAGCTTTTAGCCATTCCAGTGCATTCCCTATTGCTAGTTTCATTCACAAACTCCGTTTCTTTGAAAGATCAATTTGTTTATGTTATTCCACAGTGGAAGTTGTTGTTACAGACTCCGAACCAAACTCACGTGTTCGACTGCATGGGAAGTGATGTAGGATCAATTTCTTGACTTGACTGTTCTATTAAGCATCGCTAGGAAGCAAGTTTATGAATATGTGGTTGAGATTTCACCTTTTATATTTTTGTTTTGTACACTCGGATCTAAAGTGATATTGGAGAATAATGTTCAAGTTCTAATTACAAAGTTATCAGTATACCAAAAACAAAAGATGAAAACTAAAAACAGTTTAGAAGAAAAAAATACAAATTCTCTCGATAAGTACATTTTTTCCTTAAATTGACTAAAAATACAAAGATACATGAATTTGAGAAGAAAATAAAAAATATTCGAGTTTCTCTAATCATCTCGCTTTGAAAATAGACACCCATGATCACAATAACCATCCAAATCGAATCTCAAATTGCTATATTATCTCAATACACCTTTTTTCTTTGTTGTTCCAAAAATAGAATGATCTCGTTACACCTTATCTTAAAAAAAATCATTTTCTTACATTTATTTGTTTTATTGATTATCCAAGAGTCTAATAAGAACGAGAGAAGAAAAACCTCAATGACTCACTCTCTTTATCTTCTAAGTCATCATCCAACATTTTCTTCTGATCTTCTTCAAATAAAAATTTAAATGGCAAACTGCAGATCCCAACCACCGTGGAGTGGCGCACTCAGCCGCGGCGAGGGGTCCAAAAACTCCGGTTTGCGGCCTAAGCCTTCCGGTTCTTGGGTTTGTCCGAAGACTCCGAACCAATCTAGACACACTCACGTATCTTCTTCGACGAAGCAGCAGCAACGAAGCTGGACCAACGGTGGAGAAACGATGAGCCAATCCAACTTTGGAGCCGGAGGAGTTGTTGCGGAGGATGAGGAGGCAGAGTTAGTGGCGGTGCTACGTGAGGCTCATCCGTACGTGAATTTACACAGAGACAGCAAATTTGTCGTTATGCTGTCGGCTGAACTACTTGACTCTGGTTCGATCCTCGACGGCATTCTCAAGGTCACTACTCTTTTACTCAGTCACACTCTTTTTCTCATTACTAGATTCCAAAAACAAAAAACGTGTGACCAATGGATAATTTCAAATAATTTTCTAGATATTATATACCGAGTTTACAAAATTTCATAGTTACGTAGATAATAAAAGTTATAAAATACACGTTTGTATTGCATTTCACATCTTTATCAAATCGACCAATCAGAAGACCGTAATAATTCGAAATACTATCTGACGTAGACGGTAACGAAAACTCAGACAGAGACAAAATGCAAGTACCGGTTCGGTGGTGCAAAAGCGAACCGGTTAAAATAATTTCCGTTCGGTTCAATAACCGAAATAGACCGAATTTGAAATGTTCGTGTCGACACAGCTCTGATTCCTTCGAATACTTTTCTTCTTCTTCCTCCACCGATCGGCTTGCCATTGTTTACCATCTTGCTCTGTTTTCTGTTAAATCTTCATCGGAATAATCCGAATTCCCTTTCCACGAATGTTTGAGATGACGGAGCGAGGAGCTATGGTGGTTTCTTCTTCTATCTGCTACGTTCCATTCCGATTTCCTCAAATAAAAAAGAGTTTTCCTTTTCGAGACAAATTCGAGCCGAGCAAGAAGCTAACTCGTAATCATCGTCAATTGATAATTCCTCCGGTTTCTCAATCTTCTTCTCCGGCGACAACGACGGTTGCGAAATGCAACATGTACGATTACGCGGAAAGTGATGAGAATCTGGTCGGCGATAAGCAGTTTGTGCGGTGGTTCCGTGAAGCCTGGCCTTATTTGTGGGCTCACCGTGGATGCACTTTCGTCCTTGTTATCCTCGGCGAGATCTTATCCGGTCCCTACTGCGACGCCGTTTTAAAGGCATTCATCTTTTTCCTTACCTCTTCTTATACTTCTCAGAGTTTTAGCTGTATTAGAAAATTATGCACGCAAGGTGTTTGATTGTTTGTCAAGCTTAAAAAAAATTGAAACTTGAAAATGTAGTTTGTGTGTTTATCCTCAAAGTACACATCTTTCTTAACAAATATCTTATTGATTGCAAATTCAGAATTCACTTCTTATAAATTTGAAAATATGTGTGCAGGACATTGCATTTCTTCATCAACTTGGCATCAGGTTCGTTCTAGTCCCTGGAACTCAAGTGCAAATCGACGAGCTTCTAGCTGAGAGAGGTCAGAAACTTATTCTTTTGATTGGCTTGAACTTCAACAATCAGTTTAGTTAGTTAGTGGTGGGGAAGTTTATAACTTTATGGTGAAATAGTTAAATGTGATCATTTCATGAATCTTTGAGCTTGTTCAGATGGAGCCTAAGGTGTATCAGTTTTCAGGACGTGAGCCTACATACGTGGGACGTTACAGAGTCACAGACTCAGCATCTCTGCAAGCTGCCAAGGAAGCAGCAGGAGCGATATCGGTGATGATAGAGGCCAAACTATCTCCGGGACCTTCCATTTGCAATATACGCCGACATGGTGATAGTAGTCGCTTGCACGAAACTGGTGTTAGAGTCGACACTGGTAACTTCTTTGCAGCAAAAGTGAGTGTTCCACTTTCTTGATTTGTTAGTTTGAATGTCGATGTTTGTTCTGATAAGTGGTCATGGCAGAGAAGAGGTGTTGTTGATGGTATTGATTTTGGATCAACCGGTGAAGTGAAGAAGATAGATGTTGATCGGATCCGGGAGAGGCTCGATAGTGGTTCTATAGTTTTACTGAGGAACTTGGGCCATTCCAGCTCCGGAGAGGTCTTAAACTGCAAGTATGCTCTGTTTCTTAGTGATATTAAATCTTGAAGAAGTGAGTTTTCTTACTCTGATATTGTGGACATTACTTCTACACTGCAGTACCTATGAGGTTGCAACAGCTTGTGCTTTAGCTATAGGTGCAGATAAGCTTATTTGCATAATGGACGGTCCGATTCTTGACGAGAATGGACATCTTGTTCGCTTCTTGACTCTTCAGGAAGCAGATACGTTAGTCAGGAAACGGGCACAGCAAAGCGAGATAGCTGCCAATTACGTAAAAGCTGTTGGCGATGGAGACATAAGTAGTCTTCCTGAACCTCTTGGATACAATGGGATGGTGACGACTTCCAGCAACCATAACGGGAGAGGGATTTGGGAGAAACACACTCCGACTTTTCAGAACGGTGTTGGATTCGACAACGGAAACGGATTGTGGTCTGGAGAGCAAGGTTTTGCTATTGGCGGTGAGGAGAGACTTAGCCGGTTGTATGGATATCTCTCTGAACTGGCTGCAGCTGCGTTCGTCTGCAGAGTGAGTCCTTGACCTTGACCATTGTGCTCTGTTAATTTACTTCCAAGTTTTCTGATTCATTTGATGTGTTGAAAGGGTGGTGTCAAAAGAGTTCACTTGTTGGATGGTACTATAAGTGGAGTGCTATTGTTGGAGCTTTTCAAAAGAGATGGCATGGGGACTATGGTGGCGAGGTACTACTATGCACAACTTGTTTAAGTTGCGAATCATTCAAAGGTTTAATCTTTCTCACACCCTTCATGTTACAGTGATGTATACGAAGGAACCCGAGAGGCGAAAATGGAAGATCTTGCTGGAATTAGACAAATAATCAAACCCCTGGAAGAATCTGGGAGCTTGGTTCGTAGAACTGATGCAGAGGTTAGTCTTAACTTCAGCCTTTCTCGTTGCTTTTTGTGTTAAGCATTGAAGAGCTAATCGGTTTTTGGTGTATCAGCTACTGCAAGCTTTGGATTCGTTTGTGGTTGTGGAAAGAGAAGGACAGATAATCGCTTGTGCTGCTTTGTTCCCTTTCTTTGAAGACAAATGTGGAGAAGTTGCAGCGATCGCAGTCGCATCAGATTGCCGTGGACAAGGCCAAGGAGATAAACTGCTCGGTATATAATCACACAAACCTCTGAACATTTTGTGTTTCGAGTAAACCGGTTTCTTAATAGACTTTGAAACCTTGCAGATTACGTTGAGAAGAAAGCATCAGGTCTCGGGCTCGAGATGCTGTTTCTGTTGACGACGAGAACCGCAGACTGGTTTGTGAGACGAGGGTTTGAGGAATGCTCTATAGAGATGATACCGGAGGCAAGACGAGAAAGGATCAATCTTTCGAGGAGATCAAAGTATTACATGAAGAAGTTGTTGCCAGACCGGAGTGGGATTTCAGTTGTTAGAACATTTCAGTACGGTTCTTGAAACCTTGAGAGAAAGATGGAGAAAAGGCCTTTTTAATCACTATCCGTGTATAGTTTAACATCATCATCACCAATGAGAAAAGGCCTTTTTCCAAATATTTTGATAGTTTAGCTTCCAATTAGGAGACTTTCTTTGATTGGTTGATATCTTACACAACACTAAAATGAAACGGAAGAATGTTTATTTTATGTTAAGCAAAGTCTTTATTTGGTAATAATGAGAAAGATGGAGATCACAACACAATGTCACACAATACATGGAATATTTATGAACAAGCTGAATATAAATTAAGGTGTGCGAGGAGCCGTCTGAGTGTAGATGTAATCGAGGTGAGCATCCGATGTCGTTTTCATCAGACATTCCTCAGTATCACACTTCTTCTTCATTTCCTTCAAACAAACAAACAAATAAAATGTTTTGGATTGTTTTTAAAAATGTCGAAATGTTTAGAAATAAAACGTTTTTGAAGAGGTATTTACTGTAGGAGGAGAGTGTTGTGTATAGATGTAATCGAGGTGAGCATCGGACGTTGATTTCATCAAACACTCCTCCGTTTCACACTTCTTCTCCGTCTCCTTCATACAAAATTATTCAATCAGCCATATGATAAAACATAATCTAAACGTAATGTAATGTAATGGCTTCTAAGTGAATGAATGAGTAATCACCGCAGATTTTCTCTGGAGAGTCGAGTCGGGACGAGCCACTGAAGAAACAACCATGAAGCTAAGTAAAAGTGCTGCGACGATTAGGATGTTAGTCTTTGACATGGTTTCTTCTTCTTCTTGATCTTTTCTCTTTTCTCTTTTATGAGAGTTTGTTTGGTTTTTGTGATATATATTGAGTGATGCAGATCAAATTTATAAGGCAAGAAGAGATTAGGTGAGAGCGTGTTAGGAATATGATTTTTTCGTTTTGGTTAATTGTTGTTTTTGTATTGCAATTTTTTTTTTTTTTTTACATTTTGTAATGCAAAATTAAAAGTCTTTTTTTGTTCCTTTGTAAAGAGAGGCAGGAGTTATTGATATTGCATAATAATACATTTATGGTAAGACTTTAAAATGTTTTCTTAATGCACTCAAAATTTCCAAAACATTTGTATTTTTGTTACTTACTAGTCAACTAGTCAACGTCTTTTCCGTTTGTAACGCTTGAGTTATAAATGAATCCTTTGGAGAAAAAAACGAAATTACTGAATAATTGGTTAATTTCTTCTATTGCCGGCTATATATATTGTCATATAAAATTATAATATACAACCTTTCGTATAAATCTCTTATTCTTTTCCTTCGAACAATTAATTACCCGAATTTTTAAATAATTAAATGAACTCAGCTTTCTAAAAAATAATTTTTGTCAACCTTTCTAAAAAAAAAAACTTTGTGTGCGTGTGTGTATGCATGAACCTCCGAAAAGATTACAAATCAGATCAGACTATAAAAAGAAATAAATCTCGGCGGTTTTTTTTTTGTTTAATCGATCGCAGGCGTTCTAGAAGTATTTCACATTAAAATAACTCAACTGATTTTATCAAAATGACTCAAAATAGATTTTATATAAAAAAGTATATACAAGGGTAAGATTTCCTCTTTGTACATTAACACGATTGTGAATGATGATAATGATGATGCAAATGTTAAGATAGGGACGAATTCTATCATTATGGATTAGATCTCATTATATAAGAAAGGAAACGTATCTGATTGGATTTTTATAAGATGAGAGCTTTATATATCTCCTTTTTAAGTTTTGTATTAAATATAACGAGTCAAAGACAAATGTTTTTGATTTTCTTAAGCTTCTCATCAAAATTAAAAAAAAAAAAAACGATTAGAAGAATGTAAAATCAAATAAAAAAAAGGGACCTGTCAGACTGCCGTGCGACCACCCCGGCAAGGATTTGACCGAGCCGAGTAACGATCCTCTACAGCACCAGATGCATCTAAGGACGATCGACCGTCAATCACGCTCCGATCGCACGGTCATGGTTCATCAACCAGGGTTTAGGGGCCTGTCTCCTTAGAAATCAAGGATACAGAGGTACGATCCTATAGAACTGATCCTGTTCAAGTAAGGTCGTGACCTTTGTTGCTCTCTCAGTCTTATATATACAGAAAATATATTCTTTATAGCAGCGATGTGGGATATTTATTCAGCAGCGAAAGGAAATCTTAGAGAAACATATATAACGTCCATAATGTATGCACTGCGCAGGATCCTCTTTGTTAGTTAAGTTTGCTGTAATTCCCTAATTATACGTATTAGATATCTTGTTACTACATGGCGTTTAGCCTAATGAATAAAACCTGTTTTTTCAGCTCATTTTGACAAAAGAGGAGACGAATATCCAAAAGCGACGCTAAGCTTTGTCCTCTTTCATTGAATCTCTCGCTGAATTATGAATCAGATTACGTGTTTTGTGGGCTGTTGTGATCTTCAACATTTTCTCCGTTGCGTTGTACGTGCCAAGTATGAGTGGAAAGAAGGTAAACTTCCAACGTGTTGTCTGACTTTGAGTTTTCTCTTCGATATGTTGCTTCCTAGAAAAGTAACGTTGCGTTAGGATTTAGTATCCTCATTGGAGGTCACGGATAAAAATAAAATGATAGTTGCATTTGGTGGTTTTGTTTAGTTTGGAATGGTGATATTGTCGGTTATCGATCAAGTGTATTTGATCTGTTTACGACAAGAGTTGGAAACTTTTACGACAAAATCTGGCGGCAAAATGTAGTACTCTTTTTGTGTAGCTTAGCGTTGATCAATTTTTTCTATAACTTTACTTCGATCATTTGTGGTTATATTGATGTAGTTTTGTAAAATTTTGTGTAGTTGAAGACATAAAAGCCATTTATATACATTATTGTAGTCTTCTCTAATTGACACATCATCACTATCATTATTTTGTATCATGGCAGGTAATCTGTTTGGATCTTTTACAGAATATGAAACAAGGCTATTACTTGCGCAGACATGCATTAAGTCTCGTCAGAATCGTGAAGATAAGTGGATGGGAAGATTACATTTCGGCAACTTAATCAAGGAACCATTACAGAACAGGAAACAAGATTATCAGTTGCGCAAAAACCCATCAACGATCGTCAGAATCATAATGATAAGTGGATGAGAAGTACACATTTCGGCTCCTTGAATATTGTTTGTACAGAGGAAGGATCATCATCGGGGTTGAAGAATTGTTAAGTTAAAAGTCTATGAAAAAAAAAGATAGGTTTTTGCAATTAAACCTCACAATTCTAAAAGGTTTTAACGGATTTGGGGCATAAATACAATAGCCGTCTCTAAATAGCCCATTAAAAGAGAACAGATAAATAAAAAAGATTTGTCTTTAGATGGACACTCCATGGAGTTGCGAAACTAAGGTTGGTTGTTGAGTTGTAACGCTTCTTTAAGCTTGCGACCAAGAGCATAGGCAAGTGGTGGTGGCACCGCATTTCCGATCTGCCTGTGCTTATGTATTATGTTCCCAACAAACTCATACCTATCCGGGAACCCCTGCAACATTATCATACACACACCAAATCAATCAAAAACCAAATTGTTGCTGATGTTGCTAGAGAGAACTTGTCTAAGGAAGTAAGAACACGAACCTGAGATCGGGCACATTCACGGACAGTGAGAATCCGGTCTTGGTCTGGATGGAAGCACATTCCAACTTTACCCATAGGCTGAGGATCGGTGATTGATGTTGGAAAGTTTCCTTGCCAATCCAATCTTCCGTACAGTCCTTTCCACATATTGTGTCGCTTCGCTGTGTTTGGCAGACACCATGGGATCAAATCTTCACTCTGCCCGTTTTTTAGCTTGACCTGTAACACACAAGTAAAAGATAAGCATTTTTTTTTTTAAGTTTGCATCTATAAACGCAATCGTTTTGTTCTTGTAGTTGTACCTTCTCGTTTGGAAGGCTACGCCAATCAGCGCCTGGTCTCTTTGGGATATGCTGACAACGCTTGAGGTTCAGCTCATTCATCTCCTTGCATATGTGATCTGTCAAAACAATCATCTCCCCTCTGATCTCCTTTTGGAACAAGGAGATTGGTTCACCTTGATACTGCAAAGATCACAAGAATCATCGTCAGATTGGGTTATAGTTGCTACTTGTATGTTTATGTGTATGTGCAAGGGAATAAATACCTCTTTCTTCGTTTGGGATTCACCGTTCTCTACTGGAGGAAGGTCGCCGATCGTGTCTTTCACGGTGATCGGGCGGAAAGGTGCGCCGGTTTGTGTACTACGAACAGCAGCGTAGGTTAAGCCTTTGGATAAGGAGATTTTCAGCTCCGGCACGTTGAAGACGTGCATTGGCTCGGGCCACTCGGGAAGAACATCTTCCGGTGCAGCTGCCCATATAAACGCTCTTTTCCGGGATTGGGAAACACCATATGCTCCTGCTTCCAAAATCCCAAACCTTACCTGGCAAACACATCATATTGAAACTGTATCAATGGCAAACCCAACTACTACAACAGAGCAATCTAATGAAGAACACAGAGAGGAGCATGAGACTTTACCTGATAGCCCATTTCCAGAAGAGATGCTAGGGTGAGTCTAAACGTCTGTCCTTTGTTGAACGAGACAAGGTTCCTGACGTTCTCAAGGAGAAAGTATCTCGGGCGGAAATAATCAGCGAAGGAAAGGAATGCTAAAATCATCTCGCATTGGACTTTACTCCACGAGCTCTGGTTGAATCGATTCATACCAGAAAAGCCCTGCCAATTTGCACAGGTTAATAAGATCCCTTCACGTAGATCAACAATCTTTATGTATAGCAAGAACTTTTAATGCATGTACCTGGCATGGAGGACCTCCATTGATGAAATCGACTTGGCCTGGCATTGGCAGAGTTTGTTTTTGTTCCTCATCAAGCTTCCCCGCAAGTTCGTTTGCCTCGGTTGTGGAGATACAATCGTCTTGATCTCCGCATCTTTCCATTATGGCTCTGCAGATGAAAGAAAACTCAACCAACTGATCACACAACAAAAGAAAATAGCCACATAGGATGAGTAAGTGTTTTATCTTTGTTGAGATACATACCTCAGGATCACGTTACAGTTATCAACAAAAACTGTTGATTCGGGATGATTCTGTCTAAAAGCTTGACCAGCGGGCTCTTCATACTCAATTGCCCATTTTGTTGCAGACACACCTTGTAACATAAAGCATGCAAAAATGAGTACAACTTGTTTCAAAGCGTTTTGGTTGGATAAATGGTGTTGAGTGGAGATGATACATACCTGCTTGTTCAAGTCCCTGAGACAAGCCACCGCAACCAGCAAAGATATCTAATGTCGCCAGACGCATCTCTTTAGCTGCATCAACAGGCTTGACAGCCGCGGAATCGGTTTCACTCTCCACACCCTTCCCTTTCTTCTTCCTGAGAAGCGTGTCGTCCTTGATTTTAGAGAACTTCGGCTTGATATTCGCCGGCAACTGTAACAAGAGAGTTAAGAGAAACATTTCAACTATGCATCGGAAACAAAAGTAATTGACGGAAAACGAAAAGAAGTGAAGAATGATATACATACCTGTCTCAGAGAACCATTGGATGAGTCAAAGAAATGCTCACAGAAGAAAATGTTTTCTGATATTGGGTATTCTCGGCGTAAAGGCATATCAATCTTCTTCCTGACTTCGCACTTTCCCTGAATAGCCTCTGGATGGAGAACATATGTGTCTTCACTGTAATACACCTAAAACAAATTGCAAAAAGAAAAAAAGATTGTAAGATAAACGTATGCAGAAACCAACAAAAGTATTCACTAGATATATCACAGAAGTCATAGTTGTTACCTCTTGGATATCTGAGGCATAGGCCTTTTCCGGAGAGATGTCCTCAGGCCTGTGAAATCTTCTCACGCTTACTTCAAAGGAACCCTTTCTAGAATCCTTTACAATGACTTCAAGCAATTGGCAAACAACAAAAGCTTTTAAGCCAATGTTGCGACCAGACTTGAATTTCTCATCGCCCTTTGTCGATTCATCACTAGTTATGGAATCAGGGGTGACATAAACATAGTCCTCGACGGAATACTCAATCCCTTTGGAGAAAAATCCAGTCTTTGAAGCGTTAAGTTTCAGTTTCGACCTTTCTTCTTCATCCGCTCTTATCCTGCAGGAATTGCAGGATCCAGTACCACAACCTATAGCACCTCGTGGAAGACTAAAGAATCCTCCACGCTCAGGCAAGTATAAACTCTTGCAGTAATACTCTATTGGCAAACCTTTAGTCTTTCTTTCTTCTGCTCTGGCTCGGTCAAGCTTATCTTCAGTCGTGTTCTCTTTTCTAAACTGATAACCCCACCGCCTTGACCGAATCTCGAAACTGACTGTTCCTTTGATGTCCTTGAGATGTACACTCAGGCATTCAGTAGTCAGGAAAAGTTCCCTCTCGTTAGCAGCATTCGCTAGAACAGTCTCGGATCCTCTCTGTAGGTATCTTCCATGCAGCATTTTGCCGTGATCTGAACTTTCGAACATGTACTCCACCAAGTAGATGGCCAGAACTTCATCTGTATCATCAACTTCCAAGACGACAGCACTACCTACAGCCACCATTTCCCCTCCAACTAATGCTTGTCGATAGAGAGGCTCACCAGCAGAAGTTTTTCCTAGACTCTCGCCTTCCCATCTTATTTCCAGTTTTCCAGAACTGCTTCGGATTTTCTTTGGAGGAGTATGAGACTTCTGAACATCAACTGGTTCGGGCACAGTTTCCTCTGCTTCATCTGCGTCATCCTCTTCATTTTCGCCCTCTTCTTCAACCTCTTCCTCCACAACTTCTGCACCAACTGCCTGCACTGCCTCCTCCGGAGAGTAATTGGAGTAAAACTCGCCCCAAATTCTGTTGATCAGACGAGTTGTTGTTGCCTGCATAGCTTTCCTCTTGGACACCACAGGTGCCATATTTGCCCTTGGGTTCAGATTCTCTTTCTGCAAAATTTGCTTCTTCTTCTTGATGGTCCATCTACTGTTTTCCTTATCCGCCCTTTTAGTTGCAAGATCAGTAATAAACGTACACTTTTGGATATCTTTGTTAGGATATTCTGCAAAAATCTGCATGATGATCTGTCCATGGGCCACAACATATCTCTGGACAGCATCTAGACTAGAAGAAAGAAAGGCCTTGTTGATCTTCTCGAACTCGGACACCCTTTTGAGGACATGTAGAAACGATAGCTTAGACATTCTAGTTTGTTCCTGCAGCAGAGTCAAGATGCTTATCGCAACCCTCGCTGTTTTCAAAACAGGTTCATACCAAGGAGCGTATTGCTTTGAAGGTCTCCCAAGTCGATACCTGCATATATGTACCTAACACATCAGCAACCAAAGAGACAACGCAGAAACGTTATGTAAACATATTAGAATAGAGAGCTTACCAAGCCGCATCGGTTCGTATAGTAATCGCGACCATGGAACCACCATACTCAATCATCCATTCCTTTATCTGACTGAGGAAAATGGGCACACCATGAGAAGAACCCTGAGTAGAGGCATTAGAATCATCATCAAGACTAACCCAGGTTCCATCATCTTCACTCATCAAACCGGAACCAAAAATAGTGACATCCATATCAGCACAAGGCTTCATCGGAAGAAGCTCCAGGGATATCAGCCTTGAATCAGAGTTGTAGAGAGCCCAATTGTTAAGCATACTGCGAGGTAAGTCCTCATAGTTAAACTCATAATCAGCCTCAGTCACTATAAGCTCATCTGCTTCTTCCTGAGAAGTCTTATAATAAGCTGGGAGAGGATAATCAATGGCAATCTCATCTTCAGTGGTTTTGAAGTAGGCATTCTTTGAAGGAGCTGCCCTGCCGCCGTTTCTTCGAGGCCGTTGCAAAGATTTCCTGTACTCTTCATCTTGTACAATCTTAGCATACCTTTCATCCTCATCAACAGCTTCGTCTTGTACAGGTTTCTTTCCCTCTCTATTGTCAGAAACTCCATCAATCTTCAGAGCACCAGTAGAAGACACCCCTTCCATATGAACAGGATTGTTCTGTTTGCTCTTCTCATCTCTGAGAGCAACGAGCACCGGAATCTCAACGAAGCGCATTTCGTTTTTGTTGGCCGTCTCATCCAAACCAGCAAGCTGATTATATATGAACTCTCCCTGAACTGTAACAAAATCTCGAACGTATGAAGCATCAGGTAAGTACTTGTTTCCGGCCATCGACCTCGCCAACGCCGCAATCAACTCGTCAAAACTCATGTCAGGACTCCCACCAGCTGACTTGGCTACTTTCTTGTAAATCTCAACAGAAGCCAACGCCTTGTGATAGAAATGATCAAAATACTTCCTGTAAGTCGCAGCCGGTTTCACGGAGGCGTAATCCGCTAACTCCGTCGAGATCCAAACCACAGGAACACCGTTTTCGTACCCGGAGATACTCCAATGCTCGATACGGCCGAAACCTCCGCACCTCACTCCTTTTTCTTTCTCATCTTCACATTCATCTGAAGGTAAAATCACACCCGAAATGAAAATGTCAGCAATTTCCAACATCTCCACAGGATGTAGATCACCGTGTGAATCATGCAAAACGAAATCGGTTAGCCTCCTGGTTTGACGAGGCTCTTCACCGTTGCTCTGAGGAGAAGAAGTTGTCAAGTGCAGAGCGAGGAACTCGTCTTCCGCAACCTGATGCTGCTTTATTTCGATGGTGGCAGACTTTTCCGAGATACGGATGGGTTTCTCTCTGTAGTTTTTGACAGCAGCGACTCGCTTCGGCCTCCTCCTAGTGACGGTATCATCATCTGATACGTTGTCCTCGGGAAGACTTCTCTTCCTCTGCGTCGCAGGCTTCGCCTTTGAATCTGCGGCGGTTCCGTTTTTCACCATTTTCCAAACACCTAAATCGAGAATCAAAGGAAAACCACTCAAAATTTGAAGAAGAATCACTATAACGACATTTTCGGGGATTTCTATCATCAAAACGACAAAACCTAGAAATGAGCATTTCAACAGTGAATCGAAGCGAAACAATCAAAATCCAGGAAAAATTCAGTGAGATCGTTCGAATCTAGGTCGAAATGTTGAACAATTTAGAGCGCGGACAGATAGGGTTTTAACAATCAGTGTAATACTCTGAAATCGACAAAGCAGAGAAACGAAAACTTACGATTAGGAGCGCAATCGAGAGGAGAAATGCGAAATCCGAGAAAGAGATGGCCGGAGAGTATGAACAGAGAGAGCGATTGACGATTGGAGGCAGACTGAGGATAATAGTAGGGTTTGATGGGACTTTATATGAGAGGGTTAAAGAGTGCAAGGAGAGAAAGAGACGACCGGAGCCAAACGACGCGCGGCAATTAACCGGCGCCAATTTTCCTTTTTTTCCTTTTTAAAATGAAAATATCGAAAAAGAGCCGCGTGAATGAAAATATCGAATACATTTTGGGCTGGTGTGTAGTGTGTAGAGTGTAGACTGTGTACAGTGTACTAACGAAAATGAAAAAGATAAATTAAGATTTAAGAATATAGCACACCAGTTTATACAATGTATTGAGTAACTGAGTATAGTGATTTTATGATCTACATTGAAAAAAATACTTTCTAATTAGATAGTAACCTGCGTCTTACGTAAAACAACTAAATAGTATTTTCCGTTTAATTGTTTGACAAAGACGAAAAATTTAGATAGTAACGTGGACGCTACGCAAAAAGATATATATATTACTCTCTCTTACATATTTAATAATGTAGTGAGTTTAATAATTTGATGATCTACATTGGAAAACAAAAATTTATAATTAGGTAATAACCTGCATCTTACACAATAAAAAATCTTCATTTCATTTTCGATAAAGATGGAAAATACTTTCTAATTGGATAGTAACGTGGATGTTACGCAAAAAGAAAATTTATGTTATTTTCTCTTTTATAAAGTAAATAATGTAGTGAGTATAATAATTTCATGATCTACATTGAAAAACAAAACTTTCTAATTAGGTAGTAACCTGTGTCATACGGAAAAAAAAAATCTCCATTTCATGTTTGACAAAGACGGAAAATACTTTCTAATTGGGTAGTAACGTGGACGCTACGCAAAATAAAATATATATTATTTCCTCTCTTATATATTCAATAATGTAGTGAATACTTAATTCATGTTTGTCGTTTAAGATTTTTTCAAGACATATTTAAAAACCAATTTAATTTATGTTCAGTCTTTTATTAATGCAATATTTTGTATGATCTTATTAATTGTTTAGCTAAAATAACAGGATAAAGTTAAAAAAATAATAATAAATTGGCATCAAAAATATAATACGACATTTTATGATGAAACAAAATCTATATAACATTAAACATGAAATGAATAAATATTTACTTTATAATATTAAAATTTTAAAAAATATTTTTAAATCATACAAACTTAGGTTTTTAAAAAAATAATGAGAGCCTCGTTAAATATTGTTTATGTAAGTAAGCATTGTTTAAAATATGATGGGTTTGTATCCTATGGTAAAAACAAACGACATGCAGTGCATACCAGATGAAATAAAACATCAGGCCTTGCGACTGCCAGCCGGTGGGAGCCACAAATTGTGCAGTTTTCTCTATGTTTGAAATGTGATTTGTCATCACGTTGACTCTCAAAATACACACATCATTGATCTTTTTTGGGAGATCATATCCTGCGTGAATGTTAATTCCAAGCATGTAATTTTAAAAGTTCATAATCAATATAGTACTGCATATTTGTTATTATCAGTGTTTAAGACAAGATCAAGGTCATACAAATAAAACACATCAAATAACATGAAAAAAATGAGATGATTGGTCTCTTTATTCAAATCAGAGCAAAATGCAAACGCCAAAACAAAACAAAAAATATATAAATCAAGAATAGTGCAATCCTCAAAACAACAAAAAGACATGATCACTTGTTTAGACCAAGACCGGAGGGTTAAGAACAGCATAAGTAAGCAACTCTTGGTCACAAACAAACACGGACATGTCTTGCTTAGGTAAACTTATCCATGCTTCTACACCTTCACCATCCTTTGAATCCATCAACACAACATACACCATGTTATCATCATAGATACTATGCGATGCAGATCCCATCCAAACCGGACTTCCCCAACCGAAATCAACCTCGTAGAAAGGCTTACCGCACCAACTAGACATTGTGTATATGTCTATGTCCGGTTTATACTCGGACACAAATTTTCCCATCACATTCATCAACCCTTGACCAAGCGTATCGCCTTTGAGATTCTCTTGTATCACCTCGTTGACCTCTTCTTTAGCCTTCCTAAATGCAGCCACGGTCTCGCGGATTTCCAATTCGCTCTCAGCGTCTTTCTTGAGAAAGAACGCTGTTTGTAGGTTACCGATCGCGTCCATTGACAAAACATTAGTAGGAATCCTAAGACGCAAGTCCACGGCTTGATACATTAGCGTTGACCTTGGAGCTACCAAGTTAGACCGCGAGGCGTTTCTTGCACATCTCCATATAAGCGACGTGATAGCTTCCACACGTGTAGGCACTAAAACGCTTTCGCTAGTAGTCTTGCGTTTGAGCTCAGCGATCTTGGATGACTCGAAGACGAAACGATTCATTACATTCTTCTTTGTGAGATTAGCATTGGGCTGATCCGTTGGTGGAGACTGTGAAGCCATATGTGGAGGAGGAGGAGGATAAATGTTGGTCTCGGCAAACTGAAGAGTACTCACATTTGACTTCTTCTTGGCCGTTGTGGCGGCCCAATCTGTTACGAAGGTCAACAATGAGGACGCGTCGCAGATCCTGTGAGAGACACATACCGAGATTGCGACTCCTGATCCAGATCCGAAGAAAGTGACCTTGACACTCAACAATGGCCACGTAGTTGGAGAATCTCCGGGGGAGATTGTCGGGCGAAGTTCTTCTAGAGAGTCAATGTTGAGGTTTTGCAAGAAATCTTGGAGAAGAAGATCGGTTCTTGCCTCGGTGAAGACAGCTCCTTCGTCGTTGCAGTTGATGGAGACGCCTTCTATTTGTCCAGCGAGTGGATAGAAGCGTGAAAGAGTCTCGGAAAGAGAGCTTTTTAGTTTCTCCGACGACACGGTGACGAGATCTTGAGCTTTGTAGAAAAAGATGGTCGACACGTAGATTGCGGGACAAGAAAGATCGAGGATGGAGAGTTGAATGTGATCTTTAGGTGAGGATGAAGCAGGTTTGATTACTTCTCTCCCTATCACCTTTAGCTTCAATTCCATCGTCTTCTCTTTTGATCTTTAAAGTCAAGAATCTAAGAATGTTCAAGATTTGAGAAGAGGAGAAGATGGAAGAGACAGTGGATCTACGATGTTGCTTTTAAAATGGTGAAATGGGACAAAGTCATCACGTTGAGTCGTTGACTGTAAAGTTTGGTTTTTCAAAAATTTCAAAACATCAATGTTTCATGACTACTAATTTTTCAAAACATTAATGTTTCTCCAACAATACTAATTTTTAATTATTTAGTTTACAATCATAACTAGTATTAAACTACGTAATAACCAGCAACTTCCCTTTACAAATTCTATCATATTTTATTCTTACCATGCAACGGAAAAAAATAATGATTATACAACGCAAATTGTGTACTCTTCTGTCCTGCATGGATGTTTAAAGCATATTCAATACATTTGTTCTCATCAAATAATTAATTACTTATGATTGAGTTTAATTTAATAACCCAGCTTAATTAAACTCGATCAAGGACTCGGTCAAATTTATCAAAGCTTAAAAGGCTCAGATCTTAAAACTCGCCTGCCTCTTCTTCCTCCCTCCATTTAAGTTTGCGAGACTTCTTCTCTTACTTTCTCTCACATTTTTTCTTCTCCACAAACAAACAATAAAAATATAATCAAATAAAAACAGAGTAGAGAAAAAGAAGAATCAGCCATTGAAGCTGGGGAAGGAGAGAAGAAATGGAGAGTTACCTGAACCAGAATTTCGACGTCCAGGCTAAGCATTCGTCGGAGGAAGTGTTGGAAAAATGGCGGAATCTCTGCAGCGTCGTCAAGAATCCCAAACGCCGTTTTCGCTTCACCGCCAATCTCTCCAAACGTTACGAAGCCGCCGCCATGCGTCGCACCAATCAGGTCCTCCTCCTCCTCCTCCATTTCCTTCTTCTTCTGTGCTTTTGGGGAAAAAAAGTTTCCATTTTTTGTTTCATTTCTAGCTTAACTCTGTTTTTCTGGAATGTTTTGATTTATAGGAGAAATTAAAGATTGCAGTTCTCGTCTCAAAAGCTGCATTCCAATTTATCTCCGGTGAGTTAAATTATCATAAAGTTTGAACCTTTTTTGTTGCATTTGTGTAAAAAATGTCTCTTTTGAAGATTTTGAAATGTTGTTCCTTTTCAGGTGTTGCTCCAAGTGACTACACTGTGCCTGAAGAGGTTAAAGCAGCAGGCTTTGACATTTGTGCAGAGGAATTAGGATCAATAGTGGAAGGGCACGACGTGAAGAAGCTCAAGTTCCATGGTGGAGTTGATGGGCTTTCAGGGAAGCTCAAGGCATGTCCTAACAAAGGTCTCTCAGGCGAATCTGACGAGTTAAGCAAAAGGCAAGAGCTTTTCGGAATCAACAAGTTTGCGGAAAGCGAATTGAGAAGCTTTTGGGTGTTTGTTTGGGAAGCTCTTCAGGATATGACACTTATGATTCTTGGCGTTTGCGCTTTCGTGTCTTTGATAGTTGGCATTGCAACTGAAGGATGGCCTCAAGGCTCACATGATGGTCTTGGCATTGTTGCTAGTATCCTTCTCGTTGTGTTTGTCACTGCGACGAGTGATTACAGACAGTCTTTGCAGTTCCGTGATTTGGATAAGGAGAAGAAGAAGATCACTGTGCAGGTTACAAGAAACGGGTTTAGACAGAAGATGTCTATATATGAGCTGCTTCCTGGTGACATTGTTCATCTTGCTATTGGTGATCAGATCCCTGCAGATGGACTTTTCCTCTCAGGTTTCTCTGTTGTGATTGATGAGTCGAGTTTGACTGGTGAGAGTGAGCCTGTGATGGTGACTGCACAGAACCCTTTCCTTCTCTCTGGGACTAAAGTGCAAGATGGGTCTTGTAAGATGATGGTTACAACAGTTGGGATGAGGACACAGTGGGGGAAGTTGATGGCGACTCTTAGTGAAGGAGGTGATGATGAAACTCCATTGCAGGTGAAGCTCAATGGAGTTGCAACCATCATTGGGAAGATTGGTCTTTTCTTCGCTGTTGTCACGTTTGCTGTTTTGGTGCAAGGAATGTTCAAGAGGAAGCTTTCATTGAACACTCATTGGAGTTGGTCTGGTGATGAGGCCTTAGAGCTTTTGGAGTACTTTGCTATTGCTGTGACGATTGTGGTTGTTGCTGTTCCTGAAGGTTTGCCTCTAGCTGTGACGCTTAGTCTCGCGTTTGCGATGAAGAAGATGATGAATGATAAAGCTCTTGTTCGTCACTTAGCAGCTTGTGAGACAATGGGATCTGCAACTACCATTTGCAGTGACAAGACTGGTACTTTAACAACCAATCACATGACCGTTGTGAAGTCTTGCATTTGCATGAGTGTGCAAGATGTAGCGAGTAAAGGATCAAGCTTGCAATCTGAAATCCCTGAGAGTGCTGTGAAACTTCTTCTCCAGTCGATTTTTAACAACACCGGTGGCGAAGTTGTTGTGAACAAACATGGCAAGACAGAGATACTGGGGACACCAACAGAGACTGCTATATTGGAGTTGGGACTCTCTCTTGGAGGTAAGTTTCAAGAAGAGAGACAGTCTTACAAAGTTATCAAAGTTGAGCCTTTTAACTCAACAAAGAAGAGAATGGGAGTAGTTATTGAGCTCCCTGAAGGAGGAAGGATTCGCGCTCATACTAAAGGAGCTTCTGAGATAGTTTTAGCTGCTTGTGATAAAGTTATCAACTCCAGCGGTGAGGTTGTTCAGCTTGATGAAGAATCCATCAACTTCTTGAATGTTACAATCAATGACTTTGCAAACGAAGCGCTTCGCACTCTCTGCCTCGCTTATATGGATATTGAAATCGGTTTTTCTGCGGAAGAAGGCATTCCGGCTTCTGGTTTTACTTGCATAGGGATTGTTGGTATCAAAGATCCTGTTCGTCCTGGAGTCAGAGAGTCTGTGGAGCTTTGTCGCCGCGCTGGTATCATGGTGAGAATGGTTACAGGAGATAACATTAACACTGCGAAAGCTATCGCTAGAGAATGTGGAATCCTCACTGATGATGGTATAGCCATTGAAGGACCTGTGTTCAGAGAGAAGAATCAAGAAGAGATGCTTGAACTCATTCCCAAGATTCAGGTAAACGGTTTCTTGATTTCGAAAAAGTTGGCTTCTTGATTTGATTAAGCAACTTTGCTTTAACAGGTCATGGCTCGTTCTTCTCCCATGGACAAGCATACACTTGTGAAGCAGTTAAGGACTACTTTTGATGAAGTTGTTGCTGTGACTGGTGATGGAACAAACGACGCACCAGCACTTCATGAAGCTGATATAGGATTAGCAATGGGCATTTCAGGGACTGAAGTGAGTGTGATATATGTCTATAAAGTCTAATAATTTGATGCAAAGACAGAACCTTTTTCTGAAATTTCTTTTGAAAATGTAACTTTTAGGTTGCGAAAGAGAGCGCAGATGTCATCATTCTTGATGATAATTTCAGCACAATCGTCACAGTAGCGAAATGGGGACGTTCTGTTTACATTAACATTCAGAAATTTGTGCAGTTTCAGCTAACGGTTAATGTTGTTGCCCTAATTGTTAACTTCTCTTCAGCTTGCTTGACTGGTACGTTACCAAAGAAATTTGGCTGATTTAGTTCTATAAATAAAGTTTCAATCTTTTACACTTTTTTTTCTTTGCAATCATTCACTATAGGAAGTGCTCCTCTAACTGCTGTTCAACTGCTTTGGGTGAATATGATAATGGACACACTTGGAGCTCTTGCTCTAGCTACAGAGCCACCAAACAACGAGCTGATGAAGCGTATGCCCGTTGGAAGAAGAGGCAATTTCATAACAAACGCGATGTGGAGAAACATCTTAGGACAAGCAATGTATCAGTTCGTTATCATTTGGATTCTACAGGCCAAAGGGAAGTGGATGTTTGGTCTTGCTGGTTCTGATTCTACTCTTGTGTTAAACACACTTATCTTCAACTGTTTCGTCTTCTGTCAGGTAAAACGTTACAATCTTTACTCAAAAGTACGTAGGACACTACACTTTGAGAAGCATTTTCAACTGTTTCGTCTTCTTAATGTTTTTAGGTCTTTAACGAAGTAAGCTCGCGGGAGATGGAAGAGATCGATGTTCTCAAAGGCATACTCGACAACTATGTCTTTGTGGTTGTTATTGGTGCAACGGTTTTCTTTCAGATCATAATCATTGAGTTCTTGGGAACATTTGCAAGCACTACACCTCTCACAGTAACTCAATGGGTTTTTAGCATAATCGTTGGTTTCTTGGGCATGCCGATCGCTGCTTGGTTGAAGACAATACCTGTGTGATCGAAGAAGAGACAATGTCGATACAATCATTATTCTTATAGAACACTTACGTTCCTATTGACACATGCATGCAAAGCTTTTGCCTTTTTTTTTGTTGCAATTTTACATTTTCTTTTGGATTCGATTGTTGATTAAGTTTGAGTTGATAGGCTAAGGGAAAATTAATCTACTCATCCAATTTTTGTAGTTTCTTTGTTCTTGAAATGAAACATATTTACAAGGTCATTTTTTTGCAGTTCTATAAGTATTATCTCCTTGTCCAATGGGCCAACGACGAGAGTGTTCGCAAAGCTCTTCATGTCAATAAGTATATATATGCCAAGTTTATTTTTTTTTGAAAACTGGCACTAAGAGTATGTTTGATGATATAAAGAAAATTTAACAAATTACAAACCTAATGGACGATCAATGATTACAGGAGAGTGAGTATAGGTGAATGGATAAGATGTAATTATGATCTTATCAATTCGCACAATATCGACATTAAAAGCACATGCCATACCATATGAGTAACAGTATCAATGGCGTCCGATATCTTATCTACAAGTAAGTGTTAAGTAGTTTTCGAATGAGGGGACCATTTACCAGAGGAGTATAAGTGAATATAGGCATTCAATGGTCTCCCTCCTCATATTAAAAAACCCACTTCCTCTTTTGGTATATATAAGGATCATTTTGGTCCTAATAGGCATCATCTTTAGACATTTAACGAGAATGAATTTGACGCAAAAGTTGCTGCTTCTGCTTCTACTTTTCTTGAGCCATCATGCTGATTCTGGCTCTATTGTCAAGTTTCTTCCTGGTTTTGAAGGCCCTCTTCCTTTCGAACTTGAAACCGGGTTTGTAAATTGCCTCTTCTTCTTCTTCTTTACATTAGTAGTTAGTAAACAGTCATTTTTTGGAGTTAGTAAACAGTCATTTTTTTCTAAATGAAGATACATTAGTATTGGTGAGGAAGATGAAGTGCAAATGTTCTATTATTTCATCAAATCTGAGAATAATCCACAAGAAGACCCTCTTTTTATTTGGTTAAGTGGAGGACCTGGATGCTCTTCTCTTGTCGCCCTTCTGTTTCAGAACGGTAAATTGTTAATACTTTTTCCTCTTCGTTTTCTCGCAAAGCATTTATGTTTTTCATTGACTTATTTGAAGTGGGAAAAATAAATATAGGTCCTTTGGCTTTGAAGTTTGAGGTTTACAATGGAAGTCTCCCTTCTTTGGCCTCTACTTCATATTCATGGACAAAGGTAGCAGAAAGAATGTTCATATGTTGACAACTTGTCCAATTTTAACAAAATGGATCATTTTCTCAGATGGCGAACATAATATTTTTGGATCAGCCTATTGGAACTGGCTTCACCTACTCAAGAACTCCACTTGTGGAAAAAATTAGTGACACAAATGAAATTAAAATGATCCATGAGTTTCTTCAAAAGGTAATGATAGACAAACTAATTAACTGTCTTTCTAAAGCATTTTTCTTAGCACCTAAAGTTATTGGAATTAGTTTCTTGCTTTAAACAAAAAAAAGAAAAATAAGTATTATTTTCTTAGTGTGACTTAAGGCTTGGCGTGACTCAAATTAGCAGAATAACTGAAAGTTTTTTTTTATCATTCATATAATTCATCCACTTTTCAGGTTATTGAGTGATTCTACTATATAGAACTAGCATGTTAAGTGCATAACTAGAAACCAAAAACAAATGATTAATCTACTAATTATTTTAATTCCTTTTATTAATTTAGTTTATTCTACTGACAATTATTCTGCTATTAATCTGACATACCAATCAAGCCTTAAACCATTTAGGTGTTTATTGATATTGAGTGAGCAACATCAATAAATATATTTTTATGTTTGTTTTGTGCAGTGGCTGAGCGAGCATCCACAATTTTACTCTAACCCTTTTTACCTTACCGGAGATTCTTATTCCGGTATAATTGTTCCGCCCCTTGTACAAGAAATTTCAAAAAGTATGTTTTTTTTCTTCTTCTGTAACTTATCAACTAGTTCCCATATATATTTTCTTTTAATATCATATATGATTTACTCTACATTTTAAACGAGTATGCAGGAAACTATTTATGTTGCACACCTCCAATAAATCTACAAGTATATTTATTTGATTTCTTTTATTCTTCTTTCTTTCTTAAGAAAAAATTATCATTATTAATTTTTTAAACACTAAAATTCACTGTAATAAGTTTTCTTACGAAATATAGGGTTATATACTCGGAAACCCGGCAACAGATAATGAACTTGAAGAAAACTCAAAAGTTCCGTTTGCTCATGGAATGACATTAATCTCGGATGAACTCTACGAGGTATAATATATTTATCCTTTACGGAACTAATATCTCCATTTTCTAATGTCTTCGAATGATAAAACAATGTTCATGACTTGTTTTTTTTTACAGTCAATGAAGAGAATTTGTAAAGGAAAAGTTGTAAATTTTGATTCACGTAACACTGAATGCTTTAAACTCATTGACAATTACAAAAAGGTAAACACTTTGGAATGTAGTTGACGTTAAATATTGTATTCGGTCTGGTAATGGTCATCATTATTTTTGATTTTTGATATACAGTGTACAGACAAAATAAATACACAAAATATATTGTTACCGAAATGCGATAAAAATAATCCAGATTGCTATGTAAGTGATACTTCCTCTTTATCGTTTTCATGTCTATTTGACCTAAATATTTGGTAAATAGAAAGTTTTAAAAGAATACTGATGAGTCTCCTTCTTTTTGTAAATCAGATTTACAATCTTTTTAATAATAGAAACTATGAATCTAATAAGATGAAGCCAAATGTAACATTATGTGTATGTATTTGGTTCGAAGTTCAAAAAAAAAAAGTGTATATATTTGGTTCTGTGTTTTAAAAGAAAAAATACCAGCAAAAAATGTCATATATGATATTTCGAAGAAAAATATTTACAAGTCAAGTTTTGCAGTTGTATAAGTATTCTCTCCTTCGCAAATGGGCCAACGACGAGAGCGTTCGCGAAGCTCTTCATGTCAATAAGGTATATATATGCCAAATTTATTTTAAGATCATATTAATGTTTTGTGCTACAAAGAAAACTCTAAAAATCTAATGGACGATCTATGATGATTACAGGGGAGTATTGGTGAATGGGCTCGATGTCATCCTTATCTTAATACTTCCCACATTAGGGACATTAAAAATGCCGTACCATACCATATGAATAACAGTATCCATGGCGTCCGATCTCTTATCTACAGGTAAGATTAAATTTACTTTTCAAGAACCGCTATTTTTTCTCTATAAAAACATCAAGTAGGTAGGGTGGGTAAAATTCTGATATACATAGATATAAAACGAAACTTAATTCAATTAAACCGAAGCAGAACCAAAATTTGTTTACAAAAGGATTGGTTATAATGGAAACCTATTTTAGTGTAATCGAACCAAACTTCACGGAACAAAACCAGAATTTTATATATCTGAGTTATAAATACATAATATTAAATAGACACATCCACTTAACGTACTTAAACAAAAAAATTTAAACAATTGTACGTTTCTATATTTGAAAATCGTTTCCTAACTACACCCGAGACCAATCCAAACAGAAAACCAAATCAGTTACAAATGCTTTTTATTTCTGTTTCATTTTCTATAAACCAGAGACTGAAGAATTTTGTTTTATTAAAGTGTAAACGACTAAACGGGATTGGTGATCATGATATGATGGTGCCTTTTAGAAAATGAATAAAACAAAACTCTTACGGTAAGAGTTTTACCTACAACAATAAATATTATATAATTTGTGCGGTTTATGGTGAATAGTGGTGATCATGATATGAGGGTGCCTTTTATATCAACTCAAGCCTGGATAAGATCTCTCAATTACTCAATCATTGATGAGTGGAGGCCTTGGATGATAAATGATCAAATCGCTGGGTAAATGTTTTTTTTAAGGGTTTTCTCTTGTTCCATCATTTTTTCTTCGTGTTTCAAGCTTATCAAAACTCACGCAAAAGTCGTTCTTGCCTTTTTCCTGACAGATACACGAGAACTTATGCCAATAAGATGACATTTGCTACTGTCAAAGCAAGTCTTCTTGTTTCAAAACATTTATCTTGTCATCGCATTACAATTTTGAAAAAATAATAATAATTGTTCTGAGTTTTTTTATTTATTATAGGGAGGTGGACACACGACAGAGTTTAAACCAAACGAGTCCTTTATCATGTTCCAAAGGTGGATCAGTGGCCAGCCTTTGTAATAAACGTTCACATGACATTGAAGGCCTAAAACAAATTTGAATGTCGCTTATTCTTAAAGGTGAAACCGTGAAAGGTGAAGCGGTAATTCTTGTGTTTTGTTGTTAAATTGCTCTTTTGGGATTAGTATTGTAGAGGTTGATCAGCCAATTCAGTAATGCTCAAAGAATTCGTAAAGTTATATAATATCAAATCTATCATATATGTAAGGAGTTAAGGATCACACCAAAGCCATTTTCTTTTTGTGAGCTTCAGTAGGTAACTTAACATTAGTAGCCAAACCAATAGCTTCTAGAAACCTAACGAGATACCAATTAGTAACGTCGAGCTGCCAGCACTCCAGTCCATGCCTGGCCGAGAACTCGAATGCATGATGATTGTTATGCCATCCCTCGCCTAGTGATAAAATCGCTATCCATCTGCATGCATTTACCATCAAATTATTATTTTATATATTAATTAATTAAGTGAGATTATATATATAGACAATAGTATACCAATTGTTTTTGGAGAAGTCAGATGTGTTCCAAGCTCTTGTTCCCCATATATGGCAAACTGAGTTCACAAGAAAAGTCCCGTGGAGTCGAGCCACGGTTGCCACACCCTGCCATTGCCAATTCTCTAGTAATTAATTAATTAAGTGGTTTTTTATTAAAAACTTATTTTTGTGGTATTTAAAATAATTTCTTTTGTTAACCGTGAGAATTCCAGAACGAATGTCGAGAGTCGAGACTCGAGAATAAACCTACAAAGCCCATTCATGATGAGAATTTCAGTAGGAAGACTACAAATTTTTTTTTTGATAGACCCTATCGGCTTCCGGTTAGCCCCGGAGGAAACCTACTACAAAATTTCTCCTGCGCTTTTCATTCGAATTATATAGACTGTGGTCCACAAACTGACTTAACTTTTCCCGTGAGTACCTCAGACTCTCATGCATGCATCTAAATTAATTTGAACCTAGTATATGCGAATTATTATGAAAAGACAACTTAGTCGATAGTTTTGCAATTTTCAGTTTTTTTTATTGGTTCCATTGTTGACTAAGTTTGAGTTGATAGGCTAAGGAAAATTTTTGTTCTTCAAATGAAACATATTTACAAGGTCAGTTTTGCAGTTCTATAAGTATTATCTCCTTGTCAAATGGGCCAACGACGAGAATATATGCCAAGTTCATTTCAAGATTCTTTTTTTGAAAACTAGCATTTAGAGCATCTCCAATGGACCCTTATTCCTTTATAATTTAAGGGGTTTTGCATTCCAATGGACCCTTATCCCCTTATATTTTAAAGGGATGAATAGTGCACCCTTAAATATAAGGGGTCACTGTTCACCCCTTAAAAATATTTTGAATTTGCATTTTAGTCCTTGTAATTATACAATCTTACAAATAACATTTATAATACTTTTTGTGATCAGTTTAGTCTAAAATTATATTTTTTTTTAACATTTACTCTCTCTAATAAGAAATTTAATTACCACCACATAAAATCAAATAAAAACATTCATTGATTGGAAAATTATGGAAACAATATGTAATTTTAGTTTAATATTTTTATATATAATTTTATGTTTTAATGTAATTTTATATTATTATGTAATGTTTTAATTAATAATATTGTGTAATATTTTATTAAAGTGTTTTTATTGCATTTTATGAAAGTTTTAGTATTATAATTGATTCTAGTTACTTTTAAGGACTATAATGCAAAAATATTTTTTTAAGGGGTAAGGATAAGGGTCTCCATTGGAACAAAACTTACAAACCCCTTATTTTAAAGGTGTGTCCCCTTTATTTTAAGGGTGACCATTGGAGATGCTCTAAAGATCATATGAAATAATTATTGTTTGATGATATAAAGAAAATTCTACAAATCTAAAGGATGATAATGATTTTATGGGAGTGTAGATGAATGGAGGCGATGTAATTCCGATCTTATTAATTCGCACAATATCGACATTAAAAGCACCGTACCATACCACGTGCAGGACTGACCATATGAATAATCAATGGCGTCCTATCTCTTATCTACATGTAACTATGTAAGTGTTAGGTAGCTTTCGTATGGGGGGACAACTGAATGAAAGTTTTATGTCGCACAAAAACACGTTTTTAAATATGTGATGGAGATTTCTTTCTTTTCTTTTCTTTTTATACAAATATTAATTTAAAACCCATAAATATTGATTTTCGACATCGCATCACATTGATGTACACCTAATTTGGCTATACATATTTTCATCAACAGCAACCGAAAGTTGGCACATTTATTTCTTTCTTTGACCATTTAAAAATTTTGGTTAGATCCACCCGAAGGTGGAGAGCCTTAACCGGAGTGTGTTCAAAGACCCGAAGGTCCAATCCCGTCTCTGTCAGAGGAGATGCCAACCATCTCTCCTTTCTACGAACACAAGTTGGCACATTTATTTCGTTGATAACCAAATGATGTGATGGGTGAGACGTGCAAAACAAGAAGTTCCAAATATCTTTGAATGGTACCTTAGGAGGGGTATTGGTGACTAGAATTGGAAAGAAATCAAAAGAATTCAAAAGTAATGGATTTTAAAGTATTTGTTGGGAATTCAATCAATTCTACTGAAATCTCTGCAAAATTTGGAAGAATTGAGCATTTACAAAATTTTCTTCAAATTCTATTAAATTCCTTCCAAATGACAATACCATCAAATACATTTCGATATCGAATAACACCGGAATATAATGGAATTGAAAAACGGATGAGTTGAATAACACCGGAATTTAAAGGAATTGAAAAAACACATACTTGAATAACACCGGAATTTAATGGAATCTTTGATTCCTTTAAATTCTATAAAATTCTTTAGAACCAATAACCCCCCTAAGGTAGTTTATACAAGAAACGCATTATGCGGAAGATGTGCAGTTTTTATAAAACAAGTGGTACCGACTAATTTTTTAATGGTAACAATTATTAATGTAATAATGATTAAATGTTTTTCAATACTATTAATTTTTAAAATGTTGCTTTTTTAATTAAAAGGAGAGAAAAGATAAAATTGTAGTTGTATACAAAATTTCAATTTTTTTAATTAAAAATGGTAACAAATAAAAAGTAACGCACATAAACAACTACAAAAATAGGATTTTCAAACTGCATGGAGTGGAATTCCAAAAACAAAGAAAACTGAAACACACTTCTTTGTTTAACTAATTAATTTATTTGTTTTTATCGAACAGCTGAAAGAATAAAATATGTTGAATGGTGACCAATTTTTGTCCCACACCTTGAACCACTCGTCCCGCCCTAAACATTCACGTGGTATATGTGAATTACATGTCAAGTTTTTGGTGGTTTTTTACCTTTTTATAAGATTAGATTCATTTCAAAAATAAAGAAATTACAAAAATTGGATGAGTAGATTAATCTTCCGTAAAAAATGTAGTCAACAATGGAACCCAAAGAAATGAAAAGTTGCAAAATCTTCCGTAAAGCTTTGCATCTGCCAATTTGAACTAAAAATCCACTACCTACCCACTTCATCTTTTGGTATATATAGGCATTCAATGGTCTCCCTCCTCATAATAAATACCCACTTCCTCTTTTAGTATTTTATAATTATCATTTTGGTCCTAATAGGCATCCATCTTTAAAGATTAGACGATAATGAATTTGACGCAAAAGTTGCTGCTTCTGCTTCTACTTTTCTTGAGCCATCATGCTGATTCTAGCTCTATTGTCAAGTTTCTTCCTGGTTTTGAAGGCCCTCTTCCTTTCGAACTTGAAACGGGTTTGTAAATTGCCTCTTCTTCTTTACATTAGTAGTGTACGTACTATTGTGAGTTTGAAGTTAGTGAACATGTGTCATTTTTTCTAAATGAAGATACATTAGTATTGGTGAGGAAGATGAAGTGCAAATGTTCTATTATTTCATCAAATCTGAGAATAATCCACAAGAAGACCCTCTTTTTATTTGGTTAACTGGAGGACCTGGATGCTCTTCTCTTTTCGCCCTTCTGTTTCAGAACGGTAAATTGCTAATACTTTTTCTTCTTCGTTTTCTCGCAAAGCATTTATGTTTTCCTTGACTTATTTGAAGTGGGAAAAATAAATATAGGGCCTTTGGCTTTGAAGTTTGAGGTTTACAATGGAAGTCTCCCTTCTTTGGTCTCTACTACATATTCATGGACAAAGGTAGCAGAAAGTATGTTCATATGTTGATCACATATCCAGTTTTCTAAATTTTGGATCATTTCCTCAGATGGCGAACATAATATTTTTGGATCAGCCTATTGGAACTGGCTTCACCTACTCAAGAACTCCACTTGTGGAAAAATTAGTGACACAAATGAAATTAAAATGATCCATGAGTTTCTTCAAAAGGTAATGATAGACAAACTAATGAACTGTCTTTGTAAAGCATTTGTCTTAGCACATTAAAGTTTTTGTCTGTGTTGTAATTATTTTCTTGCTTTAAACAAAAAAGAAAAAGAAGTGTAATTTTCTTAGTGTGACTTAAGGCTTGGCGTGACTCAAATTAGCAGAATAACTGAAAGTTTTTTTTATCATTCATATAATTCATCCACTTTTCAGGTTATTGAGTAATTCTACTACATAGAACTAGCATGTTAAGTGCATAACTAGAAAACAAAAACAAATGATTAATCTACTAATTATTTTAATTCCTTTTGTTAATTTAGTTTATTCTACTGACAGTTATTTAGTTATTCTGCTATTAATCTGACATACTAATCAAGCCTTAAACCATTTAGGTGTTTATTGATATTGAGTGAGCAACATCAATAAATGTGTTTTTATGTTTGTTTTGTGCAGTGGTTGAGCAAGCATCCAAAATTTTACTCCAACCCTTTTTACCTTACCGGAGATTCTTATTCCGGTATAATTGTTCCGCCCCTTGTACAAGAAATTTTAAAAAGTATGTATTTTTTTTTCTTCTGTAACTTATCAACTAGTTCCCATATATATTTTCTTTTAATATCATATATCGATTTACTCTACATTTTAAACGATAGACATTTTGATGCAGGAAACTATTTATGTTGCACACCTCCAATAAATCTACAAGTATATTTCTTTGATTTCTTTTATTCTTCTTTCTTTCTTAAGAAAAATTTATCATTATTACTTTTTTTCAAACACTAAAATTCACTGTAATAAGTTTTCTTACAAAATATAGGGTTATATACTCGGAAACCCGGCAACGGATAGTGAACTTGAAGAAAACTCAAAAGTTCCATTGGCTCATAATATGGCATTAATCTCGGATGAACTCTACGAGGTATGAAATATATTTTTATCCTTTACGAACCGGAACTAATATCTCCATTTTCTAATGTCTTGAATGATATAACAATGTTCATGACTTGTTTTTTTTACAGTCAATGAAGAGAATTTGTAAAGGAAAAATTGTAAATTTTGATTCACGTAACACAGAATGCTTTAAACTCATTGACAATTACAAAAAGGTAAACACTTTGGAATGTAGTTGACGTTAAATATTGTATTCGATCTGGTAATGATCATCATTATTTTTTATTTATTTACAGTGTACAGACAAAATAAATGCACAAAATATATTGTTACCGGATTGCGATCAAAATTATCCTGATTGCTTTGTAAGTGATACTTCCTCTTTATCGTTTTCATGTCTATTTGACCTAAATATTTGGTAAATGGAAAGTTTTAAAAGAATACTGATGAATCCTTCTTTTTGTAAACCAGATTTACGATCTTTTTAATAATAGAAACTATGAATCTAATAAGATGAAGCCAAATGTAACATTATGTGTAGACATTTGGTTCTGTGTTTTAAAAGAAATAATACCAACAAATGTCATATTTATGATATTTCGAAGAAAAATATTTACAAGTCAAGTTTTGCAGTTGTACAAGTATTCTCTCCTTAAAAAATGGGCCAACGACGAGAGCGTTCGCGAAGCTCTTCATGTCCGTAAGGTATATATATGCCAAGTTTATTTTAAGATCATATTAATGTTTGGTGATACAAAGCAAACTCTAAAAATCTAAAGGACGATCTATGATTACAGGGGAGTATTGGTGAATGGACTCGATGTCATTCTTCTATTAATAGTTCCCACATTAGGGACATTAAAAATGCCGTACCATACCATATGAATAACAGTATCCATGGCGTCCGATCTCTTATCTACAGGTAAGATTAAATTTACTTTTCAAGAATCGCTATTTTTTTTCTCTATAAAAACATCAAGTAGGTAGGGTGGGTAAAATTCTGATATACATAGATATAAAACGAAACTTAATTCAATTAAACCGAAGCAGAACCAAAATTTGTTTACAAAAGGATTGGTTCTAATGGAAACCTATATTAGTGTAATCGAACCAAACTTAACTGAACAAAACCAGAATTTAATATATCTGAGTTATAAATAATTTTATAAAACCCAAAAAAAAAATCATAATTTTAAATAGACACATCCATTTAACGTACTTAAACAAAATTATTTAAACAATTGTACGTTTCTATATTTGAAAATCGTTTCCTAACTACACCCGAGACCAATCCAAACAGAAAACCAAATCAGATTACAATGTTTTTTTAATTCAGTTCCATTTTCTATAAACCAAAGACTGAAGAATCTTTTTTTTTAATAAAGTGTAAACGGGATTGTACACTCTTACGTAATAATAGTCTTACCTACAACAATAAAAAATATATAATTTGTGCGGTTTATGGTGAATAGTGGTGATCATGATATGTCGGTCCCTTACATATCAACTTTAGCCTGGATAAGATCTCTCAATTACTCAATCATTGATGAGTGGAGGCCTTGGATGATAAACGATCAAATCACTGGGTAAATGATTTTATTTTTATTTTTAAGGGTTTTCTCTTGTTCAATCATTTTTTCTTCGTGTTCAATCATTTTTTCTCTTATCAAAACTCATGCAAAAGTCGTTCTTGCTTTTCTCCTGACAGATACACGAGAACTTATGCCAATAGGATGACATTTGCTACTGTCAAAGCAAGTCTTCTTATTTCAAAACATTTATCTTGTCATCGCATTACAATTTTGAAAAAATAATAATAATTGTTCTGAGTTTTTTTATTTATTATAGGGAGGTGGACACACGACAGAGTTTAAACCAAATGAGTCCTTTATCATGTTCCAAAGGTGGATCAGTGGCCAGCCTTTGTAATAAACATTCACAGCCTTTGTAATAAACGTTCACATGACATTGAAGACCTGAAACAAATTTGAGTGTCGCATATTCTTAAAGGTGAAACCGTGTAAGGTGAAGCGGTAATTCTTGTGTTTTGTTGTTAAATTGCTCTTTTGGGATTAATATTGTAGAGGTTGATCAGTCAGTTCGGTAATGCTCAAATAATTAGTAAAGGTCGATCTAGAATATCAAATATATCATATATGTAAGGAATTAAGGATCAGACCAAAGCCATTTTCTTTTTCTGAGCTTCAGTAGGTAACTTAACATTAGTGGCCAAGCCAATAGCCTCTAGAAACCTAATGAGACACCAAGTAACGTCGAGCTGCCACCACTCAAGTCCATGCCTGGCCGAGAACTCAAATGCATGATGATTGTTATGCCATCCCTCGCCTAATGCTATTATCGCTACCCACCTGCATGCATTTACCATCAAATTATTATTTTTATATATTAATTAATTAAGTGAGATTATATATATAGACAATAGTATACCAATTGTTTTTGGAGAAGTCAGATGTGTTCCAAGCTCTTGTTCCCCATATATGGCAAACTGAGTTCACAAGAAAAGTCCCGTGTAGTCGAGCCACGGTTGCCACACCCTGCCATGCATTGCCAATTCTCTCGTAATTAATTTAATTAAGTGGTTTTTACTAAACACTTATTTTTGTGGTATTTAAAATAATTATTTTGTTAACCGTGAGAATTTCAGAACGAATGTCGAGAGTCGTGACTCGTGACTCGAGACTAAACCTACAAAGCCCATTCACGATTGGAATTTCAGTAGGAAGACTACAAAATTTATCCTGCGGTTTAATTTCATTCGAACTATATGGACTGTGGTCCACAAACTGACTTATCTTATCCTGTGAGTACCGCAGACTCTCATGCATGCGTCTAAATTAATTTGAACCTAGTATAGCCGAATTGTTATTAAAAGACAACCCAAGAATAGTAATGTAAGTGGAATTTTAGTAAGGAAAGCGTGTCCTTACAACTCCCCAGATAAGGAAGGGCATGCCTCCACAAAAATAGAGGAGAAGGGAAAACGCCATTAGATGCAAAACGACGGTTCGCTGAAGAAACCTATAGAAGGGTTGTCTCACAAGATCATTCGCATTTTCCTCTCCACCACACTGTGTACATGCATGCATCCAATCATTAAGCCGGGGTTAGGTCTGGCTCACACATATAGAATGATCTTAATTATTAGGGCTAGACCGGATTATAATACGGTTTGGCCATCAAGAAACTCATTCATATTGTAGAATTCATATCTTTAGTATATGTTAAACCAAAAAAAAAGTTGATGATTTTGAATACCTTTTGGAGAATAGCATCGCCATCAAATACCCAATTCATGTGACTTAACCAAAACCCTAGTGTAGGGCTGTGTGGATCACGTTGTGTATCACAATGCGTATGATGGTACCGATGGGTGCTCACCCACTCTATTGGGTCTCCCTGCTCACACAATTTACAAGTTACGACTAAAGATATGTTATAATGTTCATATTAAAATTAAGTATCATCTTCATAATATATATAAAATTCAAACCTGAAAAGCCAGAAGGCCACCATAAGCTAAGAGATACTCGAGCCATTTCGGTAGATCGAAACTTCGGTGAGTAAGATTCCTATGATAACACAAGGTGATGCATATTCCAATACTCCAAAAGAGCCAAAGGAAAAGCTGAAAGGCCGCCCAGTTGAAGTAAAATGGAGCCGACAGAGTCATCAAATGAATACAAACGAATGCGAATAACTTGGACATGTCCCAAGAATTCCAACTCCTCTTCCAAAATGAGTTCTTCTTTCTCACCACCACAACCTCCGACATTGGAATTCTCCAGGAGCTCTCGACCTGATTCGATGCATCGTGAAGAGCCTTGAACGTGTGTTTCTTGTGAGCCACGGATCTTCTTCGTTTGGAAAAAAAGGAGTTTGTAGACTTGGCTGTGCGATAAGTGAACAAGGCATTGATATTACCATCGGGATTATGTTGTTTAACAAATGGTGAAAAAGGAGAGAGCGGTTTGAGGATTGTAGATAGAGATGCCATGGGTTAAGGTATTGAAGTGGATGTATTTCCATACATACCCAGTGTGCTACTATGTATATACATGTAACATGTCAGTATGTCACGTACAATTACATCATAATGACAGATATTTATGCATGTTAGACAATTTTACACGTAACACACAACCACCACAATATTTTTAGAATAACTATCAAATTAGGTCTTATATCTTTTTTCAGAAAAACTGATCGTAGGCAAGTTTGGATTTGAACCAGAAGTGCAAATTTCAGGTTGATTTTTGAACCAGGGCTTATATTTTTTTTTAATGTTTTTAACAGAGACAGATTCCGTGAGGGATAAAGAGAGAAAGACAGATGCAACAGTAAGAACGTGATTAGTCAACGTGCACCAAGATTTTTTACATAACTCTATGTAAACCTAAGCAGCTGCATGGATGTGATGAATGTGGACTTCTGGTTTCATAATTCTCATTGGGGCTAGCGAATGGGTCATGTGATACTTCTTATAAAGGTAAATAAACTTTTGTCGAAGGGATAAAAGGAAAAAATGGTTCCAAAATGGAAACACAGACGCAGGGTTGCGGTGTAAAGGGAAGACGCTCAGTCGCTCATCTACACAAGAAAACGAGAAAACGAGAAAGAGGCGAACGAGAGAGTGAAATCGGAGTTCCTAATATTTCCTTCTAGTTCTTCTCCTTGGTTATTTTCCTTTTGATTGGTAGCAAACTTGCGGGAGACGGATCCCACCCGAAAGGTATCTTTGGAAAATTCAGTGACCAAAACTTTTTGGTGAAAGTTTAGTTCAGTTTCTATAAGCAAATCAGAGATTAATATGTTGTTATTATACAAGTACTAAATCAGATTAAAACCCTTTACCATGAAATTAAAAGTGGTATGTGGAAACAGAAGCATATTAAAATACAATAACTATTCGTTTTTTTTTGTTTTGTGTGTGCAAATATATCCGCCACAAACTCTTTGTTATCAAAAGAAATATCATCAAATTCAAATTGTCCGAGATAATCTCCATATTCAACTAATCATATTAGTCATTTATAACATTTCAGATATGATTAAAGTGATTATTCTAAATAAGTTTCTTTATAGATAAAAGACAAAATGCCAAAGTACTCTATTATTTATTATTTTATTTTTATTTTTATAAATGAGAAAGATATCAAAAATAACTCTATCCTTCCTATTGATAACAAACAAACGAATCCGTGAACATAGGACTAGGTGATAACGGTTGTGAAGGATTTTCTTTTCTTTTTTAAGAAAGGGCACTGAGGAATTTCTTGATCTTGAAGAGAGCATTTTGGTCATTTTGGTTACACAGATATTTACATAAACATGTGGTTGTGGTGCGTAGCAATGATAAAAATGCAAAAGCGACAAGAGCGACGTCCCTACATTATTCATGGTGTTAAATCACTGAAATTATAATAATTGAGACAGAGACCGAGAGAGAGACATATGAAACACGAAAACCGTGATTTGTCAATGTACACCAAAATAATTTCATTTTCAAAACAATCTCGAAATGATTCCTCTCGACGTGGAGCCATTAGTGAATTAGCAAAACTCTATCCAGACTCCTTTTTACATTTTAGTAATTTTTAAGATCCTTTCCCCCCCTAAAAGGCATCAATTGTTGAAACTAAAAAAGAGAATGAGTTTGGCACTAAAGTTTCTGCTTTTGCTTTTACTTGTCTTGAGTCATCATGTTGATTCTGGCTCTATCGTCAAGTTTCTTCCTGGTTTTGAAGGCCCTCTTCCTTTTGACCTCGAAACCGGGTTTGTAGTTGTCTCTGCTTCTTTACAATTTTATTGTGAGTTTGGAGTTAGTAAATATCAGTCATTTTTCTGAATGAAGATACATTAGTATTGGTGAGGAAGATGAAGTGCAAATGTTTTATTATTTCATCAAATCTGAGAATAATCCAAAAGAAGATCCCCTTCTTATTTGGTTAACTGGAGGACCTGGATGTTCTTCTCTTTTAGGCCTTATTTTTGAGAACGGTAAATCGATTATACTTTTCTCTTTCTTTCCGAAAAGCATTATGTTTTTCAGTGACTAGTTTGAAGAGTGAAAAAATAAAAATGTAGGGCCTTTGGCTTTGAAGTTCGAGGTTTACAATGGAAGTCTACCTTCGTTAGTGTCGACTACATATTCATGGACAAAGGTAGAATACAGAATGTTCATAAGTTGATCACATATCCAGTTTTCTAAAAGTTGGATCCATTTCTCAGATGGCGAACATAATATTCTTGGATCAGCCTGTTGGTGCTGGCTTCTCCTACTCAAGAACTCCACTTGTTGATAAAGTTAATGACACAGGTGAAGTTAAAATGATCCATGAGTTTCTACAAAAGGTAATTATAGACAAACTGCATTTGTCTTGGGGAATTAAATATGGATCATTGCTTTTTGTAGAAACTCATGGATCATTTTAACTCCACCTAGTGTTAATTTCGCATTGTTCTTGTGTATGTTGTAATTCTCTTGGTCTAAAACATCTTGACTGATACTGAATTTATTTAAATCATCCTGTATTAATTACTTTTAAATTCATTCAAACTTTTCTAAAAAAAAAAAAAAAAAAAAAAAAAAATCAAATTCTACACATTATGTTCTTTTTTCCCGAATCAATATGTAAGGATTTCAATGTTTAATTTGTTGGTATTACACAAACATCAACATTTAGTGTGTATGTTTTTGTTTTGTGTTTTGTGTAGTGGCTAAGTAAACATCCACAGTTTTACTCTAATCCTTTTTATGTTTCCGGAGATTCTTATGCTGGTATGATTGTTCCGTCCCTCGTACAAGAAATCTCTAAAGGTATGTTTTTTTTTTCAAAAACAAAATATCGTCTAATCAATTTTCTCTAACTTTTTAACGATGTAAACACATTGATGCAGGAAATTATTTATGTTGCAAACCTCTAATAAATCTACAGGTCACTAATTATTTGCTTCTGAATTATAATATAATGTATACAATATCTTTCTTTTTCCCAAAATGTTTGTTTTTTTTTACATCAACGACTGATAAGAACTTTAATACTTTATCATGAAATTACATTACTTTTATAGTTTTTCGAGTACTAAAGAATTCACATAATCACAGTTATATATATATTTTCTTACCAAAAATAGGGTTATATACTTGGAAACCCAATAACCTATACTGAACTTGAAGATAACTATCAAATTCCATTTGCTCATGGAATGGCATTAATCTCCGATGAACTCTACACGGTATGAACTATATGACATGCTTAATTTATATATTATTTTCACTAGAGAGCTTGTATTTTTATTCTTCACGAATCTAAACCTCAACGTATATAACAATGTTGGAGACCTTTTGTTACAGTCGATGAAGAGAATCTGCAATGGAAATTATGGAAATGTCGATTCACATAACACAAAATGCTTAAACCTCATTGAAAATTACCAAAAGGTACACACTTTTTGGTAGTCGATGTACAGTATTCTCTTTGGTAATGATCATCATTAATTCAGTTTTATCTGTTTTTGGGTTGATTTACAGTGTACTGACAAACTAAATAAATATAATATATTGTTACCAAATTGCGATAGGACATCTCCTGATTGCTTTGTAAGTAATACCTCCTCTTTTCTCAATCTGATTTTATATGTTTTCCTGTCTATTCGATTTAAAACGTTTTCAGAAAAAGTAAACGGATACTGATGAATTCATTTTTTTTACTAAAGTACAGAACTCTCTTTGATTGTAGAGAGTAGAGACTAAGAATCTGCTAAAACAAAAATGATGAATCCATATGTACCATTATGTGTGGACATTTGCTTATTTTGATAAATACACTTCAGGACGAAAAAAAAAAGGTCACTATTATGATATTTCGAAGAAATATATTTACAAGGTTAATTTTTGCAGCTATATAAGTATGTTATCCTTATTAAATGGGCCAACGACGAGACCGTTCGCGAAGCTCTTCAAGTCAGTAAGGTATATGACAATTTAATGTTAAGATCATTGATTAATCAATGTTTGAGTAAGAAAACTTAAAAAAACTGAAAGGCAGAATTATGATTGCAGGGGAGTTTAGGTGAATGGAACCCATGTAATACTGTTCCTTACACTTACGACATCAAAAGCACGGTACCATACCATATGAATAACAGTATTAATGGCTTTCGATCTCTTATCTTCAGGTAAGAATTAATCAACTTTTTAAGAGCCGATCTTGTGTCCTTTAAAAACTACAAGTAGAGGTGTCCAAAATTTTCACAACCATAGACATAGAACCAAACTGAACTGAATCAAATGGAAACAGATTAGGTTACAAAGGATTGGTTTTATTGTTGCAAAGAAGAAAAACAAAAATGGAAACATAATTTAGTGTAATAGACACATCCATACGCAAATAGAAAATTTATTTAAGTCATTTTGCATTTATATAATATATTGTTTAAACGAAAAAATCAAACCAAACCGAAATCAAATCAAATTACATGTCTTTTTGTTTGGTTTCAGTTCCTACAAAAACCAATGACCGGGAAAAAAAATAAAAAGCAAACTGAAACTAGTGTACACAACTGATTCTCCACTCTTGTCTAAAATATTCAAAAGATAAAAATCTGTGCGGTTTATGGTGAATAGTGGTGATCATGATATGGTGGTGCCTTTCATTGCAACTCAAGCTTGGATAAGATCTCTCAATTACTCCATCATTGATGACTGGAGGCCTTGGATGATAAACGATCAAATCGCTGGGTAAATATTGTTTTTATGTTTCTCTTGTTCATTCATTTCTCCAGCTTATCAAAACTCACGTATAAATCCATTCTTGAATTTATTTTTTGACAGATACACGAGAACTTATGCCAATAAGATGACATTTGCTACTGTCAAAGTAAGTCTACTGGATTCAACTTCAGATTTCTATACTCATTGCATTACAATTTTGAAAAATGTTTTTTTTAAATTGTTTTGAGTGGTTTTATTATAGGGAGGTGGACACACGGCAGAGTATAAACCAAATGAGACATTTATCATGTTCCAAAGGTGGATCAGTGGCCATGGCCTTTAGATATAGAGGATAATAAAATGCAACAAGAAATGTTTTTGGGTCGGCCCTGTAAGGAAAAAGTAGGTTTGGGGGTTCCATCCGTGAACAAAAGACTATATGCTATGGGTTGTGGAGAAATTTCTTGATCTTGAAGAGAGCATTTTGGTCATTTTGGTTACACAGATATTTCTATACACATGCAGTGTGTACTGTGTGGTAATAATAAAAATGCAAAAGCGACAAGAGCAACCGTCCCTACATTAACTATGGTGTTGATTTTTTTTAAAGTTATAATAATGGAAACATTGTCTCCGAGACAAGAGTACGAGAAAGAGACACATTCAACAAGACAAACGTGATTTGCCAATGTGCACCAAGATATTTTCATTTTTGCAACCACCTCGAAAGTTGAAATGGTTCCTCTCGACGTGGAGCCATTAATGAATTAGCAAAACTCTATCCAAAACCCCTTTTTCATTTTTGGTAATTTTAAGATCTTTTTCCTCCTAAAAGGCATCATCAATCGTTAAAAACATAAAAGAGAATGAGTTTGGCACTAAAGTTTCTGCTTCTGCTTTTACTTGTCTTGAGTCATCATGCTGATTCTGGCTCTATCGTCAAGTTTCTTCCTGGTTTTGAAGGCCCTCTTCCTTTTGAACTTGAAACCGGGTTTGTAGTTATCTCTTCTTTACATTAGTATTGTGAGAATGGAGTTAGTAATTATTCATTTTTTTTCTGAATGAAGATACATTAGTATTGGTGAGGAAGATGAAGTGCAAATGTTCTATTATTTCATCAAATCTGAGAATAATCCACGAGAAGACCCTCTTCTTATTTGGTTAACAGGAGGACCTGGATGCTCTTCTCTTTTTGCCCTTCTTTTTGAGAACGGTAGATCTATTATACTTCTTTCTTTTTTGGCAAGCATTTGTGTTTTTAGTGACTAGTTTGAAGAGTGAAAAAAATATAAATGTAGGGCCTTTGGCTTTGAAGTTCGAGGTTTACAATGGAAGTCTCCCTTCTTTGGTGTCTACTACATATTCATGGACAAAGGTAGTAGAAAGTATGTTCATATGTTGATCACATATCCAGCTATTTTAATTTTGGATCATTTCCTCAGATGGCGAACATAATATTCTTGGATCAGCCTGTTGGAGCTGGCTTCTCCTACTCAAGAACTCCACTTGCTGATAAAGTTAGTGACACATGTGAAGTTAAAATGATCCATGAGTTTCTCCTAAAGGTAATGTTAGACATATTGAATTAATAGTCTATTTAAAGCATTTGTCGTGGCGAAATAATTTTCTTTTCTCGGGTCCTAATGTTAATTTTCGCGCATTAAAGTTCTTGTGTGTATGTTGTAATTCTATTGGCGTACAATTCTATTGGTATCCTTCTAATGTGTGTGTTTTTGTTTTGTTTTGTTTTGTGCAGTGGCTAAGCAAACATCCACAGTTTTACTCCAACCCTTTTTACGTGACCGGAGATTCTTATTCTGGTATGATTGTTCCACCTCTCGTACAAGAAATCTCAAAAGGTGTGATTTTTCTTTTTTAGCATATCAGTCAATTTCCATACACCTTTCTTAAAAGAACAAATATGTTTAATTGATCTCTAACTTGATGCAGGAAATTGTTTCTGTTGCAAACCTCAAATAAATTTACAGGTGACAATTTATTTTCTTCTAGATTTTAATATTTATTTATACTTTTTCTTTCTTTTTCCAAGAGAAATGATAAGAACTTTATTACAAAAATGTATTGCTATATATATTTTTGGAACACCAAAAAATTCAGTCATATGTCTTCTTACCAAAAATAGGGTTATATACTCGGAAACCCAATAACAGATATTGAATTTGAACACAACTATTACATTCCATTTGCTCATGGAATGGCATTGATCTCGGATGAACTCTTCAAGGTATGAACTATATGACATGCTTAATTTGTTTATTTTGTTTTCACTAGCTAGAGAGCTTGTATGTTTATCCTTTCATCTCCCACTTTCGAAGATCTCAAAGTATATAACAATGTTGAAGATTTTTTAACAGTCAATCAAGAGAAACTGCAAAGGAGAATATGGAAATGTGGAATCACGTAGCACAAAATGCTTAAAACTCATTGAAAATTACGAAAAGGTACACACTTTGGAGTTTGGAATGGAGTTGATGTCCATCAGTTCTTTCCGGTAATTATCATCATTAATTCAGATTTTTTATTGTTGATTCACAGTGCACTGATAAACTAAATCCTTATCATATTTTGTTACCTACTTGCGATATGACATCTCCTGATTGCTTTGTAAGTAATACCTCCTCTTTCCTCTATATAATGATAGATATTTGATTTATATGTTTTCCTATACTATTCGAACTAAAATTTTGGTTGACTAAAAGTTTTCAGAGAAAATCGAATCCATATTTTTACCAAAGTACAGTCTTTTTAATTACAGAAACTAAGAATCTAATAATTTCTTTGATGAATCCATATGTAACATTATGTGTGGACATTTGCTTATTTTGATAAATACTTAACAAAATAATACTCTATTTCAAAGAAACCATAATTACAAGGTTAGTTTTGCAGCTATATAGGTATTATCTCCTTATTAAATGGACCAACGACGGGACCGTTCGTGAAGCTCTTCAAGTCAAGAAGGTACATGAAAATGATCACTAATTATTTAATGTTTGATAAAGAAAACTTTATAAATCGACAGGACGATTTATGATTGTAGGGGAGTCTAGGTCAATGGAACAGGTGTAATTATGATGTTATGCCGTATAAATACGACATTAAAAGCACCGTACCATACCATATGAACAACAGTATTAATGGCATCCGATCTCTTATCTACAGGTAAGAGTTTTACGAAAAAAAAAACAAAAAGTGTAAACCTGATTGTCCACACTCTTGCCTAAGATATTCAAAAGATTTAAATTCGTGTGATTTATTGTGAATAGTGGTGATCATGATATGGTGGTGCCTTTCATTGCAACTCAAGCCTGGATAAGATCTCTCAATTACTCCATCATTGATGATTGGAGGCCTTGGATGATCAACGATCAAATCGCTGGGTAAATATTGTTTTGGTTTGTTTCATGTTTCTCTAGTTCATTCATTCTTGTCTTCATTTCTCAAGATTATCAAAACTCACGTATTAAATCCATTCTTGAATTTCGTTTTCACAGATACACGAGAACTTACGCCAATAAGATGACATTTGCTACTGTCAAAGTAATTCTTCTTGTTTCAACTTAACATTTCTATAGTCATTGCATTACAATTTTGAAAATGTTTTTTTTCTAATTGTTTTAAGTGATTTGATTATAGGGAGGTGGACACACGGCGGAGTATAAACCAAGTGAGACATTTATCATGTTCCAAAGGTGGATCAGTGACCAGCCTTTGTAATTGAGGCTCATTGCCTTTAGATATAGAGAATAATAATATGCAACAAGACATGCCTTTGTATACATTATAATATAATCATCTATTATCTGATCCATGGGAATTTGATCAATGAATCAGAAAGCAAGAGAGAGAAGAAGAAAAAAATTAACCCAAAAACCTCCAAAGTGGAAAAGTTTTCAAGACAGAGCTGACAATATTTGAAACACAACACAGAGTGGCGGATTCGTAATAAATAGGATGTGTAAATACTATTGGGCCTAGTCCATCCCAATTGTCAATAAACGTATGAATGTCCAGCCCAATTGTCAACAGTAAATAGGAAAAATTGAAAAAAAGAGGTAAGTTATCAGAGCCAGGTTTCGATCCTGGGACCTGTGGGTTATGGGCCCACCACGCTTCCGCTGCGCCACTCTGATTTGTTGTATTATTCTAACAGATATAATTTTATACCCGTACGATTTAGTCTAAGGGGTTTTCTTTTTTGTTCTTTCCAATATCACGATAATAGGGAAAATCCCAATTTACATTTCTTATCACTGGTATTCAAATATTTTCCTCATCTTCTTCTCCCATGACAATAGTTCACTACTATATTCATGAACCCAATTTACTGTGTTTACTAAACCAAGAAACTAAACCGGAATTCAAAATGGAATAACAAGTACTGTTCAAAGATAAAGTGACAACAAGTAACAGTTTTTTATTTTTCTACACATATTCATCATCACATTCTTCATCGTTGGCATCCAAATATTCTTCTTCTTCATCATTTGTTTCACTCGGTCCAACTGATTTGAGGGGGCGAGAAAGGTTTGGAATGGTTCTTGCCTCACCAACTATCTTCATAATCTCCTCTACTCTTTGAGGAGAAAAGTTAGTAAGATTAACATTCCTTTGGTAGTAGATTGCTTGTGCTGACTCCTTTAGTTCTCTTGGCAAATTCTTTAGGAACCATGGATGACTCCTAATCTCTTTTAGCGTACTTCTCTATAAGAGTTACAAAACAACACAATTATATGAATAATTAGTTGATTACCGACGTAAGGTAAACTTTAAAATGTGTTTTACATTTGCGTTATATTTCTAAATTTTTGTTTTCTATTGAAGAAAAAACATAGCAGTTTAGCTTTGATATCATATATTGTCTCCTAATTGCGTAACTTTGCAAATGATGTAAACGGAACTGTTTAACAAAACATTTTAACATATAAATGAAATGCAATCTTTTTGTTTTGTTTTAAATCAATCAAACTTATATATTTGGTGTTTGTGAGACATATATAAATACATTTACCTGTTTTTGGAATTATACCTGTAATGGATTAGCAACAAATATGCGAGAGAGTAACTTTTTGCAATCTTCAGATATGTGAACATATCCTGGAATCTTGTACTTTACACCCATTATTTTCTGCAATTCCAAACCCAAAAGAACAACATACGATTATCGGATTATATGATCATACGAATGAAAAAAGTTTTTCTAATCTTTTTTTCATTTAGAAAGAAAGAAACCTGAACGGTTTTCCGGAAATTTTTGGGATCTTTAGGGTCTTCAAAAGGGTAAGCTCCAACCAACATAACATAGAGTGCTACTCCACAAGACCACACGTCAACTGACTGTAGAAAGAATGATTTTAAAACCTTATTATATATCGATATATAATCATATTTGTGGTTTTCAACAAAAACAAGAACAAAAGAAAATTTTATTTGTGTTATATGAATCATGGGTCGATCCGAGATGGACAAGCGTCCTCTTAGCAAAGAATTTGGATGAATTTAAAATGTAACACCAACGAAATTATGCAAGTTATCTCCGAAAACAAATGTTAAGTTGACTAATGATTTTGGTGACGTTTACCAAATTTATTGGAGAGTGGCAATTTAATCTGAACAGATATTGGATAAAGTCGATACTATAGTATCCTATAAGATGGCGTCATGACGACCATAAAAAACAGTACCCTATTAGATTAGTAACAGTTGTAATGTGAGTGGAAATTGTGAAGCTTTGTCGTTTATTACTCTTTTTCCAAATTTTATTGTTTTATAACCATTGAAAGTGGAATTCAAACCAAACAAAAACTATTGAAAGTGGAATTCATACTTGTAAATATCTTCAATACTAATAATGTAACACTAAAATATGGAAATTATTGCTTTGTGAAAATAAATTTAAGTACCTTTCCGTCGTATTCCGAACGACAAAAAACTTCCGGCGCTATATATGCCGGAGTTCCTACCGTTGATTTTGGGTTGGAATGGAGAATAGAAGACTGTATAATAAGAATTTAGAAATTATTATACATTTGAAAATATTAAACTTTTAAGTTACAAAAAGCAAACAGATTGAATTAGGTAAGAAAATTAACCTTTGAGTAGCCAAAATCACAAATTTTAAGACGTGGTGCAGGACTTCCATCAAGCAATGTATTTTCTAATTTAAGATCTCGGTGGCATATTTGCTGCAAAATTAAATTGTTTCATTTAAGAAAAACACATAACACACATGGTTTTTAATTTTTATAGACAGTTTGGTGTGTATTAAATTTACCATTGCGTGTAAGTAATGGACTCCGCAAATGAGTTGTTGAAAGAAATATCTAGCCTGCAAGTAGATTTAGTTAATAGTTGTAAGTTAAGATATGAATTTATTTTAATTAAATTCGGTAGAATACATGTTATGGATAAAAACACGAAATTTCATTTTTAAACCTCAGCTTCACTGAATCGACCAGCATTTAATATCCTTTCAAACAATTCTCCTCCAGCTGCATACTCCATTACAATTCCAAGATGTGTCGGAGTTAAGACAACCTACATGATCGAACACACCAAGTTTTAAGGTTTTGTTAATAATTAGCACCAAAAGGCTAAAAATTTTTAGCTTCTTTTAAGAAAATGGGTTGAATATTGAACGTATGAAATATATATATCATTGGACCGAATAGTCCAAGATTCAAGAGCTTGGAGGAATCCGAATTTAGAGTCAAACACAAGATATGCTTGTTAACTATGTCAACGAAGAGATTCGAGTTTATAAGGATAACAAAAAAAACCTAAGATTCACTTCTTTAACAAAATTACAAAATCTACTTGCCTCTTTAAACCGAATAATATTGGGATGGTTAAGAGATCTATGGTTGATGATTTCTCTTGCAACGTTTTCATCTATCTGCAACAAACATCCAGTTTTGTAAATAATATGAAATATTTTATATCAAGAAAATACATCATCAGAAAGAAGAAGAAGAAATAATGGACCTTGTATCCTCTATCGATGAACTTGACGGCAACAAGTTCGTTTGTTTGTTTGTTACGCATAAGCCGAGCCAATCCGAAATTACCAAATCCCAAATCCTTCACCATCTCATACTTCTCCATGGCTAACACTTTTTTCTCACTTCTCAAAGAAATTTTTAGTATCTTTTTTTTTTTCCTAATGTTTTTTTTTTGTTGTGAATCGTCTCTTTTTTTTTGATAAAACGTGAATCGTCTCTTGTCCTAGGTATTTTTGGAGATATATATAGAGTGAGACTGAGCGAGAAGAAAGTTATTTTAGTTTACACGTAGCAAATATGACGAGTATACTCTACCAAAGCGTTGAAAGAGCTTTTCCGGATATCAATGGTCATTTCTCATTTGTTAATTCTATTTTTGGAACATTTTTGGTTTATAATCTGATTGATTTAGCTTCTTTTATTCCGTTAACTAGGCGGATATGATATATTGTGAAAATCAAAGTTGATTGGTTTATAAAAAAAGGTAAAATTGATTAACTTTTGGATAGTTCTTCTTCTTATGAAATTTGATAAGCTCGGCAAAGCCCAATACGGAATTTATATCATATTAGGTATTGAGAGGCCCAGTCCGTAACATGCTCTTTATTTTATTTTAAAAGGAAAAAACAAAATAACAAACTATCAGAGCCAGGTTTCGATCCTGGGACCTGTGGGTTATGGGCCCACCACGCTTCCGCTGCGCCACTCTGATTTGATGAATATAGTCACTTATTGACTTATGTAAAACAAATAATGTCTCTAGAAGAACATTAAAAAGAAGAAATATCTCCCCGACATGTATGATACTGGTACGTTTATACAAGTGGAAGATGAAGGAACACTCCAAAATAAAAAATAAAATAAAAAATACAAAATATCAGTAAATAATCATCGGTCTTTATACTCTTTATATTTCCAAGAAAACGACTAAACCAAAGCATTCAATTATTATTATATTTCGTTTCCTTTTGGATAAAGAAATGCAAACTGTCTCTCTGTTGTCTTTCGTTTCTGTGGTCATCGTTTTGGCAACAAGCTACTGCGATGCTTTCACCAGAAATGACTTCCCTGAGCATTTCCTCTTCGGAGCTGCTACTTCTGCTTATCAGGTTTCGACTCTTCTTCTGTGGTCTTTGTTATTTCTTTATCTATTTGATCCGTCTTCAATCGAGTTTTGGGAATTTGGGGAATATTAGTGGGAAGGAGCTGCTGACGAAGATGGTAGGACTCCTAGCGTTTGGGATACTTTTTCCCACTCTGGTAAAAACTTTACTCATTGAAATTTGTAAATCCGTTTTGGGAATTCATAAATCTCATTCATCTTTTTTGTTTTTTTTTACGTTTTAACTATTGAAACAAAATGTCATAGTCATAGCATAAGTTATTGTGTGGAACTTCATTTATGTCATTATGGGTTTATTTGTTGAAACTTGCAGATGAGAGAGGTAATGGAGATATAGCATGTGATGGCTATCACAAATATAAGGTTTGTCTCTATTATACTTGTTGAAGGAGTTATCAGAATTAGTTTATGGCTCTGATTTATCAGAATTGATGTTATTTGTGACTTTTTCAGGAAGATGTTAAGCTGATGGCAGAAATGGGTTTAGAAGCATTCAGATTTTCTATCTCATGGACAAGGCTCATACCTAGTAATTTACTCACTCTTTTGTTTTCGTTTCTTGACTTACAAGTAAGTAGCGATCTTGTTTCTTGTATACCTTAAACCCTCTTCTGGTTCTATGTGATTTATCAGATGGAAGAGGACCCCTTAACCCAAAAGGTTTAACATTTTACAAGAACCTCATCAAAGAACTACGAGGCCATGGAATCGAACCACACGTTACACTTTACCACTATGATCTTCCTCAGGTTCTTGAAGATGAGTACGGAGGATGGATCGACCGCAAAATCATGTAATTTTTGTGTGTGGAAATTCTCCAAAATGCACCAAAAAGAAGCTTGTATTCCCAAGATATACCTTTAAGCTTCATTTTCACAAATGGAACATAAAAATGATTTAAGAAAAAATTGTGATCTAACAAAAGTCTTTTTTGTTGCAGAAAAGACTTCACTGCTTTTGCAGATGTATGCTTCAGGGAGTTTGGGGATGATGTGAAGTTATGGACTACAATCAATGAAGCTAACATATTCGCCATTGGTGCTTATAGCGAAGGAATCTTGCCGCCTGGACATTGTTCTACTAACAAATTGGTCAATTGCTCCATTGGAAATTCTTCTACTGAACCATACATTGCTGGCCATAATTTATTGCTAGCTCATGCTTCTGCTTCAAAATTGTATAGACTAAAGTACAAGGTACCTATAATGTCTATTTTCGATCTTAAAACCCTAAAATTTAAATCCTTGTGAACATATAATTCAAATGATGGTGCAGAGTAAGCAAAGAGGATCCATAGGCTTTAGCATATATGCTTATGGGTTATCTCCTTATACTAACTCCGAGGACGATGGAATCGCAACTGAGAGAGCTAAAGATTTCTTCTCTGGCTGGTGAGAAAAAACAAGAAGAAGTTTTCTTTGTTTAGATCAAAACCTTATGATGATGACTTTGAATTTTGATTATGTAAACCAGGATGTTGAAGCCATTGGTATTTGGGGACTATCCGGAAGTAATGAAGAGAATCTTGGGATCCAGGTTACCAGTTTTCTCAGAGGAAGAATCAAAGCAAGTTAAAGGATCATCTGACTTTGTAGGAATAATCCACTACACTACAATCTATATCACAAACAGTAAACCCACACCTTCTCTTCTTCCAAGCAACAGAGACTTCTTCACTGACATGGGCGTAGAGACAATCTGTAAGCTTACTTTCTTTTCCCATTTTTATCATCAATCAGTTTATCGAAAAAAAAGACTCTTTCAACTGATAATTGTTTCTTCTTGTTTTGGACAGTCATTGGGAATTCTTCATTCTTTACAGTAAGACGTGCAACACAAGCCATTGATCCAACTTCTTGATTCTTGAAATTTTTCTAATACGATAGCTTTTGATTTTTTTTTTTTTTTTTTTTTGAAGTTTGATACTATTCCATGGGGTTTTGAGAGTGTCTTGGAGTATCTGAAACAGAGCTATAACAATCCTCCAATCTACATTCTTGAAAACGGATTACCGTTGAAACACGATTCGACGCTGCAAGACTCAGAAAGAGTTGAATACACACAAGGCTACATTGGTGCTATGCTTAACGCCATCAAGTATGATCTCCTCCTCCTTCTTCTTCTTTAGTCATTCATGTAAAATGTGATTTTGGTCTTACTACAAATCTTTTGACTGATCATTAGGAATGGATCGGACACGAGAGGGTACTTTTTATGGTCAGTGATTGATTTGTACGAGTTATTAGCTGGATACAAGAGCAGCTTTGGATTGTACTATGTGAATTTCAGCGATCCTGGTCTCAAGAGGTCTCCAAAGCTCTCTGCTTCTTGGTACACAGGTTTTCTCAATGGTACAATCCATGTTGATCCTCCAAAGCTCTCTGCTTCTTCTTGATACACTCAGTTTCAGAGAAACTTCTCTGGTTCAAGTTTGGAGGTGTAACAGAATAAGAGAAAATTTGGGAAATTGTTTTCTCTTCTTCTTCATAGTTCAATTTGATAAGATGGTGTGTATTTAAGAGATTGTTCCAGGTTTTATTTTATTAAAAAAAAAACAAAATAACAAACTATCAGAGCCAGGTTTCGATCCTGGGACCTGTGGGTTATGGGCCCACCACGCTTCCGCTGCGCCACTCTGATTTGTTGGTACTAATAATCTTTATATATATTTATCAATACTCGCTCTGAAAACAACCGTTGTTACTATCAGTGTATGACAAACAGAAGAAGAAATGTATGAAACTCCACCATTTTTTTATTTTAAAGAATGTAAGATTCATCAGAATATCTAGAAAGTATGATCTTAATAAGTTCATAAAAATGGAAATATACGTTTGTTCTTGCAGGATCAGAAAAAGTTCTAGCAAACGACACAAAGAGCATCTCTTAGAGGTTCCTAATGATACTCAAATCGATCAATTAGAACAATTTTCACTACCCGAAAAATGTAATTCATCAAGATTGCTGAAACAAAAGATTTTATTAGGACCACATGTATTTATAGACTTTGATATTTCTCTACATGCAAATTTTTATTAAAAGTTATTAGGACCCTTTGATCGACTAGAAGATCCCTTATTAAAGTATTTCGAAAAGAAGAAGCGTACAAATGTGTATTGAGAAACGATCTCTGACCTCTGATGTTTGGCTTTAAACTAACAATCTTTATAGAAAAACATCCAAACATAAAAAGATTTGATTCGTTTTGTCTTTTGAATAAATGTTACCGAGAAATTCCCACCCTTATTTCTGATTATACTGCTTATTTTTTCATTCATCATCCACAAATCACAAAGATGCAACCTTTGGATTCGGATTTTTTGTCTTTCTTGTAATCAGAATCTTTAGGCTTCTTTTTAATTTGAAGAAAAAAAACATAACACAGTGGGGGCAACCAAAAAGAGGAGGTTCATGTGTTTCTCTGTCTTTGAATGTGTAAAGCACTAAAAAAAACCAAAAACAAAGAAGCGTGGTGTCTGGATTTTCGAGCCTTTTGTTGGTGGGTTGTGTTGTGTTGTGAATCTCTAAAAGATTTCCTAATTTTAACATTGTTTATATGTATGTTTCCAATGTAAAAACTCTATAAACAAAGTTTTTTTTAAGCTTTCTTGAGAACAAGATTGAGCATATATAGATCTCTTGTATCAGATTCTGGGCTTTGTTTCTCTATTTGGGCGTAAACATCTTGACACTCTTGTGTGCTTAAAGAGAAGAAAAATGAAGATTATGAAACTTGGATCCAAACCTGATTCGGTTCAATCTAAAGGAGACAATGTTAGGTTTGTAGAAACAGATTGTTAGCTCTCTGTCTCTCTATTGTTGCATCTCTGATTGTTGTTTTGTTTTTTAACTGACATTGTCTTGATGTTTGGTTTTTTACTCTTAGGTATGTAGCAAGTGAGTCAGAAACAGAGATTATCGTCATCATTGGCAATGTCAAATTCTATTTGCATAAGGTATGAAAATCTCTAGCTTCTCTAAGTTTTTAAAAAATCAAAGAAAGCAAAACCAGACATAACAGAACAGAGCACTCTGTTTTGTGTTTTCAGTTTCCGTTGCTGTCCAAAAGTGGATTCATGCAGAAACAAATAGCAACATCAAAAAACGAAGAGAAGGAGAACCAAATCGAAGAGATTGACATATCAGTGATCCCTGGTGGTTCTGTTGCTTTTGAGTTTTGTGTCAAGTTCTGTTACGGCATCACGCTGACCTTAAACGCTTACAATGTGGTCGCAGCTCGTTGCGCAGCTGAGTTCTTGGAGATGAATGAAACGTTCGAGAAAAGCAATCTTGTTTACAAGATTGATGTTTTCTTGAACTCAACTATCTTCCGTAGCTGGAAAGATTCCATCATTGTCTTCAAGACAACAAAAGATCTCTCTCCAAATGAGTTTAACCTCAAGCTTGTTAAGCGTTGTCTCAACTCTATTGCTTCCACAGCTTCCATAGACACTTCGAAAGTCGAGTGGTCTTACTCTTACAACAGGAAGAAGAATCATGATCATCAGAAGATGAGAAAACAAGAAGCTGTTCCAAAAGACTGGTGGGTGGAAGATTTATGCGATCTTCATATTGATCTGTATAAACAAGCCATTGAAGCAATCAAGAAGAGAGGGAAAGTTCCGGTTTTCGTTATCGGAGAGGCATTACACACTTATGCAGTAAGAAGAATAGCTGGTTTTAGCAAAGGCTCAGTGAAGATCACTGACAAATCTTTGACTGAATCAATCATAGAGCTTATACCGGATGAGAAAGGAAGTGTTTCTTCTAGCTTCTTGAGCAAGTTACTTCAAGCATCGATCTTTCTTGCATGTGAAGAAACCGTGAAAGAGAAGTTAAAGAAAAGAATCAGCGAGCAGCTTGAGGAGACAACAGTGAGTGATATCTTAATGTATGATATAGATATGGTTCAGAGTCTTGTCAAGGAGTTTATGAACCGAGATCCGAAAACTCACTCGAAAGTACCCGTCTCAAAGCTCATTGATGGATACTTAGCTGAGAAATCAAGAGATCCTAATCTTCTTCTCCAAAACTTCCTTTCTCTAGCTGAAACACTCTCTAGCTTCCCAAGACAGTCCCATGACGGATTATATCGCGCTATCGACATGTTTCTAAAGGTAAAAAATGTTAGATTTTGTGTTTACAAAACGGAGAAGAGAAAGAATGAAAAAACAGAGCAAGAGATAAAGAGTTTATCTCTTCTCTTATGAAGAAGAACATTACGAGGAAATTGGATTTTATTTACTCTGAAACTTGATTTGTTTTACAACACAACAACAATGGTTTATATAGAGTATAAACAGACACATTAACATAAGAGTTGTGTCTCTTCATGCTTGTGTCTCTTCACTAAAAACTATCTAAACCTAACCGTCAAACGGTTACTAAAAGAGATAATGTTAGAATAAACTCAATTATATTCCAACAAAAAAAAAGATTCAGATCCTCTCTTTTGTTACATAATGATTCTTGATTCTTGGTTTGGAAAATGTTTCAGGAACATTCAGGGATTAGCAAGATCGAGAAGAAGAGAGTATGTGGGTTAATGGATTGTAGGAAACTATCACCGGAAGCTTGTGAACATGCGGTGCAGAACGAGCGTTTGCCGATGAGGGTGATCGTGCAAGTTCTCTTCTTTGAACAGATTAGAGCCAATGGTTCATCGACAGGAAACAGCACTCCTGAGCTCACCACCACGACTTTAAACACTGAGGATGATGAATGGGAACCATGAGAACGAGTTTTGATCTCATGGACCTTTATTGAATCTTTTCTTGTTTGTTTTCTTCAGAACCCACACATCAGCAGCTTTTGAAACACTAGCTTGAGTTTCTTGTGGTTCTTTTTTTGTTTTCTGAAACATTTGATGTTTGACCTTAGTAAATGGATCAAATAGGCTTTGTGTCTGGTCCAGAGTAAAACAAAACTAACCAAGCCTAAAGATTTTAACCGAAACTGGACCAATTTTTTTTGTATAAATTATTGGTTTTATTCAAATTTACAACTAGTCTAGCATTTTAGCATAATTCTCTTAGGATGCAAATAATTGCACATTCAGAGAAATAAAGTTTGTGAAAATGGTTGAAAAATAGTTTAACTCATCATCCCACTAAAAAACTGAATAAATTATATTTGCTCAAAAAGAATAAATTATAAAGAAAAAACTGGCTCAATTCATTTCACTACCTTTTTAGAGAATAATTTGATGTGATGACGTTTTTTTCCCCATGATCTCTTTTATAGCAACCAGTTGCACTCATAATTATTTAATAATTGTGCATAATATTTCATCCAAGATTTTCTTGCATAATATTAACTTCGAATCTCTTTTAAACAAGTTATATTATTCAAAAGAATCAACTACATCATTTGATCATTCAACTTCTCAAAAGTTGAAAACATCTAATCTGAAACGAAGGATAAATATTCCTTTGCAAAAACATAAAACTAATTATGTCATTAATTCGAAGTTAAATTTAAAATTCTCTAGGGTCAACAAAAATGGAATTGCCAGGTGGCGATTTAGTCCAATCACCAACAGAGCCGTCACTGTAATCTTCTCCAAGCCGCTTAATACACCACAAATCTTCAGCGCACGATAACACTTTCCAATGTGGAATCCCTCGCCGGAGCGGCTCTCCTCCGGCCACTTCCGCCGCCACGACACCACATCCTCCTTCCTTGGCCAGATTATGCGCGTGACCACACAACGCCTTCACCATTTTCTCCGCTCTTGGTCCTTCTCCGCCGATCCCGTACATGAAATGCAACCCAAACGGCCGGAAAACCGCCGGAATCGACGGAAGTTTCAGAAACGGCAGCGTTTTATCTACGACTCGAGTCGTTTTAGCCAACACGCGCCGTAGTCTCGACGCGCCACGAACCTCTAACCGAAACGAGTCTTTGCAGTTCCACACGCTCAGAACCGCCCACGAATCGGGTGGGTATTCGAGGAATTTCGCCGAACCGGGCCACGATCCGAACCCGGATCCGTAACAGCTGCCACGTGGAACCGCGACGAATGTTCCTAACGAGAGTTTGTTATGAAGAACAGAGTCAATGTCTCGCGGGAAAAACTCGGTTGAGCTAAACCGGAGTCGGTATAGAGACTCTGCGTCAGACGGTTCAAGCTTAATTACGGTGACTCGATTAGAAATGTTGACCCGGTGTGCGTAAACCGGGTTAACCAAAATCGACGGCGTACGGAACTCGGAGTAACCACATTTCCCGGTGAAAAGGTTAACGGACGCGTGATTGTCGTTTTCTGTAGCAATGTAAGAATATTCGGCGCCGTTTTGATTAAACCATTCCTCCATTTTCTTCACGAGTTTAAACCCGATTCCTCGTCTCCTGCATAATCAAAAACGTGAAATGATTAGCGTTAATTACTCGTGATAAATGATTAATTAGCGCGGATTTTAAAAGGAGATTAAAATAACGTACCGGTGAGTAGGAGAAACGCGGAGACCCAAAACGTAAGCGAGTTTAGTGTAAAGTGGTTTAGTAGTAACGGCGTCGTTTTGAGATTTATGAGCTAACTCGAGTGTTTTGCTACCACATGTAACGGTTTTAATACAACCTCGGATCATTCCAACTAGTTCCTTCTTCTCGTCCGTACCATTACCAATCTCAGCCACCTGTTACAGTTTTCAAAATTTACTAAACGAATTACTAATTAACTACACAAATGCAACCTTTTTGGTAAGTTTGTTAAAATGTTAGCTTCATCATTGTAAGAAAATGTTTGAGAATAAATACTTAATGCAAAATTTACGAACTTCAATTTAGGAAAAATGATTTTAATTTTTTTTTTTGGAGTTCTGAGTAATTACCCACATGAGGTAAGAAGGTAAAAAATTTAAACCTTTTTGGTTAGTTATTAGAAGAAGAAATGGTTTTTGTTATGTTTTGGGTAAGATATGAGTTTGAGTAATTACCAGCATGAGATAAGATGGTGAATGTCGGACACGGCAAATTGGGTCGCCTAAGAGATCGGTAAAGAGAGAAAGTTTTCCGGTTGGACCAACTTCGCACCGCCGTTCAACTTCTTCGACGGTGGCTAAGTCTTTACTCGGGTCGTATTCTCTAACCTCCACAACCACCGTCATATTCTCTGATTTTTTTATCTCACTCTCACTACTAACTAAAAACAGAGGGGAGAGAGAGAGAAATGGAGAATTGAGAAGAAGTGTGAAGTAGCTAGGGCTTTATATAGAGGAAGGTAGTAGTGACTGTTGCAATATATAAAGTCAGCAGATTTTCCGAGGACGTAGGATTTTCATTTTATTTTTGTAAATTGTAAATTAAATAACGTAAGGTATAAGCAAAGAACAGAGAAGCTTGTGTTGGCTGCAGAAGCTATAGGAGCTTTAGGATTTGGAGATTTAAAACCAAAAGAGAGATTTGTAGGATTTTAAAAGTTTTTGAAAATGACTTTTGGTATTATTTTCGGTTGGGTTTTTTAGAAATTTATGAATAATAATTTCTTTGGTTTTAGGCCGTTGAGATCTCTATCATTGGGAGAGTTAATAGGACCCTATTTAATTCCCTATTAATTATGCCATTCCCACCAAATATTCTTTTATTTTAATATACTTGATTTATTTGGTGAATTTTGCAGTAAACAAATAAACGCATCTAGAAGAAATTGATATTGCGAGAGACTACGCACAAAAAGAATGAGTTTGGACTGATCCAAAAGTCGTTATCAGAAAAATATTCGAATAATCGAGGGTTGAGATTATTTTTCTTAATTACTTAATTTTATAATGAAGATTATACCAAATCATTATTTTAGCAAGTTCACATAGGAAATTATTATAGAGATATCAGAGTGGAATAAGAATAAAAATTTAGTATTATAATTAAGAAATAATGCTTTTTCGAGGTTATGATGTGAGAATGTTAATGGGTGATTAAGACGAGCATTGATATCGAACTTGCCCATAAACGAGACGTGGAAAGTGGGAGTGAGAAGTGGAAATGGCGGCTTATGGCTTCTTTCTCTCTCTTTTCATTGTCCCTTTTTAATTTTGTTTGTTATAGTTATCCGTTTTTATTCCCATCGCGTTCATGAAACGTATGTGTAATTGTATATTTATGACCTCATAAGTAGTTAAGTACCTCTAAAATCTAAATCTAATCATTTGCTCTTAGCCCCACGTATACCATTTGTCATTGACACGGCATCCTAAATGAGCAGTCAGGTTGATTCTATAGATATGAATACGAAAAAAAAAACGGAGAGTTAGAAAAATTAACCCTCAAACAAAATTCGAAGCAGGTTAATTAGTTTGTGTTTATACAAACAACATATCATTATCCTATTTTTCAAAGGTTAACATGTTATAAATAAGGGAATTTTTTCCAAAAGTAACAAAAACCACAAAACTTGAATTTTAAGAGTTTATAATACAAGATTTTGGATTTGAATTTAATATTTTAGATTTTAGCTTTAGTTTTTAGGCTATACTTTATATTTTCATATTTTGAAACCGACAAGAAAGCACTTCATGGCTTCACGACGACATTTTTAGTTGGCAATATAAAACAATTGATGTGTTCGACTCATTTATTAGTTGAAAAATTATTCTTTTAAAAAGACAAAATTAATAAAGTTAGGCTATCCAATCACACAATTAATCATATATTTTCTAAAGGGCTTTTCAAACCCGTGTCCAACCGTCTAACTAGTATAATATTGTCCGCTTTGGGTCCATGTGTCTTAACCCTCACAGATTTGTTATTGGGCTTCTTCCCAAAAGATCTCATACTAGTTAGGTTGGACACTACTTATATATTAGACACTTCTTGTCTAATATTCCAATGTGGGACTTGGATTGATATCCAACATTTTCAAATAAATTCTCTTCGTAATATTCACCTCTTAAAATCGGATCAGAATGATGGAATTGTAATCGAGAATTATTAGCAAGACAAAATCGAATACTGAATATATCTTACGAAAGTGCGTTTGTTGGCCCCCACTTTTTTCCATAACAATCTTAACCTTTTTAAGCAAACTCTTCTAAAAGTTCAATTAAATTAGCAAGTGGTGTCACTTAAAAAACCTAATTATTCTGTCAAAGTTCAAAATAAGTATGTCGCCCTAATTAGTCAATTGCTATATATTCGATAGATGCTTATAGACATAAACAATTTGGATTTGAATTTATTGTATCCGTCTATTCATGGGATCAAGCTTTTTTTTTCCTCCAAAGGGTTGTCTTATCATCTGTATAGTGTGTAGGACGAGGATCCCACTTTAAGAAAATAATAATAATAAGATACCAGTTTACGTATATTCTAATATCCATCCCGTATCAATTTACTGTGAGCTTTGTATGTTACCGACTTACCGTGATGGTTATTCTCATGTCGAAGAGAAAATTAAAACATATAGTTTTCGACGATCTATAAGTTTTTGTTTCAATATGAAAACATATAAATCTGAACACGAAATGTCCAGCCAAATATAAGTCAATTAGGCCTATATAAACCTGTTTTTTAATCACATGCGGTAGTTCACAAATTTAGATAGTTACTTCAATTGATATTGTACTTTTATTTGAAAAAATCAATAATAATAATCGAGAACGTAATCTAAATGGTAAAGGAGATGAAGGCTCCAACAAACTTCGTGCTATGTATTTTTCCGATTAACAGTAGGTTTTCCATTGTAAAATACAACCATCCCGATTTAAACATGATGTCAAGTATAGTAAATGATGTAAATGACAAAAGCACTTACGTCATAGGATTCACACCAAAGAAAAGAAAAAGAGAGACGAAGAAAGGCACTTAGACAAATATATATGTGCGTAGTTTCAGAAACAAGTGCATATTTTTTTATAACTGGAAGTATCTGAATGAAAGTGAAACGAGTTATACTTCAGAAGTCAGATTGGTTTGGTTTCTTTTTTCTCATAATTTTTGTTTAGCTTAGTAAATTTGTGTAAGAACATATATTTTCGGATTCAGTTTTCAACATTTAAAAACTAAACAACCAAAATTTGGTCTTGACCTTTAAATCAAAATGTGTTACTTCAGTTCAAAATGAACCGAGTCGGATTGACGGCACAATACTCTTTCATACGTTGATGTATAGTCATACAGGTATATTTGGTTTATCTAATATAAGATCCATGATGAGACTAATATGATATAAGCTGAGCTTACTTTAAACATAAACATAAACCATGGACCACATCGAATGACGCAAAATGTCGAGTAATTAGCAGACAAATTAGTGTTTTCCGGTCAACTTTGTAGAATTTAAACACGCATCCTATATTGTTATGATCCTTATTATATGTACCTATGATTAACTGTAATGGATTAAAAACATACAAATTCCACGACAAATTTCTGGAGAACACCACTACAACGATCTTGATTTGTACCCAATCTCTTTGTAAATAATACTCGTTTGATGATCCGTACGTTGGGCTGCTGTAGTACAATCTCGCGTTCACATATGAATGCGAATCAAAGAAAGTAATTGTTGCCTACGATTACGACATAAAAATCTTAATGAGATCGATCAACTTATATATAAATAACAAAGAGCATCGAGGGTCCATTAGCCATGTGATTGTTATATATTGATTACCAACCTATTAATTGACTTAACAATATAATGTAGTTAGCTATTAAACCCTAATCTTTGACCTTCATTTTATTCAGCCCTTCACAACGATTAACGAGGAGGAGGCCAAGACCAGTCAAAACCACTAGCCAAAGTTTTTTAGTTACCGACTTGGGGTAAGACTATAAAAATGACTAAAATGTCCTTGCAATGTCTCTTTGTTGTGGAAATGAGGTCCAGCTGTGAATGTTGGAGGGGGACAAAAGGGCGAGGACGAGAGACAAAATCGTGTTGTTTTGTAGGAAAAACGTAACAGGATATGTAAAGAGGAAGATCTAATCGCTAAGGTAATGTCTAATCAAACAATGAAGTGGGTTTAGGTTACGGTCCATAAAGCACATCGATGCGGTACTTCCTATTATTCTCTGACGTTTAAATATGAAAATGCCGTAGAAGTGGTTTGAAGACATATTAAATATATGAACTGATTATTGTAAATCATTACGATAAATTGTTTGTGTAAGTTGAGTTGAGAGCGATATATTCTGTTTCACAAGTTTCCAATTTAAATCAACTAATTATAAATGGATGAGAACTAAAATAACAGATAATGGATCTGGATTTGTAACTTCAAACTAAATTATCAATGAATGCATTCTTCCATGTTCTTTATACTTTAGTTTTCATCACATCGGAAGTGCGAGACTTTTCAAAAGCTTTCGGGATGATGGTTTCTTTGGTCCGTCTCACACAAAACCTAATTTAATTAGGATTAAATTTTAATTATTATAGTATGTCTGTATGCGTGCAGTGTATGACGTAAGTACAAAATAAGATACGTAGTAAGTAAAAAAAGGTTTTTTTTGTTTGGTTTAAAGTAAAAAAGTTAGTTGAAGTCATATTATACTTGCATATTTTATCAAATGGTTTGACAGTTTTGACTCTCTGCACCAATCTAATTATTTATAGATAGTTTGTTACTAATTCAAACTAGTAAACTAAGTCTACCACTACAATCGTTAATTTAATTGAGAAATATTTGTTTGAGGAATTAAGAAGGGCTGACCAAGTTTACATATTTTATTTTTTTTAAAAGACCGGTAAATATTTAATCACACGTAAATATTTATGGTGAGGGCAGAATCCGACAAATAGAGTAAGGCCCCTTCTTAGCTCGTCCGGATCCCTGAGATTATGCACCCTTGTCCCTACGCTTCTGAATGACCCCATGAATCTTGTAGGCCTCTCTTACCACTACATGCATATGCACGTATTTATAAGGTATTCACGAGTGTCACTATGTACGTATATTAATTTATATACAATTGTACTTTTTTTGGTACATTATGAATAGAGTGCTTGAAATGACGTTTTCCGCATAACTCACAATGTATGCAAATTGCAGCACGAAACGTTCAGAAGAATGTATAACTTGAGACTCGAGTACTAAATATCTACTTAAAGATATTATTTATATTTTCAGCATATATTTTTTTGTCTCAACTCTCAGCATTTTTATCATCGTAATTTATTATCTGAGAGTTATGTGGTGGGGAAGATAAAGACGACACACAAAGCGAGCTAGTGGATAGGAACGAGAGACAAAACAAAAGGGCATTAAAATAGATGCGACAAAGGTCTTTTGATAGGAGGGAAGGTATGTATTTTAACTTTAGTTAGGAAATTATGTATTTAATTTATTTATGAAGGTTCTAACCGGTGAATGTGATCAACATTCAACAAGAAAAAAACAAGACATTTTCTGTCTATTATTTGTTTTTGTGGAAAAAACGTTAATTTAATTTGTCTAGATCCCCAAAATTCTGTAAAATAAAATAGTACGCTTTTAGTTTTGTTTCCAAATGTAACAGCATAAGCTTAATAATAATAGACAGACAATTATTATATGTTCCCTAAACATATTTAATGGAAACAAAATAATCTAAATTCTAAATTGAGAAAAGAGAACTCAAACATTGTATTTTAATTTATTTAGGATACTATATTTCTATCTCTTACATCTAGAGGAATTAACCAAACTATCTATCCAGATTCGCAAATTTAAATGTAAATAGATATTTCCTCTGTGTTGGCCAAGGATGATAAAAAGAGAGAAACATGGAAGTGAGACATGGAGCGTTGTCTACTGCTAATGAGATTGATGTCATCATAGCTTCTGCCATTTCATCAATCTCGTCTTGTCAAATCAACGCCGTTGATCATCATCATCATCATTCATACACATCCATGGATGGCATACAGAAGGAGCAATTCTCTTTCTTGATAGTTATTCAAGTTAATCTTTGTTTTAACATGTCCTAAACATGTTTATGATCTAATCTACGGAACATGCAGGTTGATATTAATATTAATTTACGTGTCAATAAGAAATAAACGAAATGTTTAGCGACAACTAACAATGTAGGGTAAGAATGGTACCTTAATAAATGTTCTTAATCAACCGACGTCGACAAACAATTATTATATGTTCCCTAAACATAATCGGAAAGTAATTAATGTGAATGTGTTCAAAATTAGTGAAGTCCCTTTTTTAGAAAATGTTTAGTAAACAATAGTCTAATTAAACAATGGTCAATGGTTAAAAATGTTTCATTTTATATCATTGGTACGTACTTGGGTTTGCATGTGATAATTGTAAAGAGACCGTCTACGCTAATAAATTGGTGATATTATTCGTTAACGGATCTTTAGTTTAAACTCTACTTTGTAATCAAAATACATCTATATATTAATCTCTTAAGATAGAACCTTTTTTATTGATAAAGCTCTTAGTATGGAATTATAAACTATGGAAATTGTTATTTGTTACTTGGTGATATTTTCCAATCCCAAAAGATATGGCCCGAATGTGAAGAGATAGATATATACAATTTCACATGTGTTACGGAAGATTTCGAATCTAGAAAATATATAAGATTTGTAACTCCACAAATGTTAGGTTGTAACTTGTAAAGTATAAAAAAAATTACAAATCTACAACTACAAGCGAAGATATTTGTTTCCGAATAAAAAAGAAAACACACATTGAAAGGTTGCAGAAATTTGAGAATTGAAGGGACCCAATTATAAAAGAAAAAAAAAATCAATTTGGAAAGCAGTATTGTACATTGAAATTTGAATCCATGAAAAATATTCTAATGACTAACAAACTTGATGGATTCAAAACTGCATAATGCAAGCAGAGGTGATTCGGTTACTTCTTCAAATAGGGTCACTTCCTCAAAGCGGTAACTCATACATTTATTTATTTCTCCATTACTGAAAGCAAAATATTTAGAAAGATATTTAGCAAGATATTTCTCCATTACTCATACGATTTAGAAATCCGAAAATTTATGTAGCTAATTTTATCCATTAACCAATTGATTTAACAACTAAAACAAGATTTTTAAGCTTACTATAATTCTCTCCTAATTTGTATTTGCATTAATCGCATCTTTTTTCTTAGATTATTATTATGCTTATTGTTGTTTGTGATTTTGTATGTGCACAACTTTTGCATGGCATATCCTAGAATATTGGTTCAACACTAATCAATGAACTCTGTTTCATGAATCATGAAATGTTTTGTAAGTGTGAACACTAATCAATTAATTATCATTTTAAATGAATCAAGACCAAGACCCGTCCGAACCGCTTTCACTTCTGAAGTATAACTGGTTTCACTTCATTCAAATACTTCCAATTCAAAAAAGAAAAGAATATTAAGAAAATTTTGAACATAAAAATTTAATGGTGGGAGAAAAAAACAAGTTAAAATGAGGATATGCCTGAAACTACGCACATATATATTGTCTTTTTTTTTTTTGTCCATCTAGAATTATATTGCAATGCAAAGAGTTACAAGCGTTACACGCTAACCACACCAATCAAACCAACCCACCAAAACCCAAGATCAAGGTCAAGCCACCAAAGCGTTACACGCACATATATATATTGTCTAAGTGCCTATTTTTTTACAAACAAAAAAATGATTATGAAGAAGACCAAGACCCGTCCGAACTGCTTTCCTCAAACGTTTGCTCCTTTTCAACCTAGACGATGTATATGAAACATGAGTACAAATTTGGAAACGTGAAAACATAAAGCTAGAGCAACTTTAATCATATTTAACCAAGAAGCGTTTCAAAAACAAAAACAACTACTTACAGTTTTTCTTAGCCAGTACTCTTTATCTTGGTCGTTTGATCGAATAACCGAAATAATACAAGCCTCCTGCGTGGAGAAAAAGAGGTTAAAAACGTGTTGTTGCTAGTCAAATGGTTAGAAAAAGAAACAACGTATTGATACAGAGGATGCTGCTGCTTACTTGTTGTTTATGTTCATCACTTGAGAGATGCATCCTGTAATCACCAGAGCTTTGGCAATCACAAAAGCAGACGTTGCAATAAAACATACCGGTAGATTCACTTCTTTCACTGCACTTGCGAAGAACGTGTCTTCTTGTCTCTGAAACTGTGGCAAAGAAGAAGGAAAAACTAACTGTAGTCAGATTTCAAAACATAAATGTGACGGGATGAGGAGAGGACAAAGAAACAAAACACCAACCTGCAAGTAAGCTTTCCCAGAGCCACTCTGCAGAAGTGACCAGGATTGACATTTTGTAAGGCCTAAATGAATAAGCCAGAAAAAGGTTGTATTTATCCCCTTGTTGCACATGGACAAGGCCTTTTGCGAAGAGAAATTCCACATGATCGGAGATGAGCATTATTGTAGCCGGAGGAGGATTATCAAGTCGCCAGTCCCTCATGTCTGAATTCATGCGCTTGTATATGACCTCTGTTTCAGTAAAAGGAAAGGAAATCAGCAAAAATTAAAACCCTAAGTTCCAGAGACTGATGACACAAAAGGGACTAACCGGGAATGGTATGTGAAAGAGCGACTCCAGTGGAAGAGAGCCCTCGCAGGTGGTCATCAGAGGTTTGTTTATGGTCGCCATAGGCAGTGATGGAGACAGGACCAAAGTAACCTAGTTTCCTCAACTCCCCTTCTATGCTCGGCCGGACCCAACGAGCATCATAACCCTCGGGAATCTGACAGCCCTCAATGTCCCACCACACCGCTATTTGAGCCGTCGCGTATTCAGGCGTCGCCGCCGCCAGGTATTCCTCTTGCCACATTCTCCTCTGTTAAACCTGAACGAGTCACAGACACACAAGTCCTAAAGTCTAAAGAAAGAGCCTGAATGTTAAAAGAATTTAGAAATATATTACTATATATATCCAGTAAAAAGAAGAAAATAAAGAAAAAGAAACTTGTCCAGTAAAAAAAAAGGAAATTTATCATATTATATGATGATGAAACGGAGTAGTATGAAGAGTGTTGCCACCAAGATTGTGGGGGCTCACAAATCAGGAAGCCATACACATTATGCAACGACACTAAAGTTTCCATTATCAATCAGATAATATAAGAGATTACATACTACTAGAAGAGACAACTCTTTAGCTCACGAATTGGCTTACTTCTTTTGATGGAACGTATACGCAAGGAACACCACCGTCCTCACACAAAGATTCATTGGCAGGACACTACAAAAACTCATCAAATAAAATCAAGCCTCAACTTATCACTATCAAAGACTTTACTAAATCTCAAGAAAAGCTTTCAACTTGATAAAATGAGAATATGTTTTGAGGATCATCAAAGCTAAACATAGCAATCAAGGACGCGGCTCAAAGTCAATCAATCCCAAAACGACAACTTAGCCATTGACAAAACTTGAAAAAGCCAAACTTGAACAACAGCATTTTTCAGCTACATGATTCATATATACTAACATCCCTCAGGTCCTTGGTGTAACCTGTATCAGTGCACACTAGCATAACATTCTGTGGCTCAGGATTCCTCTTCAGCCAATTTGAAATGTCTCCTCTGATCCAATTATCAGCTACTAGGCTCTGTGCTTCCACGCTCCACAACACATCGTCATCAAACGATTTAGAAATCCGAAAATGTATGTAGCTAATTTTATCCATTAACCAATTGATTTAACAGCTAAAACAAGATTTTTGAGCTTCCTTTAATTCTCTCATAATTTGTGTTGCATTATTCCCATCTTTTTTCTTAGATTATTATTATGCTTATTGTTGTTTGTGATTTTATATGTGCACAAGTTTTGCATGGCATATCCTAGAATATTGGTTCAACACTAATCAATGAACTATGTTTCATGAATCATGAAATGTTTTGTAATTGTGACCACTAATCAATTAATTCTGTTTTTAATGAATCATGAAATGTTTCAAAGAGACTGAAATTAATTAAACAATGTTTGATGCTTTCTTTAATGTTTTAAAAAGTTAGAGATTTTCATACCTTATGCAAATAGAAATTGACATTGCCAATGATGACGATAATCTCTGTTTCTGACTCACTTGCTACATACCTAAGAGAGAAAAAACAAACATCAAGACAATGTCAGTTAAAAAAAACAAAACAACAATCAGAGAGACAAATCTTAGCTAGGAATCTCTGTTTCTTCTAGCTTCTTGATTAAGTTACTTCAAACATCGATCTTTCTTGGATATGAAGAAACTGTGAAAGAGAAGTTAAAGAAAAGAATCAGCGAGCAGCGTGAAGAGACAACAGTGAGTGATATCTTTAATGTGTGATATATATGTGGTGCAGATTTTCTAGTCAAGGAGTTTATGAACCGAGATCCGAATTCCGAAAACACACTCGAAAGTATCTGTCTCAAAGCTAATGCTACATTCTTTACACCGTCGAAAGTTTTTCTCTTAGCCAGTACTCATCATCTTGGTCGTTTGATCGAATAGACGAATTATTACTAGCCTCCTGCTTGACAACGAGTGGAAAAAAAATTTAAAACATGTTGTTGCTAGTCAAATGGTTAGATACAGAGGATGCTTACTTCTTGTTTATGTTCTTCACTTGAGAGATGCATCCTGAAATCATCAGAGCTTTTGCAATCACAAAAGCACACGTTGCAGTAAAACATATCGGTAAATTCAACTCCTCTCACTGCACTTGTGAAGAACGTGTCTTCTTGTCTCTGAAACTGAAACCGAAACTGTGGAAAAGAAGAAGAAAAAACTAAGCTTTCCAGAAAATTCATCGGTTTCAATGCACTTGTCATGTTTATTATCTACTAAGCTATTCCAGCGCCACTCTGGAGAAGTGACCAGGTTTGAAAGATAGCAACTCCTAACTGACTGAATAAGCCAGGACAAGGTTGTACATGGTCTCTGGTTGTAGCCTGACGAGATCCCAAGAGAAGACTGTTGAGTAATGCCTATTTGTTCTCAAACCAAAACGTGGGGATAAGAAAGCGAGACAAGGTGAAATAAGTCAAAGGAGTTGTTAAATTAGTGGTGAGTGATTTTGTGTTATATAGGCAAATAAAACAGAGACTTCTTCTCTGATTTTCTGCTATAAATTAGTGGTGAGTGATTTTCTGCTTCTATATCCCATCTTTCTCCATCTACTTCACCTCAATTAGATTTACATTTAAATAATTGTTTAAAACAAGCAAAACGAAATGAAAAATAAATAGTTTTGAAACAAAGACACGAGGAAACTAATCAAGAGCTTCCAGGACTTGAGTAACACATTATTTCACCACGCTTTCTTGCAAGTTTGACATTTTGGAGCTCTACGCAACCCAAACCTGTCCGAAATGCTTTCCTCACTCAAAACGTTCGCCCCTTTCGTAACTACAAGATGTATATGAAACATGAGTACATATTTGGAAACGTGAAAACTATAGGAACCTTGATTATTATTATTTTTAAATCAAGAAGCATTTCAAAAACACAAACAACAACTTACATCTCTTAATATCGAGTACCCTCGATTTTGCTGGTTTAATCGAATAAGCGAAAGAACACTAGCCACCTGCTTGAAAACGAGTGGAGAAAGTTAAAAGAGGTGGTTTGTTAGTCCAATGGTTAGACAATGTATTGGTACAGAGGATATGCTTACGAAAGATGCATGATCGTCACTTGAGAGATGCTTCCTGAAATCATCAAAGCTTTTGTAACCATCAAAGCACACTTTGCAAGAAAACATTCCGGTAGATTCACTCCTTTCACTGCACTTGTCAAGAACGGGTGTTGTCGTCTCTGAAACTGAGAAACCGTGGAAAAGAAAGAAAACTATAGCTCAGAAGCAGTCGTACGTGGATGATAGAGAGGAGAAACAAATGAAACAAACACGAACCTTCAAGTAAGCTTTCCCAGAGCCACTCTGCAGAAGTGACTAGGGCGGACATTTTGTAAGGCCTATATGAATAAGCCAGAAATATGTTGTATTTCTTCAGTTGTTGTTCATAGACAAGAGAACGTGAGATGCCATCATCCATATGATCGGATATGAGCATTATCGTAGCCGGAGGAGGATTATCATCTCGCCATTCCATCAAGTATGCATTCATGCGCTTGTAAATGACCTCTGTTTCAGTAAAAGGAAAGGGTTTCAGTTGAAATTTCCAAACCCCTAAAAAAAAAAAAAAAAAAAAAAATGGGACTAACGGCGAATGGTCTGTGCAAGAGCGACTCCAGTGGAAGAGAGCCCTCGCAGGAGTCGAGTAGGGGTTCGTTTATGGTCGCCATAGGCAGTGATGGAGACAGGACCAGAGTAGCCTAGTTTCTCGAACGCCGCTTCTATGCTCGGACGGACCTGACGAGCATCGTAACCCTCGGGAATGGGACAGTCGTCCATGTCCCACCACACGGCTATTTTAGCTGTCGCATGTTCAGGCTTGGCCGCGTAGTTCTTTGCCCACTTCCTCGTTACAAGGTCAAGTTGTGTACAAGAGTTTCTAACCTCCTGCTTGACAAAGAGAGTAAACTTGCTCAACAAGTTAAGAGACAATGAAACAATGTATTGATACTACAAGCAGAGAGAGAGAGAGAGAGAGAGAGAGAGAGAGAGAGAGAGAGAGAGAGAGAGAGAGAGAGAGAGAGAGGAGGTTGTCTTTTATCTTACTTGCACAGCATGCTTTAAACTCCAGAGATGCTTCCTGAAACCCTCCAGTCTTCGGACATGTAACTCGCACGGTTTGCAATAAAACATGGCAGATAATTCACCTGTTGTTGTTGTGGTGGTCTCATCTTTATTATTATCTAGTAAACTTTCCCAGAGCCACTTTGCAGAAGTGACCAGGATTGACATACAGCTAGGCCTAGATGAACAAGCCAGGAAGAGGTTGTACATGGTCTCTTGTTGTAGCCTGGCCAGATCCCAAGAGAAGACATCTTCCACCTGATTGGATATGAGCATCATTGTTGCCGGAGGCGGATTGCGAGCTCGCCATCCGAGCATATCGGAGAACATGGCTGCGCATGTACTTGCTGTTTTGAGTAAAAAGGAAAAGGATTTCAGTTGAAATTTAAAACCCTAAAATCCAAAGATGGATGACAACTGGACTACTAACCGGTTTTGGTATGCGCAACAGCGATTCCAGTGCAAGAGAGCACTCGCTGGAGGGGATTTAGGGGTTTGTCTTTGGTTGGCATAGGCAGTGATGGAGACAGGACCAACGTAGCCTAGTTTCTTGAACGCCGCTTCTATGCTCGGACGGACCCAATGAGGATCGTAACCCTCGGGGATCGGACAGTCGTTCATATCCCACCACACCGCTATTTGAGCCGCCGCGTACTCAGGCTTCGCTGCCGCGTACTTCTGTCCCCACATCCTCTGTTAAACCTGAACAAATCAATCACAGACACAAGTCCTAAAGGAAGCCTGTAACGGTGTCGGTGTGGAAGTGTTAACAAAATTTAGAAATATCTTACTATATATAGACGGATTATGGAAAAGGAAGAAAAAAAAGGAAAACTAATCATATTATGAAGAAAGGGGAGTATTGAGCTCGGAAGAACAAGAGAGTAAACAGTGTAGTGCGTTTGTGGGTGGAAGACAAGTTATATCTCTATGTGTGTCCAAATATCAACATTTTGGCACATGACATGCCTTTTGAGCTAAACAAAAATGCTCACAGGGCCCAAAAAGAGAACAAAGGGTACATGCAAGTTCGTAAAGTGAAGAAGACAGGATACTTTTCATTAAGTGTTGCCACCAAGATTGTGTGGGTGGTATTACCATTTGAGAAATAGCACCAGAAACTTAAAACAAAGTCGTTGTGCATCACTGCCAGTGAGCCATTATCTGCACACTACAAGAAAACAGGGGTGATTTTGATCATGAAAACAGTCTAAAAATGGTCATAAAGTGGTAATGATGGGTTTGGTTCAAACAAAAAAACTTAGAACAAAGTCGTTGCGATTATGAGCTAATACTCACCTTCTTCGAAAGAGCTGAAAAAGTTGCCAAGTTTCTGAGGAACGGATAGTTGTGTCTCAGTCAATAACCGTTCATTGCTTTTAGAGTCATCTTCACCATCGTAAACCAAATGAATCCCATGCATCTTAAGCTCAACGCCTTGTTTGAATGGTGTTACTCTTTTAATCACTAAAGTGTAGCCATCTTTCAACACAGTAACCAGTGGGTGCAGAGCTGAGAATTGGAAGATGTGGAGTTGATCATCATTTGTTCTAGGCACTCTAGATAGGTGCAATGTGTGGGCGTGTAAAAGTACACCAAGTTTGAGAATTTGAGCTTGAACACCAATCACATCAGGCAGCATGTAGTCAGCTCTGGTTTCTTTGTTAAGAGCCACAACAACAGCAATTATTATGCCTTTGAGCTCTCTGTTCCGCTGAGCTGAGAATGTGACAGGGCCTTGTGAGAACCAGTCCGGGATTCTGTTTCCAGGCAAGCTCAGATTTCGCATAATTTTCGAAGAAACCTGCAATACCTTGGAAAGTCTTTTCTTTACTGCAGAGGAGCAGCTGGAGTTGCAGCCGCTCATGCATAATCGTTGCAGGGCCGTCAAGTGCTCTAGGCCTGGAATATCAACAACTTTCTCACAGTTTGTGAGATTGAGATCTTGCAAGATCTCTAACTTTGAGAGGTCAGATATACTTTCCAATGCAAAGCAGTTTGCCAGGTTTAACTTCTCCAGTTTCCATGGAAGAAGGGGAACACACACGAGCTCTCGGCAGTCATACAATGAAAGCTCTCTGAGATTTGATAACCCTTCGAGACTAGACGGAAGACTGTGAAAGTAATTATTCCCAAGATTCAGTATCCTCATAGAGGAAAGCTTCTCGAAATCGTCTGGAAGTTTATCCCATATTCTGCAACTGCGAGCATCCAGTTCCTCAAGCAGCACGAGGTTTGAGATAGAGTTTGGTACAGCAAAACGAGGTTCGGGAGCATCACTCTCAGAACGTCTAAATAGTGGCCTCTTCTGCATTTTCAGCACCCTTAAATTTGAGAGGTTTCCGAAACTTTTTGGCAGCTCTGCAACCGAAGTTTCCTCCATGTACAGATGGCGAAGAGATTTCAAGCCTCCAAATGATTCAGGAAGCCTCTTGAGCCATTTGCATTTGTTCATTTGTAGCAGTACTAGATTTTCCAGCTCTCCAAAATCTTCCGGCAGTTCCCCAATGTCAGAGCCTTCAAGATGTAAGCTTTCGAGTGTGTCCATATTGCACGTTGATCCAGGCAGATAATACAGAGATTTGCAGTTACTCAACTCAAGTTTGCGAATAAAATGCAAGTCGCCAATCTCGTATGGTAGAGCTTCAATTGGGGTATTATTCAACTGAAGTCGGAGAAGAGAATATAATCCACCAATTGTCCTCGGAACTTGTTCCAGAAATTTGCATCCTCCTGCTAAAAAGTCAGTCAAACATGGAAGTGAATCTGGTTTTAGAGGTAGCTCCTTCACCGAGCTCTCGTTGATGAATAGTTCCTTCAGTGATATGAGCTCATTGATAGTATCAGGAATCTCAAAAAGGGATGTGCAGCGCACCAAATGCAGCTTCTGGAGGTTTTTTAAATATCCAATAGAACTCGGAAGATTTTCCAACGCAGTATCATCAAGATAAAGCTCTTCCAGAGATCCTAAGTCTCCCACAAGCAAAGGTAGCTGTTTTATAAATCTGCAACCCTTAAGACTAAGCTTTTCAAGATTCTTGAGGCGATGAGTCGTTTCCGGTAAGTTATCTATCGCAGTTCCATCAAGAAGAAGCTCTTTCAAGCATTGCATTGCACCAATGTTTTCTGGTAACGTTCTCAGATTTGAACAGCCAGATAGAAAAAGCTTTTCAAGATGCTTCAGTCCAGAGACATCCACAAGAAATTCAGCAAGCTTTGGACAGTTTCTGAGGTCCAGGTGAAGCAATGTTGTCAGATGACCAACTGATCTAGGAACCTTCACCAGAAGCGTGCATCGCTCTAGAACAAGCTTCTCTATGGCTTTATGTTGTGATAAATCAGGAATGGCTTTTAATCTGTGGCAACCACTCAAATTCACAACCTTCAAGTTCTCAACCACCTGAAAATCAGGAAGATTTTTTTTAGCAGTGAGACTTTAACAGTTTAACTCAAAACTACATACTGGGACATGTTAGAGGGAATAAGAAAACCTACCCCTCTGCTGCTCAAACTCTGGACTCGTATGATTCCACTCTCTGAAAGATCAAGGACAGCAAGTTGCCCGGAAAGAAACTCCGGTGGAAGATTTTTCAATGGGCAACCTTTCCACTGTATCCACTTGAGTCCAGATGGGAGGAGTTTAAGATTTCCTTTTAGTTTCATGTGATTAATCTGAAGAAGTCTTAACTTAGTCATTGGCACAAAAGAGTCTACTCGAATGGTGGTTTCAGGCTTTTCCTCGTCTTGACATCTTATAAATTTATTCCTCAGGTAATTACAAACAGAGTTGTTCTGTAGATTCCTCAACGCCATTCCATCTACACGCTTTGTGAAATCAAATACGATTCCTTCGATGGATGTTGTTCCCTGTTATCCCATTACAGAAAGAAAAACTTAAGTAAATGATAATGCAAATCAAATACAAATGACATATAACTATAACTATAAATATACCTTGGGGTCGTTTAATATGGCCATAATTTCAACATGATCACAAAGTCTACTTTGCATTCCAGAATTTTCTCTAACGTCCATCAGCCTAGCCATATCTTTAATCTGATCATGCATCCACAGAGTTCCTTCTGCCGTGATCTTAACAAGAGATTTCTGTCTGAGAACTTTGAGAACAGCCTCGGCTTTAAACCCACATCCATTCAGTAAATCAACCACATCTTCTTTTGTCATCTCCATTCCGAGAAAGAGACACGCAATGTCGAGGAACACTTGCTTTTCTTCATCGTTTAAAGATTTGAAACTCAAAGCCAGCACATCCTCAAGATTATTGTTAGGTTGGATCATTTTCAGCTTCCTCAGTTGAACTTGCCATTCCCTCCTCTCAATCTTGTCATACAAAAGAGAGCCAACCACTTCAAGGCTGAGTGGCAACAGCCCCGCTATTTGGACAATCTTTTGGGACAAGTCCAATAGACTTTTTGTTGGATTTTCCTTTCGTAGTGAGTGATAACTAAACAGCTTCAATGCCTGCATCTCAGTCAAGCACTGGACCTCATACTTTTGGTTCACTGAGAGCTTCGTCAGAATCTCTTCATCTCTGGTCGTGATGACTATAACACTTCCTTCTCCATAACAACTTCTTTCACCGACCAGCGCATCAACCTGGTCTACCTTATCAACATCATCTAAAACCACAAGAATCTTCTTCCCAGAAGCACGCTCTCTTATGATCTTGTCTCGGTCTCTGTTAACATGTTTTACTTGCAAACCGAAAAGTTCACTGATGAAACTTCTTTGTAAGCCATCTGGGTCTGATGATCTTTCTCTAACGTTTGAGATGAAAGCTCGTTCCTTGAAGTCTCCGACGATATTGTTGTACAAGGCTTTTGCAAGCGTCGTTTTCCCAATACCACCCATACCGTAAAGTCCCAGCATTTGAACATGAGAAACGGGTTTAGTGTCGAGCAGATTCTTTAAATCCTCGACACGTGATTCCAACCCAACCGTGTATTCTCCCACTTCCTCTGGTGTCTTTCCCAATTCCGCTAAAACCCATTTCACCACGAGCCCTATCTTCATGTCCATGTCAACATCCGATCCGTATGGGCTAAATTCCAAACGATTTAAATAAGAAGTCGTCAGATCTTAAATTTAATCCAACGATTATAAAATGTAGGACGAAGAAACTCAGAGACGAGATATATAGTCTCGTACCTGAAAACAAATCCAGAGAGATTTCCGACTAAATTCAAAGCTCTCCTCCATCGCTGTATACACTCGTCGCTAAATCTTGTGGCGTATGGTCTAAAATCCTCCACGATATCATGGCTCTGTTTGCGGACATGGGAGGGATCGACTTGATAAAAGATGGGAAATAACGGACGTCTCAAAGATGAACTCAGGTCGCAGATCGTAGCTAATTCATATAGGCACCACCTAGATGCAGTGTAATTAGAGGATAAGACGACGATGTAGGCCGCCGAGTTCTCCATGGCTTCTATGATAGATTGTTGGATGTCCTCCCCGATTTCTATATCTTGGAAGACTCGCACCTTCTTTTCCTTGAGCGCGACAAAGAGAAGATTAGCGATGTTGTCGCGCGTTTCTTCGCCTTGGAAGCTGAGGAAGACGTCAAATTTGAGCCTCGAATGCGGCCGTGACACAACATTACTCTCCATCTCCGCTCTTTGTCTTCTAAGTCAACTCTGAAAAAAAGACGACGATGTGCAGAAAGTCTTCGTGAAGCTCAGCACTTACTTAACCAAATCGGATCTCCTGCGATCGGAAAAGTCAACAGAGAGACTGGATTACATCTCCTCCATCTTCTTTCAATTTCGAAATCCCTAATTGAAACCCACTTTCAATTTTCCTTTTCATTGTACATCAAATTCGCATTGACGTTTACGAAATGGCTTTACTCCAACTCCGAAAGGTCACAGTGCCACATTTCTACAGCTAATCAGATTAATTCCTAAATATTTGCAGTCGACAGATTCCTTCTACAGCTAATCAGATCAAGTGTCAGCCTTAAACATGTTTATATCATCTTCTTCGCGGAGATTTTTGGCAACATATGAACATACTTTTCCTTAAATTACAAACTCTAATCTAAAGCTTTTTTTTTTTTTTCAGAATTTCTCAAATTCGTACGTTCTAATACCATATTTTTGCATTTCCGACATCCGAACCTGAAAAACCATTCTCTCACGGTTCAGCGAGAGAATACACTTAAAACACAATAGCATTCTGAAATTATGCGTCTGTCATATACTCATATATGTTTAGAAACAATTCTGAAACCTGAAAAACTCCATTCTAGCATCTTTCTCTTCATCCTTTTCATCTTTCTTTGCTTACCAAGGCAGAGCACAAAGGGCACCATGTCTTTACAAAAACATAATGAATGCCAACAGACAAAACAGCCTCATAAGTTTCTTCAAACCCACTCTCCTTTTCCTGGAATCCAAAACCAAAAACTCCATGAGAAACTCAATAATCATAGCAACAGTTACTGTACGATTCTCTTTATTTTCTCTTTACCTGGGAGGTCTACTTTCTTTTGTGATTAGTCCATCATCAACTTCCTCCCCTGTTCGTGTCAACTGTACATCTGGGATTACCTCATACCCAATATTTGAAGTATGTTCGTCTGAGGCATCAGGGTTTTGTTCCCTGTAACTGTAAACAAGAGTTAGCCCTGTCTCAAGAATGGTGACTTGATCTCCAAAGTCCACAGAAACTTCCACGTTATCCCCTGTTTCTAAGTAGAAATCTTCATTTGAAAAGTGTCCTTGCCAGATATGTTTCTCACGGTACATACGAATGTGATCTGTTGCAGGATTGCGACGCCACACAATTCCTTTCGTTTGGTTCTTCACTGTAATCTTTGGAGAGTATCCAGACATTTCATTGTCTTCCTGACTCACATATGGTGTCCACAAGGTGAACCCGACCGGATCTTGATTCAGAGTTTCAGGAACAGGAACCCTAAAAGAGATTGAAGGCGTCTCATTCTTGAAGCTAACCCAATCTGGAATGCTTGATCCGGGGATAAAAATCCCTCCATTGGCACCCACAGCCCATCCCTGTAAACACAGTCTCAGGTTGTTTTAATCATTTTGATAACAAGAATCAGGAATCAAATTCAACAGGTTAGGAAATAAAGAAAGAGACCTGCATGATTCTTTCTCGGTAAGTAGCTGATATGCGGTTGCACATTTCCATGTGGATGAGTCCAACCGTTTTCAGTTTATCCAGCCCCGGCGTGTCAACAAGGTTGTAACAGTTTGTAAGGTGCAACGATTGCAACATCGAGCATTCTGATAAGTCCGGAGTTCTTTCCAACCTGCTACAGTTTCTGGCATAGAAAGATCTTAACCTTTTTGGTACACTAAACATGGATTGAAGTTGTGAGCAACTATCCAATCTGAGGATCTGAAGACTTAGGAGACCAGCAAAATCCGTCTGCAAATTACGAAAGTTGTTTCCTTGTAAATCAAGTTCCTCGAGACAAGGCAGGCTCCCAAGATTTGAAGGAACCAATTCATCAGATAGATTGCAGGAACCTAAACGCAAAGTCTTCAGGCAGAGTAAATTCTTTAACGAGGGCGGAGTAGACAGAGCAGGTTGAGGGCTTTCATCAGAATGGGTGTAGCCTCTGTCTTTCCACAACTCTTTGCAGCCATCAAGAGATAACTCTTTCAGTGTCTTCGAAGAGGGGATTTGCCTTATAGCGGTATAATCGGCTTTAAGAGTTGTCAAGGATTCCAATTCACCTAAAGCATCATTCAATATCTCAAGTTGCGAGCAGCCTGAAATAATGAGAGTTTCCAGCGACTTCAAGGTGTAGAGTTCCAATGGGAGGTCACAAAGCTCGGTGCAACCTTTCAGATTTATAAGTACCAACGTGCTCTCAAGAGTTCCTATCGAATTGTGAACCAAAACCAGTCTATTGCAGTTTATCAAGAGCAGCGTCTCGAGATTCGGGAGATAAGAGAAGTCTGGAGTCTCCGTGAGCTGGACGGAATGACTGAGGTCAAGGTATTTTAACTTTTTCAGTTCTTGTGGCTGCTACAAAAGTAACAAAGAGAAGAAAACGAATAATCAAATCGCAACAATGAAGAATAAGTTAGTTAACCTTAAAACAGGGGTTATTTTAAATGCTTTCACCTTTTGATCATCCCAAAGTCGTTTAAGGTTACTGTACTGCAAGTCCATGACAACCAAACTTCCCAAATGTAGTTCTGTTGGTATGAAGTAAAGAGGAAACTCAGACCAGCAAAGCCATCGTAAACCTCTTGGAAAATGTGCATAGTTTCCCTTGACCTGTACATGACTGAGTTGTAACAGTCTCAGCTTCCGTAAATTTGAAAATGCTTTAACCTCCAAGTTCTCAACACCCGTAATTTCAGCCTTCAGGCTGAGTCCTTCAATTGCGTTAGTACCCTTATATTGAAAAAAAAAGATGTATCAGTTCAATATTATCTCAAATCTACCTTACACTTAGATAAAGAAGGCATAGTTACTTACAGAATTGGTTGCCAATACATCAATAACATGCGCACGATCCCACAATCTACTCCATTTTTCCCAGCTATTCCAATATGTTCCTCGGACGATATTTCTTCCCATGTCTCGTAATAAGTCATGCATCACTAGCCTGTTATCACGGACTGTAATGAGATACCTCTCCTTAAGCACAGTGAGTCCTATGTCAGGATAAAAGTTGCATCCATCCAATATGTAACCTACATAGTGTTTATCCATGCCAATAAAGAAGCAAGAAATATCCAAAAACATTTCTCTCTGTTCTGGGTCTAGCGCATCAAAGCTGATCTGGAGTTTTGCTTGAATGTCTGCATTGGGGGTTTGTTTCAAAAGTTCCAATGTGCTTCTCCACTCGGAAGTGTTTCTGTTGAAGAGAAAAGCACCCAATACTTCCACAGCCAAAGGTAGTCCTTGGCAGTATTTCACCAACTTATCTGAGAGCTGTGCAAATGCTGCAGGAGGTGCACTTCTTCTAAAGGCATGCCAACTTATTATAGAGCTGTAGCTCTATAACACAACGTAACGTATGTTCTTATTCTGGGGTTTACATATAGTCATCATTACTGTTATAATTGAAATTGAAGAATATTTGTTTTTAATTGAAAAAAACTCAATATAGATTTAGTTAGAAATCCATTTATAATGATTTTATTATATTATTAGAAATCCATAAATGTAGATTTGAATTCAAAAATGGTCATGAATTTACAGTAATACAGTCAATAGTTAATGGTTCTGGTTTGTACTGAATTCTAGATGGCCGAGTGGTAAGGCGGGGGACTGCAAATCCTTTATTTTGTGACTGAAAATCCATATATTTTTTTCGGAGTTGAAAAAAACGAGAAACTTTAAATCTAGTTTCTATCGTTTTGGCGGCATGGCCGAGTGGTAAGGCGGGGGACTGCAAATCCTTTTTCCCCAGTTCAAATCCGGGTGCCGCCTCAACAACAGACTTGAAATCCCCTATTATATATAACATATAACAAATGTAGGAAAAGACTCTTGATACTTTATTTTCGTAATTTTCAGCCCCTGGCTCTCGAGGTTCTATTCTA